ACCGTGCTGTCCGACAAAATGGCCGCTCCGCTAAAAGCATATAATATTCAGTTTAGATCTAAATATTAAGGCCATCTGCAGATTTCGCCAATGTCACGAGATGTAAACAGGGCTAGCGCAAACCCTAACCAAAGATCTAGCCCTTATCCTAACCCTAACTCACAATCCTCTGCAACAATCACTTGCCCTAACCCTGTTTACATGTCGTGACCTTGACGAAATCTGCCAGTAGCTTTTACATTAGGATCTGATCGTAATACCCAGGTTGTAGACCATCCAGCGGTTCGAATTTTTTAACCAATTTTGATGAAATTTAACTTATATATCTATACCACAAAGATCTGGGTTTCTTCGATATTGGCTCGTATTGGAATGCAACTTTCTGGATTCTGTTCCCCGATTGTAGGAACATCACGTTTTTAGCTTACGGACCCTCTAGAGGTCATAATTTGTATCTTATTTTCAAAATTGTTCAAATATATCACCGTTACACAATAATTATTTCCGCAAAATCGGACCGAAACTTCCCCGTCAAATAGCCACTCCCCTTTTCGAAAATAGTATAATAAAATCATGTAATACCCAGGCTGTGCACCATCTATAGAGGTCACAATTTTATCCGATTTAGATGAAAGTTAAAAAAGAATGAATGAAGTTTGTGTACCTTTCACTATGAACTTCAACTGTGTGTTAAGGATCAAAAGTTATTGGATCAGTTCGACTTTGGTAGTATCAGACCTTACATTCAAGAGCTATAGCCCCTGCTTTTCACGCAAAATCTGAAATATGTACGGATTTCGTAGGCACTCCAGGTGGAGGGGGCTACTATTGTTGTCCCATTCTGATGAACCTTAAATATGTAAAGGATCAAATGATCTTGAATGATAGGATAGCCCCTTTGCTTTAACCTCTTCCCCGTCAATTTTGTACAAAATGTGGACATATCTTGCATGGCAAACGCTTGTTTCAACTGGCCATAGCAGGGAATTATTTGATGGATAAGGGGCACAAGGAAAGAGTATACATAAAACTCTTATTCCGTCGTTTTTCTAATTACCTAATATGTCATAGATACAACAGACATGAGATGGACTTGAAATAAAGATCGACCGTTCAGTTATCCATCGCGACCCTCGCAACCGCGGGTCTCTTAACCCTGGGAACAGTATAGAGCATAGTGTAATAATATTGCTGGAATTTTTGCTCTTGAAATAAGATGCCTTTATATTTCATTAATTAATATCTTTGGCAAGTTAGTAATTTCAAACATATTCACATATATAGTGTGCACTAAATCAACTTAGTCTGTAATTGACAGTTGACATATAAAAAAGAGCTCTTTATCGAAAACATATGTCACTCATTTACCACCAGAATTACACGTGAGTGGAATTATTCTAATTGCATCATTTAGCTTAAAGTAACCAATCATATCGTTAATTACACAAGTTCAGGGCCATGATCACACTTGATTGTGCGTGATATTCATATGGTTATAAGAGAAACCGGGGAACTTTATAAGGCAGACTTCTATTAGGTTCCAGAGGGCTTACATCTGAGTTCCTAGACAGCCGCGAGGCTGGCTAGGGTAGAGAAATGGTTTTAACTAGTATTGTTATCTATTATGCTTGTATACCTGTATTCAGCTATATATATATATAAAATGTAGAAGCAGACTGTCGCATTGTTATTCCTGGTAAGACAACGTCTTAAGAAACTGTAAGAAGTAAATACACAACGTGAAGCAGAAGTAAAGACAGCTAGAAACAAATTCTAGACGATCACAAGGCTACAGAAATATGTAGTAAGAAAAGATGCATGGGTCGTATGTAGGATGTGGCGACCGGTTTTCTCGCACGCTCTCCACGTCAGACAAAAGACTCATGGTGCTACAATAGCAGGGTTTTCTTCTTCTGAAAGTCTACGTTCTAGAAGTCTTACTTCTACTCACTGCTGTTAAATTCAAGCCTGTTTGTTTTTAATAGAATAGTTACTTGCTTGCAACAATCTGGAGAAAAGGGTACTTGCGGCCAAAATATTGGGTGGGGGGGGGAACTAACACAGGAAATTACATCATTCGTCAACAAAGGGAACATCATTCGTCAACAAAGGGGTCAACAAAGGGGACATCATTCGTCAACAAAAGGGGTCATTTATTATTTTATAATTTAATACTCTGTTACAGGATGGACATAATTTCTAGGGACAGAAATTCTTTTAAAAACAAAGTGGAATAAAACCTATTTGTAACCATTACAAAAATACGTAATTGTTTTTAAACAAGAGTTTACTTTTATATTAATTCATTCAAGTTGGTTTTGGTAAAAATACATATACATTAAGTTTCATCAAAATCGAATAACAATTGTGACCTGTAAGTGTTCACAAACAAAATATGAACGGACCGAGCTAGAAGAACGACGCCTTATAGGCCTAATTGCCGGCACGTCCACGTGAAAATGTAACCGTAAATTGTTTTTATAGAATTTCTATAGAAAACTACACAAAATATTCTACAGGATTGCAAATTGGTCAGGTCATTTTCAAAATTCTCTTTAGGGGCTTTATTCATAGAGGGTGGTTCCCAGCGTGGTTTCCCATTGATAGTGGAAAGTGGTGCAGGATGGAAGGGCTGACAAGGAATGGGTCTTGTTGTTTCGATTGTACGGATTACCCCAGTCATCCCATGGACCTTATATTATAAGGCCCATGAAATAACTGAGGTACAGTGTACACAGAGGCACAGAGGCACAGTGTAAAAAAAATCCTGGCAGTTGGAATTTAATTATGCTGTACGGGCAAAATATCCCCCATAGCACACCCATTCTATGGCGTACGCCTAGTTGGTGCAGAAAAGTAGGATATTAAACCCCATTCATTCATTCATTCATAGATGTACCGAGTGGATGTTTAGTAGTTTTAAAGAAGGCAAATTTCGATTCTTTGGAACCTAAAATATACGTAAATATGGGCGAAAAAGCACATACTAATGTAATACTAGTGTATATAAACTTATATACATTCATATTTTGAATTTTCTGATCACATGTTCATCGAAAATTTATGAGCAGTCCAAATTGAATGATTGACTTCAACCGACTGGAACTATCGTCGTTGCTTTAAGGTGGACCCATTTTCAGTAGAAGTCAGTTGAAACCAGTTAATGTCAGTTCTAAGATCGACAAAACCCCGGCTTTAGGCATAAAGACAATGGGAGTTGAAAGACATAAATATCATACCTTCAAGTTTATTACCAAGAAAAGCCCGAAGCATGCATGATCTATACTTTAAAATAAACAGTTAATCAAAATTAATATGAAAGATTTGCCGAAGGCTCACAAACCTGCACTGTGACTTTCATCTGTGAGAAACTTGTGTAACTATTGCGCTTTAATGAGTGTACACAGTTGGTGGATACATTATAATTTGTTCACCGATTACAAAAATCCATTAACAGTTTATTTATTTAAAATATTTTAAACCAGAAGTTGTTTTTAGAAAACTGCTACTACATTTCTTGTCTCAAATTAAAATAAAAGTCAAGTATAATGAATGCCTTACATATTTTCATAAACAATACTAATTTGTATCTTATAATAATGGTTTCAAAAACTAGATTCAAATTTAAAATATCTTTATGTAAGAGGAGTCAGAATTAAAATATATTAAATATTAAAAATTGTAAATTCAAATAATACAGGAGGTTATATTTTTGCTGATTGTATAAATTAATCATCTATTCAAAATAATATGTGAAGCCAGGTTTCAGTTCACAGACTGAATACCCAAGATTATACTACTGAGGACAACTTTATAGTTTTACACATAAAACTGTTTCTCAAGATTCATATCTAATTTCATATAGGAATTAACACAGTCTCAGACTCTTCTGTTTTTCTTGACGGAGCACAAACCCATTTCTTTACTTAAATATACAACAATTGATTATTCATATTGTATCATAAACCGATTGTTTTAAAGAATTACATGAATTGGCTCACTGTTATGTCATAAAGATGAAGTGAAAGATATATTTTTTTTTCATGCACCTACCAACCCATATCAGCATTAATTATCTTGACATGAAAAACCTGGGTTATATATCATGCACATGACATTTGTAGATTACCTACCCTCTAGCTATAGGTAACTTTGTCAAGATAAGGGTTAATGTTGCCATACTTGTCTTTATTTCTTTTTAGTCCTTGTTTTTTTTAATGTAACAATACCTGATTTGGATTTTTCACTAAAATATCAAATTTTATTCAGCTTAATCTTCAGTAATATCTACTCAGACCTCTCTACTTGGATTCAATCAGATTTAAAAAAGGCCTATCAATTCTGCTCAACAAAATGGTGGCAGGCTTAATACATAGCAAGCAACATAGATCGATTGAATTTTAATTCAACATAACTTTGTATATACCAAATTGAATCAAATTTTTGGATTGTTATTGCTATTAGGGATTAATCTTTCACAATATTGTAGTTTGCAAGGGATTCCAATTGCTCTAAAATGATGGTCAGCTCAAATTCTCATTACCTTCTACTTATTTCATGACATAACATTTTTCTGTCTTAGAAAGTCAGTCAGTTACAGCAGAATAACATTTTTCTATCCTTGAATATTGAGGTCAGAATGGAATCTAAAGAGAGAGAGAGAAATGGGGCTTAATGTCCACTCGACACAAACTAGGTTATTTTGGGACTAACACATAGTTTCAACTCTATTTCAATAATTTCCTTGCAAGTCAGGGTCTTTAGCAGTGGGAGGAAAACTAAGGACCCAGAGAAAACCTACGAGGTTGGACAGGCGACCATACTCCTTGTCACGTACAAATGGGGAATCAAAACCAAGCCAGCTGACTGAATGACAGACCTTATGATACAGCGCACACACACAAACCATTCGGCAAACCTTGCATCATGTAGATAACTATCTAAAGAAGACCTTTAAATTCATTATTTTTGTTAAATTTAAATAATGGACATTAACCCACTTAATGTGTCAAGAAGTTGTATTTTATTAGATCTACTTTAATACATTTACAAAACTGTTAATTTTATCATAGTTATTTGAGCAACATTTATAGCACAGTTTTATTTTAGGCCAATAAATGGCACACTACGCTCGCCAGGAAATTGGCAATTCGAACAATAATATTGGCTTATGAATGCAACAACAAGTAAGGCTGATGTCACCCACCGTAATCCTAAAATAAATAGATGACAATTGCACATTTATCTTTTTCTAAAGCATCCAGTAATTTAATCAGTCTCATTCAATTAGATTTTGGCCAAGGTATTGATGTAATGAAACTACACTCCTAGTTTCATCAGTCCCATTGAATTAGAATCAAAGTTATTATGCTCCAAAGCATCGCCAAATCAAATTGTTTATCTCTGTTTACAGCAGCGTAGCACCACGGTGACAGCACCCCTCTCCTCCTACTAGGTCCAGTCCCTAAATATTAACAGCTCCGTATAGTGGTCTTATACTAACTCTCACAAAAAAGGAAGAATTGACAGGCAGATCTATAGCTTCTTCCCATTTCTGATCCACTAGTTCATTAGCTCCCAGCAATGACAGAAAAAGCCAGGAAATTGACTCAAATTTTCATCATTTGCTAGGCAGGATAACACCCCGAACCTCCCTTCAGGTTGCCTTCGGCATCCCAGCCGAGGAATTAAAAAGTCATGGTAAATAAACAAATACTAACAAATGGTAAATTCATGCTAATAAGTACAATAATTGTAAATACAGAATTCAGTTTTAAAAAACAAATGATTAATTAATATCCTACAGCATAGAAAAGTTTTAAATAACAACCTTATTAAAACAATTTTAGTTTTAACTTGACGACAATACCTACTGCATCTACAAGAAATTCCGAATATAGAAATGTCATTAATAACATCTTAAATATCATATTTATAAAATATTGGGTGGGGGGGGGAAACTAACACAGGAAATTACATCATTCGTCAACAAAGGGAACATCATTCGTCAACAAAGGGGTCAACAAAGGGGACATCATTCGTCAACAAAAGGGGTCATTTATTATTTTATAATTTAATACTCTGTTACAGGATGGACATAATTTCTAGGGACAGAAATTCTTTTAAAAACAAAGTGGAATAAAACCTATTTGTAACCATTACAAAAATACGTAATTGTTTTTAAACAAGAGTTTACTTTTATATTAATTCATTCAAGTTGGTTTTGGTAAAAATACATATACATTAAGTTTCATCAAAATCGAATAACAATTGTGACCTGTAAGTGTTCACAAACAAAATATGAACGGACCGAGCTAGAAGAGCGACGCCTTATAGGCCTAATTGCCGGCACGTCCACGTGAAAATGTAACCGTAAATTGTTTTTATAGAATTTCTATAGAAAACTACACAAAATATTCTACAGGATTGCAAATTGGTCAGGTCATTTTCAAAATTCTCTTTAGGGGCTTTATTCATAGAGGGTGGTTCCCAGCGTGGTTTCCCATTGATAGTGGAAAGTGGTGCAGGATGGAAGGGCTGCCAAGGAATGGGTCTTGTTGTTTCGATTGTACGGATTACTCCAGTCATCCCATGGACCTTATATTATAAGGCCCATGAAATAACTGAGGCACAGTGTACACAGCGTGGATGTAAAAAAAATCCTGGCAGTTGGAATTTAATTATGCTGTACGGGCAAAATATCCCCCATAGCACACCCATTCTATGGCGTACGCCTAGTTGGTGCAGAAAAGTAGGATATTAAACCCCATTCATTCATTCATTCATAGATGTACCGAGTGGATGTTTAGTAGTTTTAAAGAAGGCAAATTTCGATTCTTTGGAACCTAAAATATACGTAAATATGGGCGAAAAAGCACATACGTAAATATGGGCGAAAAAGCACATACTAATGTAATACTAGTGTATATAAACTTATATACATTCATATTTTGAATTTTCTGATCACATGTTCATCGAAAATTTATGAGCAGTCCAAATTGAATGATTGGCTTCAACCGACTGGAACTATCGTCGTTGCTTTAAGGTGGACCCATTTTCAGTAGAAGTCAGTTGAAACCAGTTAATGTCAGTTCTAAGATCGACAAAACCCCGGCTTTAGGCATAAAGACAATGGGAGTTGAAAGACATAAATATCATACCTTCAAGTTTATTACCAAGAAAAGCCCGAAGCATGCATGATCTATACTTTAAAATAAACAGTTAATCAAAATTAATATGAAAGATTTGCCGAAGGCTCACAAACCTGCACTCTGACTTTCATCTGTGAGAAACTAGTGTAACTATTGCGCTTTAATGAGTGTACATAGTTGGTGGATAGATTATAATTTAGTCTGAACTAAAAGATGACCCCATCCCCATATCATTTGTTCACCGATTACAAAAATCCATTAACAGTTTATTTATTTAAAATATTTTAAACCAGAAGTTGTTTTTAGAAAACTGCTACTACATTTCTTGTCTCAAATTAAAATAAAAGTCAAGTATAATGAATGCCTTACATATTTTCATAAACAATACTAATTTGTATCTTATGATAATAATGGTTTCAAAAACTAGATTCAAATTTAAAATATCTTTATGTAAGAGGAGTCAGAATTAAAATATATTAAATAGTAAAAATTGTAAATTCAAATAATACAGGAGGTTATATTTTTTGCTGAATACCCAAGATTATACTACTGAGGACAACTTTATAGTTTTACACATAAAACTGTTTCTCAAGATTCATATCTAATTTCATATAGGAATTAACACAGTCTCAGACTCTTCTGTTTTTCTTGATGGAGCACAAACCCATTTCTTTACTTAAATATACAACAATTGATTATTCATATTGTATCATAAACCGATTGTTTTAAAGAATTACATGACTTGGCTCACTGTTATGTCATAAAGATGAAGTGAAAGATATATTTTTTTTTCATGCACCTACCAACCCATATCAGCATTAATTATCTTGACATGAAAAACCTGGGTTATATAACATGCACATGACATTTGTAGATTACCTACCCTCTAGCTATAGGTAACTTTGTCAAGACAAGGGTTAATGTTGCCATACTTGTCTTTATTTCTTTTTAGTCCTTGTTTTTTTTTAAAGTAACAATACCTGATTTGGATTTTTCACTAAAATATCAAATTTTATTCAGCTTAATCTTCAGTAATATCTACTCAGACCTCTCTACTTGGATTCAATCAGATTTAAAAAAGGCCTATCAATTCTGCTCAACAAAATGGTGGCAGGCTTAATACATAGCAAGCAACATAGATCGATGGAATTTTAATTCAACATAACTTTGTATATACCAAATTGAATCAAATTTTTGGATTGTTATTGCTATTAGGGATTAATCTTTCACAATATTGTAGTTTGCAAGGGATTCCAATTGCTCTAAAATGATGGTCAGCTCAAATTCTCATTACCTTCTACTTATTTCATGACATAACATTTTTCTGTCTTAGAAAGTCAGTCAGTTACAGCAGAATAACATTTTTCTATCCTTGAATATTGAGGTCAGAATGGAATCTAAAGAGAGAGAGAGAAATGGGGCTTAATGTCCACTCGACACAAACTAGGTTATTTTGGGACTAACACATAGTTTCAACTCTATTTCAATAATTTCCTTGCAAGTCGGGGTCTTTAGCAGTGGGAGGAAACCGAAGGACCCAGAGAAAACCTACGAGGTTGGACAGGCGACCATACTCCTTGTCACCTACAAATGGGGAATCAAAACCAAGCCAGCTGACTGAATGACAGACCTTATGATACAGCGCACACACACAAACCATTCGGCAAACCTTGCATCATGTAGATAACTATCTAAAGAAGACCTTTAAATTCATTATTTTTGTTAAATTTAAATAATGGACATTAACCCACTTAATGTGTCAAGAAGTTGTATTTTATTAGATCTACTTTAATACATTTACAAAACTGTTAATTTTATCATAGTTATTTGAGCAACATTTATAGCACAGTTTTATTTTAGGCCAATAAATGGCACACTACGCTCGCCAGGAAATTGGCAATTCGAACAATAATATTGGCTTATGAATGCAACAACAAGTAAGGCTGATGTCACCCACCGTAATCCTAAAATAAATAGATGACAATTGCACATTTATCTTTTTCTAAAGCATCCAGTAATTTAATCGTAGAAAATTTGCATTATTGATTTTGGCCAAGGTATTGATGTAATGAAACTACACTCCTAGTTTCATCAGTCCCATTGAATTAGAATCAAAGTTATTATGCTCCAAAGCATCGCCAAATCAAATTGTTTATCTCTGTTTACAGCAGCGTAGCACCACGGTGACAGCACCCCTCTCCTCCTCCTAGGTCCAGTCCCTAAATATTAACAGCTCCGTATAGTGGTCTTATACTAACTCTCACAAAAAAGGAAGAATTGACAGGCAGATCTCTAGCTTCTTCCCATTTCTGATCCACTAGTTCATTACCTCCCAGCAATGACAGAAAAAGCCAGGAAATTGACTCAAATTTTCATCATTTGCTAGGCAGGATAACACCCCGAACCTCCCTTCAGGTTGCCTTCGGCATCCCAGCCGAGGAATTAAAAAGTCATGGTAAATAAATATATAATAACAAATGGTAAATTCATGCTAATTAAGTACAATAATTGTAAATACAGAATTCAAATGTTTTAAAAAAACAAATGATTAATTAATATCCTACAGCATAGAAAAGTTTTAAATAACAACCTTATTAAAACAATTTTAGTTTTAACTTGACGACAATACGACAATACCTACTGCATCTACAAGAAATTCCGAATATAGAAATGTCATTAATAACATCTTAAATATCATATTTATTTCCCTGTAACTATATTTTTCTACCAAATGGATTATTTCTTGACCTTGAGCTGTTTGTGTATACAGCATATTGATAGTCTTAAAGAAACATGACAAATAAGCAATAAATTATCTCAGCACTGATGACATAGGGCAACTCAGTCTTACATGTACTGGTATGTCACCATTAAGTTGACATTATCCCCATTATTAAAGAACACTTAGGGAGCCTATTGCTCAGCACTACAGTATTCAGAAAGTATATATCACTGGTTTTCTAATCCTATTCCTTCACATTCTATCATATTTGTTGTTTCACTAATTTTCTTTATATTAAATTTAGCCTGTAAATAAAAAAAAAAATAGATATTCAATTTAAAAAAATATGTAATGGTAAGAAATGTTCTTGAAATAATAAGTACACCAGACACTAGGACCACATTTTACATGCCCAATGTTCTACGGATTGATTGGCTGATTTTCTGAGGAAAAGGATGGAATAATAAACTAGCAGTTGCAATGCAAGATACGTCCATATACAATCAGGTGCCATAATCCACAAAGTTATGGAACGATACATACCAATATCGAAAGGAACCTATATTTCAAGTTTCATCAAAAACGAATAAAAATTGTGACCTGTAGAGTGTCCACAAACAATATTTGGACCAAGGGAATACAGGAGCGACGACAATATACAAGTGGGTGTATAAAAATCACTTTATGTATACATTTAGAGCAAAATCAGGGTCCATAATCCACAAAGTTATGGTCCGATACATGCCAATATCGAAAAGAACCTATATTTCAAGTTTCATCAAAATCAGATAAAAATTGTGACTTGTAGAGTGTCCACAAACAATATTTGGACCAACGGAATACAGGAGCGACAACAATATACATGTGGGTGTATTAGAGCAAAAGATCAAAACACTGAAACTTTTATATATTATCCTTTAGACAGGGTCAAGTTTACACATATGATTACGATTCACAACAGAAGGAAGGTCAATCATCTGCATATGTTCAGTAGATCATTGGTCCTTTCACTATGCTGAACTGAGGGCATGTTGAATGTGTACGTATTGGTAATTTAATCATAATATCATTTTACTTTCCCAGTATAAAACCTTGCATTCTATATAAAATATTAACTGAATATTTGTGTATTCAAGAGAAATAACTCTGTATATATATCTTTAAATGAACATTATTTTTATTAGTTGATGTAGTAAATGTAATATAACAATACCTGAGATAGTAACTGAGCAACATGTATAGCTGTTTGTGTATGTAAACTTACAGGACCACACAATACTTCAGATTTACCTTTAGCTAATGCCATTAATAATATCAACTAAAAATAAAAATATAAATCTACATAAATAAAATAAAATTATGTGATATCAAATTAACCAGCAAGACCCAGTGAATATTTTTGGCCATCGAACTTGGGCCTCTACCAAATTGGAGCTGGGCACGGGTGAATAATGCTTCATCACCGAGCTCCACCTCCACATTATGTGGTATCAAATTAACCAGCATGAAACCATGAATGTTTTAGGCCATCAAATTTGGGCCCTGGGCAAATTGGGCACCTCCGCAAATTTGGGCTTTGGCAAATTGGGCCCTGTGTGAATTATAATAAAATATAAGCAATTACAAATCCTAAATAAATTGACGGGGGGGTGGGGGGGAATAAAAATTCAACACAAATAGATCATTTTGGGACTAACAGTATATTATGCTGGCACATAGAAGTGATTAATTTATTTCCTATTTTAATTAAAAGCCTTTGTTAATTCATTCCTTATTCTCCATGTAATGATATCTTATTACCTGATCTTGTAAATAATCATCTACACATCCTCCATGCTGTAAATTGTCTACTAACATCTGACCAGCTACAGTACCAACTTTCTCTGCTGGTACACCTATAGATACAGTATATTACACTAGATATACAAATATTTAATAGGTGACGGGGCCTATGATACCTTCAAATTTATGCGTAATCCTAAAGAATTTTTTAACTTTCCAGACAAGATCTTCTAATTAAAAAAATATATTAAAAGTTTCAAACTTTTCAGACAGGAGATCCTAATTAAAAAGCTCTAAAAACAAACTGGTTTCATCACAATTAAAAATGTTTTCAGGAGAATACCCTTCAATAACAGATGGAATGTGCATGTGGAATTCTTCAATGGTACCGAGATCAATGATCAAAACCCGCACTTTCGCCATTGATTTTTAAGGATCTTCGGCAATCCGGTACCCTAGATTCGTAGAATTGGCTGAGGTGTGCTCAAGGTTTAAATGCTTTGATGTTAAAACCACTCGTGCGTCATTCTGTTGATAATCAAGGTAATCAACAAAGACCAACAACAGTATTAATCTTACCGATAATTGATTGGTGATTGCTTGTCAATCTTTTTAGGTGAATACCGATGGATTAAGGGCGGATTATACAATGTTAATTCAATGCAAATCGTGTGATGGGATCGCTGATTGATGTCTTTTTCTCCTCAACAATTAAAATCTGTTTTGAAAGAGGCATTAGCACTTTGAAGGTCTTTACAGCCTAGTGATATTTTTTTTTTGAATTTTACTATATCTATATATTTATATCGCAACAGTGATAGTTCCTCTTTAAATCTTACTTACCCTTTTTACCCAGCCCAGAACCAGATAGTAAACAACCATTTGTGGTTTCTGCTACTACCCTGTAAAAATAAGTAAAACAGAAAATATATTAAACAAAAATTGGTAAAATATCTTTCATTATATAATGGTGCCTTTAAAGGAATATAAGCTCTAATCTAATACTTGACTTCACCCGGATTTCTGTTTTATTTTTTTTAAATTACCATTCTCAGCCAATCACCTTCTAGTATTATTGACAATTCAGCTGCTATTAGTCTGATAATAACTTTACAATCACCAATGAATATTAATTTTATTGTTTTAACCATACCTCTGATAAACAACTTAGTATTTTATTATATTACATAAACCAGAAATCGGTCATATTTTATGTAAATTCTTACTAGTTTGGGGTTTTTTTTTTAGACTTCAATTTATATCTAGGAATCTGTCAGACTATAACTTACATGATACCACAACCAGATCCCACAGCTCCATGTTCTGGTTCTTTAATAACATCTTGTTTTATATCAACATCTCGATAAAACTCTTTTATTTTCTTCTCAGCATAATCAGCCATTATCTGGGCTACCTGCAAATATAATACAAGAAATCATTGTTAAGTCCATGGCAAACTATGAATTGACTGCAACATGAAATAATTCCAAAGTATTCTTTCGTACCCTATTGTAATATATAATATCAATATTATGAACAGAACAATTTCCTGTGATTCATTCAGTCTATTATTTAGATTGTTTTTAAAGATGTTAGTTATTTGTATAGTTAAAAGTGGCAGCCATAAATAATCACACGCTACATCCGATTTTGAATACTAACTGTCAAGGGGTCTTTTATGTGTATACAGGACCTCACTTTTCAGTCCCATGTGAACAACTAGACACTGTTCCTTGACATGCTGGAAAAACCTTAAGGTACTTTCTCAGCTAATACTGGGATCAAAGTTCTGGTTCATAATCTACAGCCCCTATCTCATACATTCAGTCCATGGGAACAAAGATTTGATCTTACATATTTAAACTTACTTTAAGAGGTAAATTTCCCGCAACAAAAGAATGTATAGTAATAAGTTTTATATCTCCTCTTTCTAATAATTTTATACTATTTAAACATTTTACAGCTTGAATATCTACTCTTACTTCTCCTCCACCCTTTGGGAAGAAACCTCTGTTAAAAAAGAAAGATAACAATAAAATAAACCATTTAGCAAACTGTTTTATGTATGAATTTATATTATTATGTATAAATGTAATTTTCATTTCATTGTGATAAAAGTGTTAAGAGGCCACATATTTGACAACACAGAAGGGAAAATATTTTGAACAACTTTTGGAATGATTTATCTTTTAAAGTCCATGGAAATCTTCACAATGGGAAGATATAAAGGGAAACAACTCTATTTTATAAATTCTGCATTGATCATACCTTCTTTTAATTTGGAAATCAAACTGTACTCCTAACTGTGCTGTCATAGGTCCAAAAACCTAAAAAAAAAACAAACATGAAAAAAAAAAACCCTACAATCTGTCCACAGAAGTAGAGATAAGGATTTGTTGATATGGTACCTTTGATTTTTGATACAAACACAGACTGGGGCTTGAAAATTAAAAAATGCTGTCATCCTCTCCTAATGCAATGATATGGGATTTAACATCATACTTTTCTGCACCAACTAAGGTAATAAGGACAGAACTCTACTACACAATCAGGTTTGAAAAATTTCTAACAAGAACACTTCCTGTATAACATTCACTTCCAAAATAATAAAATATAAAGGAAGAGATTACTTGGAAATTTGCAACTGAAAAATTTGGACCTGTAGTAGAGTGTCTGCAAGAGATAATGGATGAACTGATAAGACCAATGGATTTGACAACATACCTATAAGACCACATGTTTTGTTGAATATATGGGAGTGAAAACATGTACTGAGACAGTCAAAGATCAAGACTTTATGGGACAATGAGTCTATGCTGGACAGAATAATTTGGAGTCATTAGTCATGTTAACTGTGGTTTAACCTCGTTAGGGAAAACATAAGAGATTTTCGGATACAATAAGCTGAAAGTTGGTGGTATAATACTATACAAAGATTGGGTATGGTATAGTTATATGGATTGATAATAATATTGATACTTGAAGAATTTAAAACTTACCAGATTAAAGAAATCTATTGGGGGTGCCATGTCAGCATTGGTGCCACCTCGTAATGTTAAAGAACTAGGACTATCACTATACAACAAACATGGCAGTGCTGCTTGTAGTAATAAACATATACTCCTGAAATATAAATATCACTAAATTATAAGTCTGAATTCAATTAATGAATAAAGAAGAGCGATCAACTCAACTAAAATAACCATGCATGATTTGCATTTTTCGGAAAATGTCAAAATTTTTCACAGCTTAATCCATGCTAATTGATTATTAAACATTTTTAAATTAAAATTAAGAAAATACCAATGCTATAGTATCTCCTGTTTGGATTCAATCAGACTTAAAACAGGCCCATCAATTTGGTTCACAGCAAATAAAGATGGTGGCATCTTGTTAAATTAGCAATTTCTTATATCTTTGTACATACTGAACAGAACTGAAATATTTTGGACTGATGTTCCTATTAAAGATTTAACTTTCCCAATATTGTAATTCGCAACGATTCTATAGCGCTAAAATTATGCATATATAGTTTTTATGTTAAAATTTCCAAGATGGTCCTTTTTTTTTAAAGTTAATATTTATTTAAACAGTTTCCCAATTATTATATTACATTAATGTTCAATTAAGTATAACATTTCCATAACTTTAAAGGTCACACTTTTTGCATTTAGAGCAACAGTATAACAGCTAGACTAGTTACTAATTTCACAAATACTATTTAATAGAATGGGTAGTGGTACAAAAAAAAAAAAATACAAAAAAAAGATAACCATTTCATAAATGAGTTGTTGAGTTACTTGTAATGTTGTAGGCTTATTTACAAGCTATAGAACAAACACCTTACCCAGCAGTTTTAGTATCAGCCAAATAATTGCCTCCCTTCACTTTTCCTGGTTTAAATGATATTTCTGTTGACTGTACTCTTCCACCATTTAATTTACCACTACAAATTTCAGCCATTAATTGTAATCCTGATAAATGTTGAGGCCTGAAAATTAATTGCACCAAAAGCAGTTGTAATTCAGTTCAGGGGGTACATTTTTGCCATTATATTGGGTATTTGATATCACTACTTGAAGTAGTCAATAAATGGACTTTTTCTAATTTGTACCACTCGAGCAAATTGTTATTTTGATAAGCAATTTCATTTTCATTAAAACTCTGCCATGTAAAGACATTACATGAAAGATTCAAAAGTCACAGATCCATATAGATTTATAGAAAACTATGGTAATTACTCAAACTTACCTCAAGCCAGGATTACTACGCCCAGCTCTTATTTTATTCACTGATATTGGACAACTTAATAAACAACTTAAAGCAGCAGCATTCCGTAAAATCTGTCCACCCTGCAATTATGTGTGAATTATAAACTATTAATATTAATACATTCCAAATGAAAAATATTTGTCCCACCCTGTGAGCTGACAAAGTCGCAGCCACACAGTCCCACAGGCCATGTTTCCGACAATGTCAATGTCTTGGATCTTATGAACATATTAAAGTAAAAGTGGACAGTGAAATTGACAGAGAAGATTAAAGCAGCTAAGTCTCTAACTCAATATCATCCCAAATCTTCAACATTGAAAACACGAATTATTTGTCAAATTAAATCAACATTCATGTTGTGATCCTACCAGGAAAAGATGGGCCTCTGATATCCAATATTTAAGACAAAATAAACATTTTACCATTGGTACACGAATCGTGTACCATAATGCGCTTCAGCCCCAGTTGTATCAAGAGACTTGAGGGACGAGGCTAGACACCTTGCACCAAATCAAACGGCGTATGTAGACTGGAATAACCAGACGCTAGAAATTTGCACTCGCTTCAGACTGCTGGCTTATTTCGCCAAACATAACTGATTTGAAATTGGAGTAAAACGGAAACTATTGAATGTAAATCAGTTTATATACATTCATATTACAGTATTATATGCGTTGCGACCCACTTTTGTCAATTTCTAGGTCCCAAATGTTAGCGATTTAGCTCCTTTAACACTTTCAACAACAAATCAATTACTCAACGTACAGGCTGAGTGGACTGGTAAGGGGAGATTTAATTAAGTCCAGTCAGGACTGGGTTGTAAACTTGTAAGTAGGCCTACTAGTACTAAAGTAGTGGCTTATAAGTTGTAATGCATAAGTTTAATCAATTTAATTTAGCTATGTCAGGGATTTATAACGCTTCTGGCTATGGGAACTCGCCAATTTAGGCGCCATTCATACCCCCCCCCCCCCCGGCTAGCACAAACGCCCCCCCCCCCCCACCCCTAAAAAGCGACCATCCATCCATCCATCCATCCATCCATATATAACATGGCTGGTATAAGTAAACAAAATAAAAGTAGACTGTCGTCAGGATCACACGATGAATAGACCGTTTCATACCCCTTCTAGCATACTGCCATCTATCTTAACTTCATCTTTGTCTGGCGAAGCCATCCCTAAACTGTTTAAAAAATTTAACTGTGATCAGGTAAATAAAATATATCGAAGACTTTCAAGCATAACTACTCAGTTGACAGAAATTACCACATGTTACTGCAATATCCGGTACATTTACGCAGGCGTACTGATCAATCTGAACGACAGACTCACCCTACCTGCAGAGAAATGACTCTGACACAGTGAATAGCCATGATATCCATATGACGTTATCTAAACGTCACAGGCCATGAGGTCACATCAACAAACAAATGTAAACACCATCATTATGATCATTATCAACATTACAAGACATAATGTTACATTGTAAACAATAGCCTTCTTGCAGCCTTTAGGATTGTATAATCCGTACAGAACGTCTTATCGCTTCTTCCAATGATTTTTCACAAAAATAACATCATCTACAACTCTAGATTTGACGTCGGCATATTGGCACTATTTTGTGCTTCGGTCGTGTCTATTTCAGATATACACAATCAATTCTGTAAATGTTTTTAGCGTGGGGATTGACTAAATGTTAATTTATTTCAGTTCTAAACAAAAATTTAAAACTTTAACGCAATTTTTAAAAAATAGCCAAATTCTGGCTGGGATTACTGAGCAAAATGGCCATTCACTGTATACGTGCGAAAAAAAAGCCAGCTACCATTTAATTTTCGTACGTTAGTTACGTACGGCGTACTGATGTTTCAGGGAAAATATCCACTTGGCAAACCTTGATGGATTCCGTTTCTCTACATCTTGCCTCGGCTGTATGACGGTAAGTGATATGTAATTGCGATGCGACACCTTTTTACTTATGAGGAAAACTTGCCACTTTTAAAAAGAAGTGTGTAGAATTTTCAGTGCAAAGTTGTCCTTGTTTGAAGAAAATCGGATAAACTTGAAAGAAAAATAGCTTCAGACTTGAAATATTTGTATGATAAAACATTCTTCACAAGGCTTCGTCATGGGCAACCCCGTTGGTAATCCGGGAACTTGAAAGTAGTTTCAATGGCGGACTTCGTCATACATCCGAGGCTAGATGTAGGGTACTGGAATCTGCTGAGGTTTGCCGAGTGGGAAAATATCCTGAAGGGGAGACAAATCGTTTTAGAATGGATGCAGACCAATGATGTCGACTTCATTGATGCGGACTACCATATATTTCGCCATTGACCTTTTTAATGTTAATTTTCGTTGACTGGCTCTAACTTTTCCCTAAAGACGCCTATCACTGATGGAGCAACTGGCGGCAATGGCTCGCCACAGAGCTTTGGATATTATATGTAAGCTGGTTGTTTCATTAAGGCTTATGGTGCGGCTGGATTAAGACCTTAACTGGCCTAAGCACACGGCTTCGCAGCGCCCATCCCCACACATCTGGTATCAAATGATTTATGATGGTCAAGATCACAACCCCCAAAAATCAATGCCGGGCGTAAAACCACAGAAACGAACAGCTAGCGGGAAAGCGTGCAAGAAAAGGGAGAGGAAGCAGATCATCGACCTCGGGCGAAGCATCAAGCTAGTTGGCAATGTTAAGTCAGACTAGTGGCTAAGCATCAAGCTAGTTGGCAATAAAGTTAAGTCAGACTAGTGACGAGTGGGTTTAGTTAATCTCTGATTTGTATCCACCAATTATTGTTATAATTCTTTTTTTCTGATGGCTTCATAGACGTTAATACTTCTACACTGATCATACACAGTAAAATTTGTCCCAAAATTTGTTCAAATCGATCTGCCCTTACGGAAATCATAATCATCAAAGTTGTTATATTGATTTCAAGACGTCATTTTGGGGTCACCTACAGTAGAATACCATCGCGGTCCACGAACATCGAGGTCAATATGGCAATTTTAAACAAATATACTTTTCATTTAATCTTCTTAACATTTCAGTCCTGAATTTTGTTAAAATTAAACAAAAGTGGACTTGACATGACTGGGATTTATAATTTCGTCAACACACAAAACTTCGTTTTTCCTGTGACTAACACGTGGTAATTATTCTGTTTCGTGCTTACACGTGCATTGCGAGGGGCGGGGAGGAGGGGTGTGACCGGACATATTCATAACTGTTTTTATAAACAGTTGTGATAGCCCCACCCCCCGCCCACCATCTTGAAACGGGTGGTGTTTAAAGTATCATTCTAAAAGTACTTGGTTCATTTTGAGTCTAACGTACTGTTAAAGTTCATCTACGTGTGCAATGCTAGCGAAAATCATTTTGCCAGGACAGTGACTTTTTCGCCCACTCTCCATTAAATTACAACTGTCAATGGTTCTTCTACATTAACGACAATGAGTACAGATTCCACCCAAATAACTCGGTGAAAATAAATTGTATGGATTTACATTCCAGGAAAATTCAGCCGTATAATAATATTATAGAACTGTTTGACGTTATGACTATTATGACGTCATAATCGACTTGCGTTATATCCGCCCAACTCTAATTGTATATCTATGGTTACTTATTGTCTTATTTCTCATTAGAGGTTAATTTTTCAAACTATCAACATGTCTTTTAAGACGAGTTTACAATTTTTAACTAACTTTTTTTTTAATTCTATCTGACATCTACTTTAAATGCCTGGAGCTATTACATGTAAGTATACTTTAAAACAAGCTTATAAAAACAAAAGATTGATCTAGCCAAATTATGGAAATCTCAACATTTTTATTTAAAACAACAATCTTTATTTTTAGAACTTAAATGTAACCAGGAATCAGTAAACACCATGTTTAAAGGGTTATGAGGAGAGAGATCATTAAAATATATTTGACTGCAACTTGAATTGAGCCCAATCAGCTATTCCCTTGATCAGTCACTATGACAAATTTTTGGGAGTTTTGTTCTAGAATTATTTTTTTAACAGGCGTGGACTGAATAATCATTTATTTTTACAAAATTATTCATATTAACAAAATTATTTATGGAGTGTATAGTTGTTTATCTTCAATTTTCCTTAAGTACGGTGAGTGAACATGTAAAATTATTTGAATACGATGATCAAAATAATGATTATATTAGCTTCGGGGATTTCTTTTATTGTCTTTAATTTTTATAAAAATAATATTTTTTTCTTTCTTCTTTCTTCTACAGATTTAGCATGTATGGAAACTGTTTGTTTATCTGTTTTCCTGATTACTGATTTAGGTAGATATCTTAATTATAAATTGCTCTATTTGGATTTAAATAAAAATATATTGTTTGGATTGATTTGTATGACAGGCTTTCATAATTACATATTTAGTTTCCTGCATCTCACATATATAGGGACATTCCAAGAAAAGTCTATGCACAAATTCAAAGTATGGCCAATGGAAATTTACAAATAATATTTGTAAATATAATTGGAACAATTACTGTAGTTGTTATGCCAAATATCTGATAAATAAATATATTTTACATATTTCTAAAGGAGCCTTGGCGAATCAGTGAGTAATGCACGACCTCACTAACCTGGAGGTCTGGGGTTCGATCCCGGTCTTGGTAGAGAAAGTCCCTCGGGATTTTCCGTTTTGTTTTTCTCTTTCAAATCATATACATCCATCTATTAAAAAGGGAAATGGGGCTTTCCAACCTTGGACGCCTCCCTGCAAAGACATTGTGTCTTTGCCGAAAAGCTGGAGTGGTATTGTTACTAGGTTGAAGGCCTTAAATCCTTTTATTTTGGGAACTCACTGTATTGCACATAGACTGGCACTTGGTTCATGTGGTGCCGCGGATCAGGTAACTTACCTTATTAAATACCAGGAAATTTTAAATTGTATATATAAGTATTTTGAAAATTCACCCAAAAATCTTAACAAACTAAAATATATTCAAAACATAATGTCTGAAAATGGTACAAGATTTAAACAGATTTCAGGCACAAGGTGGTTATCATTTGATGGGGCTGTTCAAGCAGTTTTAAAAAATTACTCCAGTTTAGTAACTGTCTTAATGGAAGATAATACCCCCAAAATTGTTGGTCTTCTTAAATCTATAACTTCTGTAAAATTCCTTTATTGTACATATTTTCTTTCTGGTGTGTTAGCGGTTCTTTGTAGATTAAGTAAATGTTATCAAAAAAATGATATTATGTTTTCCAATGTAAACCCTTTGCTTCAATCCTCCATTTATCAGTTAAAAAACATTGCTTCTGGAAGTTCTGGATCTAATCTATCCAAATTTCAAAACTTGATATCAAGTGACATTGTCCTTGATCAGTTTGGTGAAGCCTCATTTATTTTTGAGGATCAAATGATCAGAGATGGCTTCAAGCAAAGGGGTGATGCACAAACTAGTTGTTATAAATTTATTTTAAATGTCATAGCTAATTTGAATGCTCGTTTTGAAGAGAAGGGAGATGCTGTTGTATTAAGTTGATGTTTCTAGTTGGATACCCACAGACAGACCGTTTCATTGGCTAATACCTCACATCAGCCAGAACGCGGGTTATATAAGAACTCTTCCAGATCCTAGTGTAGCTTTTCTGCGATATTACCTTAGGTGGAAGTGGACGTAAAACTCTAGAAACGAACGAATTCCTAGTGTAGTAAAGACAAGTAAAACGAAGTTTTGAACTATAAAAACAAAACGAAATAGGATCTGTGTTTTAATCAGATTGATTCGATGTTAGAACACTATGCTGTTTGTTGGTCAGTACTTGTTATCATTTTTTTTCTGTTTTAATAAATTTATATAGCATTCTGTGAGTCGTTGGATTACAAGGTTACATATTGTTGTTGTAGAATATTTGACGAATAACAACACATCTTCTTTCGAAGCCTTATCGATTTAGCGTTGTTACCCAACCTATTTATTTTGAAATTCAAAGCTGATTTTCTCTAGTGAAGTGATAATACTCTTTCAGCTCAGCGACATTTTGTAGTACCATGGGTCTTTTATCAGACGTGGAAGGCTGGCCACCTAATCCGGTCGCCACATCATGCACTCTCATCTTACTACATATCTTAATTAGCCTTTGCTTCCTTTTCACGTTGTGTATTTTCTTCTTACTATCTTCGCTGTTAATACGATTATCTTCTCATTAGTGGGGAGTAATTAATTATAATGATTGGTTAATTAGTCTAATGGGCCGAATACAACCCTTATATGGACAGTGGAAACTTACCTCCAGGAGTGACAGACGTGTTATTTTGTTGTTAACCCAGAATTAAATGTTTGCCAAATTATAACTCTTTTTATGTGTAAATCCGTCACTCATTATTTGAGTGCACGAGAACTGACTTCTATAGAATGTGTGAACCAAATAATTAATATTTAACTACCCACAAAGGTTATATATTAAACACCTCATCATTAAAACAAGCCAACAGTGAGACTGATGCCCCCCCCCCCACCACCACCAATTCAAAAATATAAATATGATATCTATGGGGTGGGGACACGAGACAGAGAAATCTTTTGAAAACAGACTGTAAATGATGCATTATAGAATACCAAACCTGCAGAAACTGATTTGGTTACCATTTCATCAAACCGCCATGTACATTGATGTGCACGTAAAAGATCCCTTGGCTGTTGGAATTCGATATAAAGTAGGTCGTAGTAGCGCTGTCCGGGCAACATTTCCCTCATGGCACACTGTATGGCGTATGTCCGTCTTTATTAGCCTAGTCGGAGCAGAACAATAGGACGTTAAACTCGGTTCATTTCATTTTCCTCATGACACGAATCAAGATATTCACAACACCAAGATCTCTTTTTCTAATGTCTCGAATAAATTTCTAATCTCTGTTTAGCCTAAGCACAGAATGATCAACACCGCGGTCAGTTAAAACATTCACTTTACGAACATTTACACCAAGTTTGATCAGTCCAATGCGATGGTTTTTGTGTTCAAAAAAGTTAGACGTACGGACAAATGGACGTCTGCGAAGCCTTAGACGAGCTCTTTTTAATAAAACACATTTCTTCGAAAAACGGGGGGGGCAATTTAACAATCACGAAGTTATGAATTATAATCTAAAAATAAATTCGTTAGCACATCATGGACACACTAACTTGAAAAAGGATTGGGGTGATCAGTCCTGTTTTTTGTTGTTTCATAGTGACGTCATAGTTTGACCCCCCCAAACCACAAATTCCCTATTAATGGCCGACTATGACTTAGGTTTTTCTATATTCAACTATTTTTTTTTTATGTTATTTTGTTGATGATTATGGCCCATATATTTGCTAGAGGCCTGTAACTTCCACTGACTTTACGGTTCATTGCCCGACAATTTTAATACCTATAACATACGCAATACAAAGATGAAGTTATGAACCTATATATCTATTAATTTAATCAAGCGTAACGTTGAATACGAGTGGTTGAATATTATTACAACCGTGTTTGTTTGAGTTCATATTAACCGTGACTTTTTTATAGGTCAGAGAGGAGTGACAAATAATAACCAATCTCCTCAGCTAAAGATTTGACGCCAGATTCACGCTTGTGGTTGTTATCAGATCTGACGTATTCCTGAGACAGGATCTGAATATCTCATTTTCCAATGTTATTTTAGTATCAAGGTTCAGAAAGAGCAGGCCTTAGAGATATTGAAGGATTTCTTTGTTATTTTGCGGAAAGAGTTAAATTTATACCGATATTTCATCACCGGACAAACCAAAGAACATCTGATTTTTGTTTGTGAATTGAATAGAGTTTTTATTTTGTGGAATTATAATAACAGACAGGTAAGAATTTTAGTATGTTTTGTATAGGTGTTACACGGAATACCACAACTATGTATAATTTGTAAACTAATTTCGATATAGCATTACTAAACAAAAAATACCAGAGACTCCGAAATAACTTGAATAAAAAAAAGAATGAATTGACGTCCAATATATAGTCCGTAAAAGTTACGTTAAATTTCTTAAATTACTCCACGTTTTTAATATCAAAATTAAAATAAATGAAAATTGTCAGATATTTAATGTTTAGAAGGTTTAGATATTATCATAACACCTCTTCCTCGACCAAATACAGTAAATAATTTAAGAGGAAACTCGCGAGTAACCTCTCTTGTCAGCTTACATAAATCTTAAAGGTCGCTTCTATCTCAGTATCATTTGTGGGTGTGACTTAGCATGACAAATTTCAACTGTAAACGTGTATCTATATTCATATAGTTTACAAACATTAACGAAAGTTTAAAGATTTTGTTGGCTTGGGACCCATAGTAACCTTTTATACAGTTGGTTTAAACATTATGTGAGATTTAAATATAAAGAGCTGATACTTCTCGCTATTAATAGTTTTTAAAAATAGATAATGAAAAGGGAACATGTTGAAAATTCCAGTCAATTTACTTCATTCTGAGCGAAGGTATTACCGTTAGGCTCAATACCACTCTTGTAACTGAATAATATGTCAACAAATTGTACTATTTTACAATATTCCATAATTAATTGATGATACAAATTTCATCTTAACACACCTAATTTAAAAAAATGGAAAAATTCAACTAAATGATTTGAAAAGCCTGACGTAAAGCTTTCAAATGTGACTTGCATTTAAAAATATTTTTGAACCCTCTGGACAAGTAAAATATGATTTAATGGATAATTTACACAACAGGTAGGACATATTAACCGTGACTTTTTTATAGGTCAGAGAGGAGTGACAAATAATAACCAATCTCCTCAGCTAAAGATTTGACGCCAGATTCACGCTTGTGGTTGTTATCAGATCTGACGTATTCCTGAGACAGGATCTGAATATCTCATTTTCCAATGTTATTTTAGTATCAAGGTTCAGAAAGAGCAGGCCTTAGAGATATTGAAGGATTTCTTTGTTATTTTGCGGAAAGAGTTAAATTTATACCGATATTTCATCACCGGACAAACCAAAGAACATCTGATTTTTGTTTGTGAATTGAATAGAGTTTTTATTTTGTGGAATTATAATAACAGACAGGTAAGAATTTTAGTATGTTTTGTATAGGTGTTACACGGAATACCACAACTATGTATAATTTGTAAACTAATTTCGATATAGCATTACTAAACAAAAAATACCAGAGACTCCGAAATAACTTGAATAAAAAAAAGAATGAATTGACGTCCAATATATAGTCCGTAAAAGTTACGTTAAATTTCTTAAATTACTCCACGTTTTTAATATCAAAATTAAAATAAATGAAAATTGTCAGATATTTAATGTTTAGAAGGTTTAGATATTATCATAACACCTCTTCCTCGACCAAATACAGTAAATAATTTAAGAGGAAACTCGCGAGTAACCTCTCTTGTCAGCTTACATAAATCTTAAAGGTCGCTTCTATCTCAGTATCATTTGTGGGTGTGACTTAGCATGACAAATTTCAACTGTAAACGTGTATCTATATTCATATAGTTTACAAACATTAACGAAAGTTTAAAGATTTTGTTGGCTTGGGACCCATAGTAACCTTTTATACAGTTGGTTTAAACATTATGTGAGATTTAAATATAAAGAGCTGATACTTCTCGCTATTAATAGTTTTTAAAAATAGATAATGAAAAGGGAACATGTTGAAAATTCCAGTCAATTTACTTCATTCTGAGCGAAGGTATTACCGTTAGGCTCAATACCACTCTTGTAACTGAATAATATGTCAACAAATTGTACTATTTTACAATATTCCATAATTAATTGATGATACAAATTTCATCTTAACACACCTAATTTAAAAAAATGGAAAAATTCAACTAAATGATTTGAAAAGCCTGACGTAAAGCTTTCAAATGTGACTTGCATTTAAAAATATTTTTGAACCCTCTGGACAAGTAAAATATGATTTAATGGATAATTTACACAACAGGTAGGACACTAACACATCTAGTACTTCGAATAAGGCTATTTTTTTATTTTCTGGAGCTGTCAAGCCAGCAAGAGTGTTATTGTCCCTTTAAAGAATAGCGTGGTCTCGATCGTCTATATCGTTGTTACGATAATAAGCAAATTATTCAGTTTTGAATTAATTTATTGTCCATCGTGATTAAATCGGTTGAAAATCACCACTATGCGATGGTCTAGAGAGTTGATTATGGGCTTGTCATGTAAATAAATGTCTTATTAATAATTTATAAAACATTTTCATGTCAAACGAACGATCTGTAATAGGCAGAATTAGCTCTTACATAATGCTTAGTTAAGTTGGTTTTAAACAATTAGACCGGGGTTTAATACTAAAATTTTACTGGGGTATATTTTCAAATCTTTTCTATCATAATGCCCTTCTTAAATTGCTGGCTAAGTTAGAATCCGGGTCAGATCTAAATACACGTTTAGCAAGGAACAGCCGTCAGGATTGGTCAGATCATAAGTTATAGGCTCGCAGTCTGATATCGATATGTGTTAAGCCCTTCCATTGGACTGGAAATATACATTTATTGTTTTATTACTGAAGAACATTTCAATAATGATTCTCTAGTCAATCAGTTAAATAAACAGTAACTATATTCCACAGAATTGTGTACTATGTTTAATATAAAAAGATATCGTTAAAAGTGACAGAAGCTTAATATTTAATACCCAAACTGAAATTTAATCGTTTATATTCTGTACTATCACTGACATGTCAGAGCGGTCAAATTCAATAGTTTTATTTTGAACTAGATCAAAAATGTTTAACACCTTTTTAAATGTAAATCACACTATTGTAAACCTAGCCGTTGGTATGGAGTCATATTCGCGTATTACCATTTGTTTGTTTAATCATGTAACGGGAGAACTGCTACTGAGATCGATACAGCACACAACATAATATGAAATAGATACAGGGACAATTAAATGAAAATGCTCCTAAGAGAACAAAATAAAACAGAATTATTGTGAATAATCAAGTTACATTATTACATATATTCAATAAGTCGCCTTCGCCGTATTTGAAAACGCAGGATATACAAAGGGGGAACGTCAAAGAACTTTTTTTCTTTTACTGTTTTAAGATAGGCCAGGGGCGTGTTTATTTCTGATTTAAAGAGATAGAATTTTCGCATTTGTCATGGGGGTGAGATGTGTGTACAGTGTATTGAATTAATCTTTTATCTTAATTAGCATCGGCATGATTTTCGAAGGACTGACTGTAGGGATATTATCCACACTAATTATTAAAATAATAATATAAGTTATCCGTGAAAGTTTAGGATGATGACTGGATAGGTAACCATCTGCCATACAGGTTTAATGAAATCGGTAATGTTAAGTGTAACGTCCGCACGTTCGATGTTATGTTTAAACAACGTCAGAAATATTGTCAGCTGTACATCTAGCTATTGGTAATGCCAGATATAAAGATAGGTATCTCGAACTATTGGCACCGATGTAGACCTGAATTTTCCTATCTATAAATATATACATGTAAGTATACATAAATTCAAGTCGACTATCCCTGCTTCGATATTTTTGCTAACCATGTCAGTTGTGACAGTGAAAAACGAGTGCCCTTGTCGGACATGACACGACTTTATCATTGTATACTATTAATGACTACCACCGTATTTGTACTCGGGTTGCCGTTGTTATGTATACAGATAAAAAAAAACATAACTGCATGCCATATTTTATTTGTTCTTGTGAGTGATAGCCATGTGTGTAAATGGACACTACACCCTACTTAACATAATTAGTTTGTATTATCTGTGATATGAATGGAAGAAGTAGTCGTATATATAAACTATATGAATAGCCTGTACCTAGTCCAGACTGGTCATTTGTTGATTTAGATTAATTCAGATTTAATATGATTATTTAAAGAAAGATATCAATTCTGATTTTGCAGTTTTACCGGATGAGCTTTGAATTCCTTGACAAGTAAACTCCCCTGGAGGCAATATTCAACCCCATAACACGCTTGGCCATAGCAAACAAGTAACCGATGTAAATCTGAAAATGTCAGAAGTATTGTTGTGACGAGGCATTACCGTCCAATTGATTCCATTCTATTTACATGACACAATATAGTATTACGTTATCTTGATGTATAGCATTGAACTCTGGATTTCATTTTAATCGAAAGAAAAACACAGCCCAATGCAAATATTATTGACAACTCGTTCGCACATTGGGGATTGGATTAAATCAATAGTTATTAAGTGACACTGATTTCTTTTTTGTTAATAAATACCTTTACAGAACACGTACACGGTAGTTCTACTCGTTTCCCCACACCCACCTATTCCCGCTCCCTTTCCGCCTGCCCGCCTCTCCAAAGAAAGATATGGCTCAAAGTCATAATCATTATTTTATATGCGGACCTAGTTATTGTTCATGAACAGGTATTTGATGATAGAATATGTATCATACAAAAACATGTCAAATATAACTGAACTGACTATATCGGTTGTTGGGTTGCGAACATATTGTATTTATCAATGTCAAATGTTATTGACTGAGAAAGAGAACAATGCCTGGATATTTACTGTAAATTCGGGGTTAATGGTCTACATGTTTCTAAAATAAAATCAACAAATATATTGTGTATATCTGACCTATTTGTTGGTCTAATGTTATTTCACGCACCAGGTATCCATTGAATATGAATATTCGTATATAAGAACACAATTATCTAGAAAGGTAATTCAGTACATTAGATTTGTAAATACAGATATGAAATGAAATGGGGTTTACCGCACTACTGGTCTACTCCGAATGGGCTGATTAAGACATGCATACGCAATGCAGTGTGCTATGAGGGAAATTTTGCCCGGACAGCGGCTATACGACCGACTCTTATATCGAATTTCAACTTTCAAGGGATCTTTTACGCGCACGCCAATGTGTACGCGGGACCTCGTTTTTTCCATCTGAACAACTACACCCTTTCCCTTGCTATGCCCCGGGTCTGTACCACTGACGAGGAACAACCACTTTTCTTGGCTAACCCAGGGATCGAACAGGGTACCTCGAGGTTAGCGAGCCAACGTCTTACTCACTGAGCCACGGCCGTGACTCCACATTACAGATAACATGCCATGTCATTTTTAATAACCCGAAACTTAACTAGACCAAAACGTTGCTTTCCTTAGTTTATCTTTCAACAGCATAACCGAGGACGGGGACCTTCTCGGACATTTAGATAGGCTTATTATAAATACATACAGCTGCATTATAAAGTTTAGAATAATTACGTGGTCATGCACTATAAAGTTTTACCTCCTGGTTGTACATTACAAAATTTACAATAACCTCCAAATAATGTATTATTTACAATAACATTACAATAAGGGTTCTTTTACGTACACGCCAACGTCTACACGGGGCTTTTGGTTTTCGTACAGCCCGAACGACTAGACACAAGACAACTCGCCCACCCGTCCTAACCATTGAAAAGGAGATAGAACAGTGGAAAATGCCGGGAAACAGTCTCGGCCATCACCATGCAGGATCCAATCCCGGACCTCTTGATTCACACTTGCGCCCTACCCATTGAGCCAGATAGAGTTTTGAATAATATTATGCATTATAAAATTTAGCATAAATGGTTGAACCTCGATGAAATTACTATCATAATCCCTCTACATGATGCATAAGTTCGTTGAAAGAGTTTAACTCAGAGTTGATTATATGTGTGCGGTAAACAGGGTCAATTGATTGACATTTATTATTAATTAACTATATTATACTATCTAAGATTATCATTAATAATTAATATTAATAATAATAATGGATTTCTATAGCGCCTCGTATCCAAAAGTCTTTCACATTCACCACAGCTTCCCATCATCTCTCTGAATAGGTGTGTTTTTAGCAAGGATTTGAATGTACACAATGATTTTGCATCCTTAATATGTGATGGTAGTTTGTTCCACAGTTTAGGAGCAGCAACAGAAAAACTTCTGTCTCCACATTTCACGTAATTTGATCTCGGAATTTCCAATTGGATTTTGTTTGAAGAACGGGTTTCCCTTTGTGATAATTTTATGTGAAGTAGATCCTGGAGGTAGGTAGGAGAGGTGGTGTTTGGGTCTAAACATTTGTAAGTTAAACATGCATTATGCAAGAGCTAAATCTGATTATTGCAAGTCTTAATTTAGGCTTCAGATGTTATAGAAATTATAAATTAGATCTTTATTTAAACAACAAGACCAAAATCAACTCTGTAGACCCACGAATGGCTCGGCTACAGCTCGGATTTAAATAGGATTTCACTATTTGATTAAATCAAATAAGGGGTAACCTGATGAAAATACGTCAGTTAGATCGAGGCTAAATGATAGAGTGTACTTAGCGAGGCCGCTGTAAAGCGTTTCCGTATGCCATTGAAAACTTTACTTGATAATCGAGATGTGTAGGTGGAGTTAACGCCTGTCAATCAAACGATCGCCGAAGGTGAAGACACATTTCGCTACCATTTCTAGGCAAATATTACAACGATGATAACTATGTTCAGAATAAAGTAATTTGACTGAATTTTTCAATATATTCTTCTTTCATCATCTACTTTTGAACTGTTATAGCAAGAATGGCCAACTCTCTATAAAAATCTCCCATAATGTATCTTTAATAAAAGTATTCTGTAATTAATGCGTTGGTTGATAGGAAGCCAGTGTAAATCTTTCAGTACAGGTGCGATGTGCTCATATGGTTTCGTTTGAATTTTTTGAAGACGTTGTAAAGTTCGTGCAGGGATGCTAAACAGTATCGAATTGCAATAGTCCAGACGAGGTGTGATCAGAGCATTTACTATGGTTTTAGATTTACGAATTAGAAAGGAGAACATTTTTGGGGCATGATCGATATGCTTTTAGTGCTTTTTCGAGTTTGATCTCAATTCATCGAGTGGCTAAATACAGAGATCTTTGTTTATAACTATTGTAGGCTGCATAGTTTTCTGACGAGAACATCTAAAAATGCAATTTTATTATTATAATTAGTTTCAATAGTTAATTATATTAATTATTCAATAATTTGTGCAAATCTGCGATGAAAATAAGAAATACTCTATCTAAGTTTCTATAGTTAGTACCAATATGTATGTTTTCTGTTAAAAATTCCAGTAAAATGTTTGCTGAAGTCTGGATGAATAAACCGAACCCATGGCTGAGCCTTTAATTTGCATAAAATTTCGCTTTCCAATCTGAGAATAATATCGATAGATTTTTAGAATAAATGTTTTTGAAAAGCGGTTATTTTATAGAAGTTGAGGTAATCTATACAATCCAATAACTGGCCGTCGTCAGGTACAATTACATATACATCATTATCATAATGGCCCTAAATTATTATAATATTGCCTTATTATGATGATGCATGTGAAGCGTGAGTATGATATAATGCACGAAACGATCCATGACCATTCGAAAATTAGATTAAAATCGAGAAGATATAATATATGCATTATTTATATATAATTCATGCTTAGATATTGAGTCAACAGTCCCGTGGGAATAATTGTTTTAAATAATGGGGCTTACTAAGATTTAAAAATAAAAGTATTAAGACGGATTAAATTTTTGCATGTACTTTAAATTTAACATATTCTGTTTGTTTGCGATATTTTATTTGCCACTGTGTCAGCCATAATATGTTTTACTTTAAAATCTGTTTATAATTAATGTAAAATCAGAATATAGAAGATCATGCAAGCTATGATCAACTTGGCTGTCTGTGGGCGTATGTACCTAGGTATATCGGCCATTGTGATCTGAATGTGAGAACTATTCGTTACGATATCATCAGTAATAGTTTCTATCAATATCGATTCGTGTATATTGGATGTATGCGCTGTAATTTACTTTTTGGTTCGTCATAGCAACATTAGGCTATGTTAATATTTAGCTATTTCATTTTATGGACATGATTAAATGAGAGATGTTATACATTTTTCAGGTGTTGGGGAAATTCAGTAAAGATGTCTAGAAGCGGGTTACAGTTTTATAACGGTAGAGAAACGGATTATATACCACCTTCGGATTATAATAATCCTTATCATCCCGGTAAACAATATGGTTATAATAATTATGTAAGTTGTGACATAAAAGTATTTCCTAGCTCTTCAAATCCAGATTTTATCCTTCCAATGATGACAATGCAATATTTTGTCATTTTTGAATTATGATATGTGTGATGTAATGAAATATATTCCCATCTAAAGTATTTCCTAGCTCTTCAAAACCAGATTTCCTCCTTCTGATGATGAAAATGAAAATTTTGTCATTTTTTTAGGCATCTTGTGATGTAATTAAATATGTTCTCACCAAAATAGGTTGCATGTTATTTTAATTTGAATTGATGCTACAGTATATACCGTTTTAAAACAACGTAAAAACTACACTTTACTATAAACGTCTGAAGAGGGTATACTGTTTTTTGAAGATATTTACATTAGAATAGTTGACAAACAGTTATTCTCCCCTGTCAAGATTTTTGTATTTGAATAATTTATTTCTTACAGAAGTCCCCGGCTCGTTACGAGGATCCAGATGGACCCTACTATAACGAAAACAGATTGAATCAACCAAGATCAGATGAACCGGCTTACAGCGAATCGGGAACGGCCAATGACAAACAGCCCTGGTCTTATAGAAAGATATGTAGAAGATTTGCCGAAAGAACTTCCATGCAAGGAATTCCATATATTCATGCATCTAAGACGTGGTACTCTAAAGGAGCATGGACTTTGATATTTCTCATTGGAACTGGTGGAATGATATTTCACCTGTACTACCTGTTCAGTATATATTTACAATACCCAAAGCAAACAAAGGTCGAACTCGGTTTTGACGCTTTGCCATTTCCAGCTGTGACGTTTTGTAGCGTCAATCCAATGAGGAAGAGCATGGCCAAACTAGCTAGTAGAGAGCTTCGAGATTTACTGGAAGAAGTTAAACCAGAAAATGCACAGAAATTATATCAGGTAAATGACGTATGTGCCCACCGTGTTACAGCTTTCACGGGGATTACTTTCTGCGATATTGTCAATTAACATCTTCAATCCAGGTCTAGGAGTCGCTAGATGAGTTAAATTTTAGTATCCGGTCTGACGACATAAATATATGATGTTCAGCTATCGCCCTTTAAAGGTCATTCCTCATCAACATACATAATTGTGGCGATACATTAAGTTTACTATGGTAAGTAAACCCGAATTTTCATGCTTTCGGCCAAACACGCAGCTGTGTGGCGACAGAAAAAGACATTGCGAACCTGGTACAAATGAACCCTCCCTGAAACAATAGCATAGCCATATATTTGATTGAATCAAAGACAGTTTCATATTTTTGCTTGACATTGTATTTCAGGACGACGTCGAGGCGGCCCTGGGAGAAGTCGCTGCCGGTGTTGGTCCACTAATACGTAAGAAAAGATTTCTGGATAAACTAAACGTTAACAGATCCTCCACCAGGGTAGAAGTCGAGGAGCGTGAACATTTTGGCGAAGATGATTGGGAAAGAATCGGTACCAAGGATGAAGCTGATGAAATTTATGAAAATTTCCTTTCCTTGTTTAACGCAGAACCAAGGTAAGTGCAGTCTAGTAAGATGATTCATTGATCATTTTCCTACAAAATTAATCTAAATCTGTACAATGTGTGTTTGGAAACGTTTATAAACATATATATACATACATGTCATTTATGATAATTATAAAATCTTTGAGGAGCTTTTCAAAATATATGTTAAATGTTTCAAAGTATACCATTTAGATTTTTTTAAAATTTACAACTTAGATGCGTCTAAATATACGACGGACATGTTTGTAAATATACCACTTACAAGTTTCTAAATATACCACTTAGATGTTCTAAATTATACCAATTCGATGTTTCTAAATATCACGTTTCTAAATATACCCTTAGATGTTTCTAAGCATACCACTTAGATGTTTCTAAACATACCACTTAGATGTTTCTCAATATACCATTTAGATGTTTGAAAACATACCATTTAGATAATTCTAAATATACCACTTAGTTGTTTCTAAATAAACCACTTGGACGTTTCTAACACATAGACAAAAAAAAGGATAGGAAAGCATATATAATTTTGAAATTGCTGCATTAATTTTATATTGTTTCAGACATACTAGACTGAAGATGGGACACGAAATAGATTCTATGTTAATAAAGTGTTCTTTTGCTGGTAGAAGTTGTTATCCTGAGTAAGTTATCAAACCTTTGTACTTCCAGTTGGTAATATGATAATTGATAAAACTGGTCATCATGAAAAGATTTGATATACAAAATAAGTATTTTTAAAGAAAATGGGAAGAACATCAATAATTGCCGTTATGTTGTGACATATTTCAATTGTATTCTGAGAGATGTTTTGATTGGGATTTTCTTACCTCTGTCGTTCACTCACAAATCCCAATTTGAGTAATATTCCTCGCAATACAATCGACTCAAATAGGGTCATATCAGGTATTTATTAGAAAATATGAAATTTATGGTAGTTTATTAGTGTATAACGTTTATTTCCAGGAATTTCACACAAATTGCCGACTCACATTTTGGTAATTGTTACACTTTGCAGACTTCATTGTTTAAAAGTCGTAGAAGTGGACCAGATCAAGGTAAGTCTCGTTTGAAATAAATAATAAATCTCGTGATGGTTTGCATTAGAGTAGGCTTAATTGCGAATGTTGATTAAACATGCAAGAGCTAAATCTGCATATATAAACTATTAATTAGACATTAATTTACGTATGCAGAACATAATCAACTCTCGATGTCAGCGCTATCCTGCGATAATTGTTGGATTATGATCCGATTTGCTGCATAACTTTCCTTCTCGATTTAACGATTAACTGGATAATCGAGACTATGATTTTTGTCGTACCGACTTTAGTAATGATAACCGAGGATATGCGGAACTTTCGAACGCTTATTTCTCGGTTCATAGTGGATCAATTTGACTGAAATTTTCAGCAAATTGCCTCTACATTATCAAGTTTTTAACTATTACAGTGAGAACTGCCAACTCTCATAATGTATCTTTAATTTATGTTTTTTTAATGTTTAAACACTGATTTCGTTGGAAGTACCAGTATAATTAATACATGTTTATTTCTACGAGTGGTTGTGTAGGTTGGGGTCCCAGTGACCAGTGTATTGATTTGCCAGGAGGCCCTATAATGGTGTTCAGACGGTTCGGTTTGTACTATGGTTATTATAATGACCTAAAGCTGCTAGTCGTTACCACAATATGAGCTCATAAACGCTGCTGTAGATTATTTCTTAGTTGAAAATTGGGATTAACGTACCATTCAGTCTTGTGAATGGGTATGCTTTAAATACCATTTACCAAACAGGCAGACAATCCAAACAGTACAGTCACAAATTGTCATGCTTACGAACATGATGACTCGAAAGAAATAAAAATTGCAAGAACTATGGATTGGGCGGGATATTTGGATCTCCCAAATCTAAAAAAGATTACTTGTCTGAAACAATAAATGAATCAATGTATTAGGGAGAGAGAGAGAGAAATGGGGTTTAACGTCCACTCGACACAAACTAGGTCATTTCGGGACTAACACATGGTTCAATTGCTCGTAGGGGTCTTTAGCAGTGGAAGGAAGCCGGAGGACCCGGAGAAAACCCACGGGGTTGGACAGGCGACCCTACTCCTTGCCACGTACAACCGGGGAATCGAAACCCCGCCAGTTGACAAAATGACAGACCGTATGATAAAGCGTGCGTGCTACCTTTTGTCAACATATTTCCAATCGGGATGTTGATATATCGCAGTGTTCGTGATCAATTATACTTAGCATATAACACCAGATCGTCTCTTCTGAGAATTTCGCCATTCATATTTATTTTAGACATAAACTAACGTGGGCCCTTTCCTTTTGAAGGTCTTGAGGTGATACTTTTCTTGCAAAATCACGAGTTTATTAGAGGTATAACTAATGGTAATGGAATACAAATGTTGGTTCATGATCGAGATGTTATGCCCCATCCTTACGATCAAGGTCTCGCAATTGCATCAGCTTCTGAGTCAATCGTTGGTCTTACATTGGTAAGTATTTTAGATTTACATATGTGGCTACGATATTACCAGAGATAACAAAAGCTATGTTTACAAACATGACACTGCAGGTTCTCGTAAAGATATTCCTTTTACTGTAAGCCGTATTCTTCAATTGAATATGTAGGCTATGCTTAATATTCTATGAAAATTGACTATAACAAATGCATTGTGCTTGTTATTAGTATCAACTACAAATTTATAAGCCATTTTCATTTTATTTCAGCTTAGGATCAATAGACTAGGGAAACCTTATGCAACTTGTCAAGATGTAACAGCCTTCCAAAACCTGTATGGAGCTAAATATACTAGAGCGGTAATTACAAATCACACACTTATTCTGCCCTGTAAAACTGTTTAATAATCTCCTATGCAGTATTACGATTTTCGCAAAAGAAAGACATAAATACGTGTCAAGTATCACCGAGTCATACCGCCTCACTGATTGATATTATCAAGAGTTAATAAATTTCAATTAGGTTCTTAAATGATTCATAAGTCGGTTCTTTGGTATTTATAACCAAAATTTCAACCTTGACTGCACCTGTATTGAACTTTAGAAAATTTCTTATATATTATTTTATAGTAGTATTTGCTAAAATACTAAATATTAAAAGTTTTCTAAATATTAAAAGTTTTCTAAATATTAAAAGTTTTCTAAATATTAAAAGTTTTCTAAATATTATAACGTTTTCTAAATATTATATTCACAATATTAATATATATTCACAATATTAATATATATTCACAATATTAATATATATTCACAATATGAATATATATTCTAAATATTAATATATTTTCTTAATAATATATCTTCTAAATATTAATACATTATTTATTTACTAAAATAATGGTATCTAAAATATTGATAACAGTATCTTTCAATAACGTTATAATGGTTACTAATATATGATTTCATTTTCCATGTTCTTTTACAGTCTTGTCAAAAGTTTTGTGAAGCAATACTCATAATGGATAACTGTAACTGTACCGATCCTTTTAAAGAAGAAATAAATCTAAAGATTGGCAACACCAGGGAATTGCCGCATGAATGTCGTTCAGAAAAAGGTAACTAATTTCACTAAACATACAGATATGAAGTTGTCCCAATTTTAATTCATTGTTCTTCACTAAGTTCCTTTTTTTACGAGAATCACTGACTCACTAACCAGGAGGTCCGATCTAAGTATTGACGGAGAAAACTCCCCGGGATTTCCCAGCATGGGTTCGCCTTTTCAGTGGTGCAGGGTGGATGGAACGAAAACCTTTGGTTGCACGTAAAAGAACCTTTGACAGCCAGAATTCAATTTCCGCCTGGGCACAATTTCCCTCATAGTACACGTCATTAAGCCTGCTCGATCCGAAAGCTTGGACATTAAACCCCCTTCCGTTAATTCATCTTAGTTGATATCTAGAAGTTAACTATTCAGAACAAAACACAACACAAGGTATATATGGATACAACTAAATTTCCTGTTATTTAATAACGACGTTTCGTAACACATGCAGGTCAGGTTTTCAAGTTAGTTCTCGTCAGTTATATTTATTATATAATTATACTATAAATATTTTCAGATACGAAATGTATGGTTTCTACTGAACGACGATATGAGATTGGTGATTTAAAATGTACATGTGATGATCCATGCGAGTAAGTATTTTGTAACTAAATGATATCCACTTAATAGTTACCTGAATTCGTATTGACTAATTCACCATGTTAACCTATAGTCATTTCTAATTATTTTAGAATATCGGCAAGAATGAATGAATGAATGAAATGGGTTTAACGACCTTCTTTTTGTGCTCCAACTGGGTTAATGAGGACAGGCATTCGCCATGCAGCGTGCTATGAGGGTAATTTCCCCCACACAGCAATCGAATTCCAACTGTCAAGTGTTCTTTTACGTGCATGCCCAGGTGTAATCGTGACCGCGGGTTTTCGATACGCTGAGCCAGTGCGTTTATCATCGGCAAGATCACCACATTGTATGTTCTGTATTTTCTCATCGAGCAATAATTACAACGTATATTGCATATTACATTATACCCTTTTTGAAATGTTCTTAACGTTGTCTTATTCTATTTGTTATAGTGAAACTAAATATGTGAAGTCAGTATCTGCAAGACAATGGCCATCTAAAAGTTATGCAGTAGGTTTTATTTTCTCTTTTTATTTGACACGATTTATGTGGGGGGGGGGGGGTCGCCAGATAAACGTTGTCACCGCCGTTGTGTGTGTCATTTTCCTTTACATTTTATTATACGTTCACAATTCATGCGGGTGTATATTATCCTCTCTCATGTCCGTCCGACCGCAATCCATTGGATATTGTTTCTCAAACTGTCAGAGATTGGTCTACCATTTCTATGGAGGATCACTGTTGGACACTTTGTGAAACTTTCACAGGTCAGAGTTCCTGAGGGTTGTTTGTCTTGTACATGTATACGCGGCCTATACTCTAGGTCAGAGATCTCGAGATAGTTATTTCCTCTGAACCTGAACATTTGAACGGCATCTTCAAAACGCTTCTGTTGGGGGAGGGGTGTATATTTATTGCTTGGCAACTCCGTATACATTCACTGCATAATGGGGCATATCAGTCAGTTAAGGCAGATAACTGAATTTGCTTTTGTTGTCATTAATGTTTTCATATTCCATTATAGGATTTGTTACTGGATATATTATGTAATAAAAGAGGAAAAGCAGAATGTGCCAATTATGAAAAGGGCGATGACAGATCGCTGGCGTAAGTAATTCATATTTTACTGCGGATATTGTCGTAAATCCTAACTGTCCGACATCCAATTTAAGTTCGCGTGGGTGTGCTACTGGCTATGTTGAACGCTAAAATACTTGCTACGGGCACCGAAACGTAGGGAGGAAGTTTCTGCTAAGACAGGAGTTAAAACCAAATGACCAAATGAGGTCTTTTGCATAAAAATATTTTACTGATATTTATTTAGGTGCTAATTGTTAATGGTTCCCAAATCTTTATATATCAACATTTTGATACGTCTTTTTATTTCTGTTTTCAGCCAGAACTTCGTGAAGTTAAACATTTATTTTGAAGATTTGAATTATCAAAATATTACAGAAGAACCCGACTATCAGGTAATTCTATTAGTAAATGATTTTGCCCATTACAGATATTTTGTTAAATCAACAATATGTGATAGACTGTATGTATATTGAATTCACATGGCCAGATCCATTTAAATACAAGCTTGATGCACATAATTATAGCTGTTACGTTAATGATATCTAAGGCCCTGTTTCACAAAAATCTCCTTAAAATCGTCTTAAACTAAAATTTTACCCTAACTTAAATGAGTTTCACAATAAAATCCACTAAAATAATATTTTATGTTAAAATTGTATCTTAACTTAAAATAGTGGCGTTTCACGATACTATTTTAGGGATAATTTTAACTAAAATCAATTTAACTTAGGACAGCAGTCACCCTCTCCTGACATTAACAACCATTGATCACGCTGTTCGATCTATTATAGTTATATTTGGAATAATGATAATATTGCCATTGGCCCGGGTCACATAATTTTACCTTGCCATTATTAAAAAAAACGAAACACGTATTGTTTCTGTTAGTGTTTTTATTTTATTTTATTTTTTATTTTTGTGTGTGTGTGGGGGGGGGGGGGCTGGATTTAGTCAGAGTGTGCAGCTAAAACTGTACATGGTGCTGAAATTCTGCCAACGTAGATGTGTTTGACATCCGTGGATCTATTTATTAAATATAAATTGGGTCATTTACGGTTGGGACAAAAAATAATCTCAGAACCCCCCCCCCCCCCCCCATATCCCGGTTATTCATCAACGGATCGTTGTCGGGTTTTCATTTTTGGATTCTTTGAACGAATCCCATATGGACTCTGACTGACGGTTGTTCGAAATTCGGAAGTTCGCTCTATTAGTTCTAGAATCAAAGATGTGCCACTACTGATCTTAGCAGAAGCTGGTGACTGTTGATAATAGTTATTGTTTATACCACGGGCTATATCTATTGTATTAGTACTACTTAGCCTTCCATAATATATAATGCATAATACATTTTTTCTCTAGGATTCTCAATTTGCTTCTGATGTTGGTGGAACCGTTGGATTATGGATTGGGTTATCTGCCCTTAGTTTGGTAGAAGTTTTCCAGTTCATCGCTGAAATAATCAACTACACATGTTGTAAACGAAAATCACCACGTGATCAACAAAAACAAAATGAGAGCAAGCAAAATGAGAGTGAAATGAAAGGTTTTAGAAATCAAAACTTCAAACAATAAATTTGACTGACTTTTGATAATTACTTCCGCAGTTATTGTTCTTGATAAGTTTTTAGCATCTTAATCATCACCTCTAAAATCATCACCTGCTCAAAAATTTCTAACAATTTCTTATCGAGTAGAAGCTTATGAATGCTCTAGATGCAAAATGTATTAAAATGTCTTGTGATATCTTGTTTAAAGAGTTACAATATGACAATCTTCACCTGAACCCGTCTCCATTAGCCCAGTCGGGGCAGAACAACTGTAGAGCGTTCATTTCATTTCTTTATCTGGACTGCTTGGACGACTAAGTTGCTAATAGTGTGGGGATTGTTGCCAGACAACCTGTCTTTTTTTTCATATTTGAAAAGAGAAATTTTCTAAAAATGTGATATGTTTTAAAGGCCATTATTTTTTTATGCTTCACAAACTATTGTGTTGTGGTTCCTGTTTGTATTATTTAGAGTTCTCGTTCTTGTTATTATAAGAAACATTTATATTCAAGATTATCGGTGTTGCTTTTTCCCAGATTTTTGTTTATAGTATAGTAATGTTTAGAATTTTATTTTCTGTTTTAAAAAGGAATGAACATATACACCATTTCTCTCTGTATTTATTATTGACTTAGATTATATTGTTTTGAATCTCACACATTTATATAAACACGTTATACAATATTATTTTATTAGTTACTTATTGTTTACTTCAATACGTGTATAACACTTTAAGACACTAGACATCTGGGGCCTGTTTCACGAAATTTTAACTAAGATAAAATCCAAATTTTAGTAATTTGATTGGATAATATTAGATTGATTTTAGTGCTTAGCCAATCAAAAATTGAAGTATCTACTAAAATTTGGATTTTATGTTCAATTAAGATTTCGAGAAACAGGGCCCTGCTAAGTGTCAGCTTGGTCTTCACCAAGTCCTAAGCACTATCCACTATTTATCGTGGGGGCGACACTCTTCGGTAAAGCTTAAGGATCCATCAATTAAAGTAAGATTAACCTGAAACTCTGCATGCTTGTTCCTTTCACAAATGTGCAACGATTGACTTAATCCGATATTTAATATGGCGTCTTAATTCCACTCGGTTCCTATTCCATCTTGCGCCCATGCTTATTAAAATTTAGTCTTAGTACACTGTATGTTATATGAGGTGCTTGAATCATTCTAATATCATTTATACTCGAAAATCGTTCTTTGTTGAACTTAAAATTTCTCTTATCTCCCCTTTTTCACAATAATGTTAGTGTATATATAATCTGTAAATAGAATCTATATTTCTTTATCATCATACAATGTATGTCGTGTTTGTGGGCACACGGGTATTAAAATTCATGGCTTCTGGGACAAAAATTTAAACAACACAAGAAGCTGTTTGTCTTGTAATTAAAGTAAAGTAAACGGGTTATCATCGTACTCATCAACCATGACTTTAACGTTCCGTATCATACTGATCATTCATAGTTTAAAAAGTGTGTTTATGTATATTTTAATAAAAAAAAATAGTTGTTGTTAATGTTTTCTCCTTTCCAGCGTCTTTTCTGTTTGAACGACTGCAGTATATCAAGATGACAGTGGCATTTTAAACGTGAATTCAAGCAGATTTAAAAATACAATGATTTTGTCACCAATAATTTATATCTTACTTTTACTTAGTGATAACGTACAGTCCAATCCGGGGACCAGACAAACATCTGAGTCTCTTTTACTTAACGTAGTATCTCACAAAAACTTGATCTTATACAAGCTAAGCTGAATTCTCCGATAATGATATCCTAGCATTTTCAGAAACCTGGTTAGGTAAAGACTCAATAGTAAAAAACTTAAACATGATGGTTTTCATTTACCTGTACTATTTAACCGTGGGGTGGGAATTTATATTAAAAACTCTCTATTTTATAAACCTAGACCTGATTTTCATATACCAAATCTTGAAGCGGTATGGGTTGAGATCAAAACTAAAAGTAAAACCGTTCTTGTTGGCTGTTTTTACAGGAAACCTAACTCAGCCATTGATTACTGCCACCGGATAGCAAATAGTGTCTCACTAGTTAAAGCTGAAAACAATCCTTGCCTTTTTGTAGGCGATTTTAATTTTAAATATACCATCCAGATTATTTGTTATTATAAAACGCTGTAACTTAACCCAACTGGTTATAAAGAAACCCGGGGGATCACGTGGCTAAGTGGGTAAGACGCTGGCTCGCTAGCCTGGAGGTCGGGTTTTCGATCCCTGCTTTGGCCGAGAAAGTTCATTCAGATTTTCCGGCATGGTTTCCCCTTGTCAGTGATGCAGGATGTGGGCCTGTCTAGTCGTTCGGATGGGACGAAAAACCGAGGTCCCGTGTACACATTGGCGTGCACGTAAAAGATCCCTTGGCAGTTGGAATTCGATATAAGAGTAGGCCGTAGCGCCGTTGCCCGGGCAAAATTTCCCTAATAGCAAACTGTATGGCGTATGCCCGTCTTCATTAGCCCCGGTTAGGAGCAGAACAGTAGGACGTTAAACCCCGTTTCAATTCATTTTATAAAGAAACCAACCCACTCTTCTACTTTATTAGATCTCGTGTTAGTTAGTGGTCCCGATTTCGTTCACACAACAAATGTTCTTGAAGCAAGTTTGAGCGACCACTGCCCAGTTAGAGTGGTTTTTACATTTAATAACCCCAACCGAAAAGCTACGCTAAGACTCTATGTTCATATTCCAAAATCGATTTTGAAGAACCGAAAAGGCACTTTGAAGCATTAAATTGACAAGTATTATTGAGATAAACGAATCCGCTAATAATTTGGGCAACTCTTTTCGTGATGTGTTGATTAAAGCCATTGGGGATTACACCCCACACCAAAGTGTGATTATACGCCCCCGAGAAGAAACCCCCAAAAACTTGACCAAAAAGTTTCAGAGAATAATTGGTGCTGACTTGTCACATCAATTCACACTAATACCCCCTCTGCATTTTAATAACACAATATTTTACGATACCAACGAAATATTTTAAATAATGTATTCGTTAGTAACAATCAATTAAGCGGCATAGATGATGAACGTAGACATTAGCATTTAATGATCTCTCCATCGAATATATAGTGATCAATCTTCCGAAGTGCATGATATTTTAACATTCAACTGTGTCAAAAAAGCCCCCGGACTTGACAACATCAATAATTTAATATTAAAATCGTGTACAAAAAGCCTATGCATACTACTCATGGATCATGACCATATCATATATAGTAAAGGAGCTATAGGTTCTGGTTGTTTCGAAAATCGCGTACAAAATTTCTACTGTGCTAGAAGAATGAACTGTGGTAACCGACACTCTGAGCCTTATTTCTTAAGTTGCGGGTCCAATTCCAAGGAGGGTGACAAGTCCGGAAATACGTCGAAATTTCAAGTTTAACTCGACTTTTGTGCACAACGACCAACCTCAGATGTCATTAGAACACTGCTGAAGAAGACTCCAGACACTTCCTTGCTCCCATAAGACCCCCCCCCCCCCACACACACACACCTACACGTTTACCACCCTCAGAGATGTGTTAATTCAAAATTCAACTTTCGCGTATATTATTTTTTGCGTTAGAAAACGGAGGTCCATTAAGCGGACTGTAGTTTTAATCCTTTTGTATTTGATAATCCCCATACTTGCCTGCTCCTAGCATGAGAACAATAGCTGGCGGCATAATGAGGTAACCCCTTACAGTTGTTTTCTTAATGTATATTTCTTTATGTTCGTTTGTACTCTTTTGACAGTGTTTAAGTGTAAATTGACAGTTTTAACTAAATTGATCAAAACAAAGAATTAAATTGACGGCCAATTGTCTGTGATGCAGAACTACTTCTACGTTAAAACAATAGGTTGGCTTATCCAATTTACGAGTTAATTGGGATTGGGCAATGATATTAATCTTCATACTGACCAATCGCAGACCCATATTCATGCCACATTAAAGATACCATAAATTGATATCGATGTCGTGTCCGAGATCATACATCGAGAACTTATATGACCTTTAAGATAAAGCATACCAATCCGATATCCCGAGGGTAAGTCAAATTTCATTTCTTTGATAATATAAACCGTTCCTTCTTAACGTTTAAAACGACGGATATTCCGGTTCAGTTCAATGCTTTTGTATAAATGACCAGGATATTCTCGGTTCAGTTCAATGCTTTTGTATAAATGTTCACATTTTAGTTATTCCGAAAAAAAGGGCTATTAAATTGGATATTATCGATGACGTAAATCAATTTATGAACCCTTCTGCATGCTACCTTCTTTCGGATATTACGTTTCATGGGGTATATTCATCACGCCGTTTGGTCATTCTGGTACTAACGTGGTACATTTTCTTTCACGTGCTAAAAATGAGCTGCGATGGGCAGGAGTTGGAGGAACCGGAGAAAAACCCCATGTCCCCCCTCCCGACCTTCCCCTCTTATGCCATATACAAATCCGGGATTGAAACTACACCGTTTGACCCAACTTGTGATCATAAGGGTACGACAAAGACTAGCCTTATACCGTGTAGTACAGATAACACTTTGCAAATATGTGTCATATATAAGCCAATCATTATTTATACAGGGTCTAATTGCTATGGGGAGAATAAGTATTAAAATTATACTTTGTGGAATTGTTTCGAATTTATAGTGTATCATTTGTAAGCATGGGTTCAGGTTTCCAAAGACAATTCATAGTAATTACGACCTTAGCTTGTTGTTTTATAAATGTATTATTAGACGCTCGTGCGTTTGTTGTCACTGACACACTGTGAACTTGAGCTCGTGGTGTACAGCAACCTGAAACAGCGTCATATTGGTGAGATACCTGAAAGGTAAATATTATATAGTGTGTATGCGATTTGAAGGCATTGCCACGATCGCTTTGTTATTTATATTATTTGAATAATACTATAATGGTTTTAGAGTAACATAAACAAATATTCGTGTCCAACAACTGGAAAAATTATTGGTTACACTAAGGCAAGTGGAAATGTTCCATTTTCATACCCGTTTTCATAAGACCGGATGGTCTTCATTAGCCCACTCTCTACAGAAAAATAGAACATTTTGCCCGGATAGCGGTGCAACGGTCTACTCTAATATCGAATTCCTACTGCCAGCGGATCTTTTACGTGCGCGACGTTTGACTTTGTACCACTGACAAGTGGGTATCACGTCGGAAAATCCCTATGAACCTTCTTGGCTAACACCGGGGTCGAACACGGGACACCCAAGTTAATGACCCAACATCTTACTCACTGAGCCACCGCGGCTAGTTGGAAGATGAGGAACTCCACTCTAGTTTAGCTATTTGTAAGGTCATCATTAATTATTAATCAAGATATTTTATACATTCTTCAGGTGGAATAAACTGCAGAAGTTAAATAAAGTTCAGTAAAGATGTCTAGAGACGGGTTTCAGTTTTATAACGGTAGAGAAACGGATTATATACCACAATCAGATTTTAATAATTCTTATTCTACCCATCATTCTGGGTATAACAATTACGTAAGTAATGTACTAATGAAATATTGCATTTCAAATAGATTTTAAAGGGGCTAATAAGTCGCTATTCTTTGCCACCTCGAAATGGACACACGTGTCCCAACCATATAATAATGTAATATGAATATTTATAAACTGATTTACATACATGTACATTCAATCGTTTCTGTTTTTACCTTAATTTTTAATCAGTTATGTTCGGCGAAATACGCGAAGAGTCCGAATTGTATGACAGTCTTTGATGTCTGGTTAATCCAGTCTACACTGGTAGCATTCTCTTACATGGGATATGTTTATCCTCGTTCATCGAGTCCCCACATACAAAAGGCTTTCAAAAGCGATTCTCGTGCCAATTTTAAAATTTTATTTAGGTAAGTCAAAAACATCAGTGTTGATTTAAACTGAGCAATAAGACGAAGACTGGATGGTCCTTAAGTGGTTACATATTTCTCTATCAACGACGAACGTGTCATATCTTGTCATTTCTATTATGGATAAATGTTATACAATAAAATCATTTCGTGGAATATTTTGCATTTAAGAAGTTTAACAAACGCTAGCGTAAAACGCCTGACAGTTTTTGGAAATTGAATAAGTAAAGAGGTTTTGGAATATGAATATTTTTTTAGTGGTTAAAATCATCATGATATAAAGCATCTTTAAATTGATAATACAGTAAATCTTGTATCAAACGACCACCAACGGCCAAATTATAAATTGAAAATTATTATATACTCTGTTCTTTGAAGATATTAAATACAGTTAATATTTTTCTTCCAGATTTCTCCGATTGCTTATGATCCTGAGATTCCTTACTATACCGAAAGGAAATTGAACCAACCAAGGTCTGATCAACCGACTAACAGCGAATCAGAGTCGAACAATGAAAAGGAACCCTGGTCTTTTAGGAAGATATGTAGAAGATTTGCCGAAAGAACTTCCATGCAAGGAATTCCATATATTCACGTGTCTAAGACGTGGTTCGCTAAAGGAGCATGGACTTTTATATTTCTCATTGGAACTAGTGGAATGATATTTCACCTGTTCTATCTGTTTGGTATATATTTACAATTTTCAAAACAAACCACAGTCTCGCTCGGTTTTGACGCTTTGCCATTTCCAGCTGTGACGATTTGTAGCGTTAATCCAATGAGACAAAGCATGACAAGTATAGCTGGCGAAGATCTTCAGGATCTACTGAATGACGTTAAACCATCAAATGTACAACAATTATATCAGGTTAGTCTTTTAAAAATTTTCTCGATAAATTCGGATATCGGTCGGTTAAATTGCTGTAGCACAGTTGGAATTCAATTGTTGCCTTGGCAAAATTTCCTTCATAGACCGTATGGCGTATGTTCTATGCCCGTGTTCATTATCCAGGTTGGAACAGAACAGCAGGACGTTAAACTTCGTTCATTCATTCATTCATTCATTCATGCATTCTGTATACAGGTAATACTATAATACAAGTATTTCTCTCAGGATTTTTCATTACTAGAATCTGTTTTATACCAATAAATTGTTCCTGACATTGTCAATATTAGTAAGGAATATTCTGGGGACACTGGTAAATACGTACCTTTTAAATTAGTTCGGTTTGATTATTAAAACAAATACGTTTTTTTTTAAGTCGGATTTTAATCTAGAAACGTTGATGCAATACGCATATTTAAAGGTGATGAAAAAAAAAGGGGTTTAACGTCCTACTGTTCTGCTCCGAACTGGGCTAATAGGGCATAAGCCATGCAGTGTCAGGGCCCGTAACTAAAGGGGGGAGGGGGGTCGAAGCCCCTCTCTGCAAAAAAATTTTCGCGCCCCCCCCCCCCCCTGTGAAAAATTTTTCGACCATAAAAATAATTGATATACATTGTCCGTCAATTTTAAAGCACCCCTGAGAACACTTCTCGCCCCCCCGGTTGCTCTGAGCTAGTTACGGCCCTGTGCAGTGTGCTGTGAGGGAAATTTTGCCCGGACAGCGGCACTACGGCCTACTCTTATATCAAATTCCAACTGTCAAGGGATCTTTTACGTGCACGTCAATGTGTAGACGGGACCTCAGTTTTTCATCCCATTCGAACGACTAGACAACTGTCCTTGTCAGGTCTTCCGTCCTGCATCACTGACAAGGGGGTACCACGCCAGAAAATCGGGATGAACTTTCTCGGCCAATGCAGGGATCGAATTCCCGACCTCCAGACTAGCGAGTCAGCGTCTTACCCACTTAGCCACCGTGACCCCCATATATTTAAAGGTAGTGGATGTGAATACTGATGCGGTATGGAATCACATATAGTTTTACCCTGTACAGTGTATCAAACTGGCACTGCTGTGGCACTATAACCAAGATGTAGTTGTATTAGTTCTTTTTGGTGAGAAAAGAAACAGGACCTCGATGTCTGTGGTGACAGGGTTGTTCTGTTTTTGCATTGACAATAATCACATCTTACTAATAAAAAGGGAGCCACGGTGGCTAGGTTGTTAAGACGCTGGACCGCTAGCCTGAAGGTCGGGTGTTCGATCCCTGCATTGGCCGAGAAAGGTCATCCAGATTTTCCGACGTGGTTTCCACTTGTCAGTGCTGCAGAACGGAGGATGATACGAAAAACCGAGGTTCTGTGTATATATTGGAATGCACGTAAAAGATCCCCTGGCAGTTGGAATTCGATAAAAGAGTAGGCGATAGTGCCGCTGTCCGGACAAAATTTCCCTCATAGCAACACTGTATCGCGTATGCTCGTCTTCATTAGCCCAGTATAGGAGCAGAACAGTAGGACGTTAAACCCCCTTTCATTTCATTTACTAATAAAAAAATATAAAGGGATCAACGAAACATGAAATTTCAGAACCCACCTAACATGGAGCCGCCTAATGGATCACCTTATGGACCACCTTTAGTAAGAAAGAAACGATTTTTAGATAAACTGGAAGTGAAAAGACCACCTACCGAACTAGACATCGAAGACGGTGAAGGTTATGGCAAAGATGAGTGGGAATCAACTAGTACTAGGGATGAGGCGGATGAAATCTATCGATATTTTTATTCCCTGTTTAACTCCGAACCAAGGTAAATGCAATTATGGTATTAGTTTGGTGACAAAAATAAAATTAAAAGAAAAAAATAATGCTGGCTATAGAGTCAGACACCATTGTAACAAGCTTAAGGGTGAATCTTGCATTTTGATTGGTCAATTAGACATTGTCGATTGGACAATAACACCCCTCTGTTTTAGTAATTTCTTTTAAAATGCTAAAATAGCTTGTTACAATTTCGATAAACACTTCCTGTTTCGCATTTAGCGGGGTGTTATTGTCCAATAGACATGTGACATATCCTGGGATTCTACATTAGAACCCGCGACGGGAAGTGTTTATCTCCTAAATGATGGGCTTTAAAACACACTGGTTATATAGTTTGAAGGAATAACAAAGCTGAAGGTGAAAGAAACACTCAGATATCGCACATTTAAGCCTATAAGGTGCAGCTGTGGCTCAGACGTGTCTCCTATCCATATTCTAGTAGACTGTGCTCGCCTCTCAGCTGAAAGGAAACCTCTCACGGATAAACTGAGTTCCCTCAACACGGCTCTCAGTGTTCCGAACTTACTTTTTCCAAAAGTAAGCAAACACGAAATCTATGAGTTAATCTACGAATTCGTGTGTGAGATCGGTATCATTGATATGATGATGTGACCCCGCAGAGACGAAAAGAGTGTTCTACTCTGTGAAGATTTGGGGGCCCACCCCAAGACCCAACGGACGGGATCCATAAGTGATCATCCCGAGGGCTACTGCTAGTCGGACGTCCCTAAGTGAAGGGATGTCGGGTATCCTGTGGGGGGCCGTTTTTTGTCTTGGTTCTGGTCCGGAGGCATCGCTGCACCCCTGAACCTAGGTCGGACAGGCGGCGGGGCCCTTGGGCCCGGCTGAAAGTCCTACCTACCCCTACCCACCCAAAACAACGATCGAAACATTTATGGCCAAGCGGACCAGACTGCGCCCGCTCGCCACCCCTTTTCTACCCCAAAACTTTCTCCGCTCCTTTCGATGAGATTTTTAACTTGGGCATTCCCTGCTAAGACACTATGTCTCAAATTAAACTGGACCAAAGCTTAATCCATACGGCTTCCTCCAGTAAGTTTCCTAGGAAACATCCTTGTCTACGATATCACCTTAGGTGGAAGTAGACGTAAAACCCCAGAAACGAACGACGAACGATTTAAGGGGAGAAATGGAATTTAACGTCCACTCGACACAAACTAGGTCAATTCCGGACTATCAGGTAAAGGAATCGTCGCAGATATACTTTAGTGAATGTCTTGTCAAATTCTTTAAATAGCAGAGAAACTTTCAAAATTCCAATTAATATGCTATATTATGATCGTCATTAATTTTGCTTGTGACATCCATTAAGAATCTCAGTCACGAGTCCATGCTTCGATGCGGTACAGGTAGTAAAATAGCTACATGATTATGTATTTATATACTTTCAGACATACAAGATTGAAGATGGGACATGAAATAGAAACTATGCTAATTAAATGTGCTTTTGCTGGTAGAAGTTGTCATCCCGAGTAAGTTATCATAAATGCGAAATAAGTATTTCAAATCTCCATGTATGGTGTGGTTACACTGAGTAAGATAGGCTTGTTGATGTAAAGGTTAGATTATACTATTGCGTATACAGAAGAATAAATCCATTTGTAAATGGTAACGCGGTGGACCAGTGAGTACGACGCTGGCTCGCTAACCAGGAGGTCCGAAGTTCGATCCCTGTATTGGTCGAGAAAGTTCTCCGGGATTTTCCAGCGTATTTACCCCCTTTTCAGTTGTGCAGGACTGGGGGCCTGACAGGGGTGCGACGAAAACCGAGGTCCCGTGTACACATTGGCAAGCACTTAAAATAACCATTGGCAGTTGGATTTCTATATAAAAGTAGGCCGTAGCACCGCTACCCGGGCAAAATATCCGTCATAGCACACTGGATGGCGTATGTCCGTCTTTTTTTTTTATCCCAGTCGGTGCAAAAAAGAAGAACATTAAACCCCATTTCATTTTCATCTATAAAGCACCAAATCCCCAAAACTGTCTCATTTCGCATAAGTGTGGAAGCCTATAACTACCATTCATAATTTCTACTTTTCGCCTCTTCAGAACACGAAAGTCGAAAAGTCGAAAAGTAGAAGTTACGACAAAATGTGAGGCGACAAGACGGTATACAAGCCAAAATCAACTCGAAAATAGGAAATTAAGAAATAACACACCGCGATAATAGCGCCCCCGTATTTTCTTAATTTCTACTTTTCGACTTGCATTTTGGCTTATATACCGTCTTGTCGACTTTCGGCTATACAAGCCAAAATGTAACTCGAAAAGTAGAAATTAGGAAATTAACACACTGCGCTAATAGCGACCTATGATCTGTCGTACTGTCGACTTTTCCACTTTTCGCCTAGGAAGTGGTTGTAGTCTCTGCCTTCCAGGTCACATTTGAATACGCGCAATTCCCGTCGAAAAGTAGAAATTAAGAAAATACGGGGGCGCTATTATCGCGATGTGTTATTTCTTAATTTCCTATTTTCGAGTTGATTTTGGCTTGTATACCGTCTTGTCGCCTCACTTTTCGACTTTTCGACTTTCGTGTTCTGAAGAGGCGAAAAGTAGAAATTATGAATGGTAGTTATAGGCTTCCATACATAAGACACTAGTACCTAAATATATAATTCAAACAGATAAGTGTTGAATTATTACGCTTGTTTAAAAGTTTGTAGCTGAAGTGACTGATTTGGAATGAGATACCTTCAGAAGACTTGAAGAACACGAATAATTAGTAAAAAAAGCTGGATCAAATCACAGACTGAATATGTTTATTTTATTCATGATTTTTAAACTTTTATTATAATTAGACTATTTAATTAACTTTATATTCAGGAATTTCACTCAAATCACAAATTCGCATTTTGGCAATTGCTACACTTTACAGACGCCATTTTTTAAGAGTCGTAGAAGTGGACCAGGTCGAGGTAAGTGTACAAATATCCATTTCAGTTCATTATCATGGTTGTTTTCATAAAATCGTTTTTAGTGACGGTAACCCGAACCATCTAAAATGTAAAGACGCCTTACTTCTTTTGGCGAAATTGAGAGTTAAGGGGTTTAAATTTGCTTACAGGTACACTAATCCGATTTTACCTAATTATCTCTAGCCTCCAGTTTAAAGGAATATATATATATATATATATATATATATATATATATATATATATATATATATATATATATATATATTTGCTGTACATTACATTATAATAAATATTTACAATACATGTTGCACATGTATATGCAAATAAGTCTATGTGTTAAGGGTAAGAAGCGATATCCTCATACTCTATCACACCTAACTCAACCCGTGTGAGCCGTCTTTCGGGTACAACAATGACATTGATGAAATTATTGTCTTTTTCTCATAAGACCATTCACCTACTCGTAGACTTGGGGTGTCTTTACCATTTACCATTATAGGGATGGGATTGGTTTACTTCACCATATAAGGATGGGATTGGTTTACTTCACCATTATAGGGATGGGATTGGTTTACTTCACCATTATAGGGATGGGATTGGTTTACTTCTCCATTATAGGGATGGGATTGGTTTACTAACGATTTAATTGCTCCTTTTCATTATGAAATTGTTTTATTGTTAATTGAGTGAACACATTTCAAATTGTAGGCGTCAACCAAATCAGTTCTACCCAATTTAGAAAAAAAAAACGTTTCTTAACATTAATTCGCTTGTTATAACCACGGACATTCATCAAAGAAATCCTACTGATTTCACCATACGCTCTTTTCATAATGGGAGGATTATAAACAATATGCTTACTCATTTGATAGTGATCACATTAATGTACAATGTTTCGGGAACATCCAGTAACACATCATGCCGAGATTTTCCCAATGTATGTTTGATATTGACGATCGATAGTACTATTTCATGTAGAAAGGTTGTCAGGAAATGGGGTATTAGTCCTACGAAGGAACAATTTGCCCGGGTTACTGTTTTACATGTACGTCACCATCCAAACGATTATATACTGTTCCTTACTAGCCCCACCCCGTCCTACATCCATGACCAAGGGAACACCACGCTGGAAAACAACTGGATCGAACAGCGGGGCTCCTGGTTAGCGAGCCAGTACCTTACTTACTGAGCATCCATGATTCCCATATTGTCACGGGCAAGACTCGTTATTGCAACCCTTTCGTTTGCATTTCTATTTAAAGGTCTAGAATTAATACTTTTCTTGGAAAAACATGAGTTTATTAGAGGTATAACTAATGGTAATGGAATACAAATAATGGTTCATGATCGTGATTCGATTCCACATCCATATGATGAAGGTATCGCAGTCGCACCAGAATCTGAAACATTCGTTGGTCTTAATATGGTAGGTATTTTTAGTTCATATACAGTACACTATACATGTATTTCTATATAAATGTATGCAATGCAGCGTAATATCTAATGCCCTATTAAATGCAAATTTACACAATAAAGCCTAGTCCATTGGCCAATCACACTATTTTACCGAGATTTCGTCTTATGGTTTGGATGCAGCTATGGCGGGTGTGGCGCCAGGCAGGGTAAGCTTACTCTTCTGGGCACCTGTTACCATTGTTTGTCGTGTTTCTTGAGGGGGGTGTGTGTTTTGTTTTTTTTTCGAATTTTGTCTAATGGTTTGGATTGTTCGTACTTGGTTTTATTTTATTAGTAAAACGACAGGGATGATCGTATAAATGTGTAAATGTGCGGGTGCATGTGTTATTGTGATCGAAGAAAATGGTGTGGCATACTGTCGGAACCTTTGGTGAAACGTCATACATGTAGGGTCATACAGTGAAGGAGATTAAATTCATTGTTCCTAAACGTGTAGGGGGATCACGTGGCTAAGTGGGTAAGACGCTAGCTCGCTAGTCTGGAGGTCGGGTGTTCGATCCCTGCATTGGCCGAGAAAGTTCATCCAGATTTTCCGGCGTGGTTCTCCCTTGTCAGTGATGCAGGACGGAGGGGCTGACAAGGAAAGCTGTCTAGTCGTTCGGATGGGACGAAAAACCGAGGTCCCGTGTACACATTGGCGTGCACGTAAAAGATCCCTTGGCAGTTGGAATTCGATATAAGAGTAGGCCGTAGTGCCGCTGTCCGGGCAAAATTTCCCTCATAGCACACTGTATGGCGTATGCCCGTCTTCATTAGCCCAGGTTAGGAGCAGAACAGTAGGACGTTAAACTCCATTTCATTTCATTTCATTTCCTAAACGTGTACTGTTATGGCATAGCTAAATAAACACTATAGGTTCTTTTTAATGTGGAATGTGTGTATTTGTTGTTGATATATTATATTCACTGGCTTTAAAAGAATTCTGACTAAAATATCGGATCTTCATTTTGCATCCACAATGCAAATGTTTTAACATAATGGACCTATTTATTACAGCTGAGAGTTAGTAGAATGGTTGAACCATATGGATCCTGTGACGACGGAACAACGTTCCAAAATAAATATGGAGCTAAATATACTAGAGCGGTAATTATCGTGTATAATATCTATTTCCATTACCGCGACCTAATCACTACCCAACGCCACCGGACAATCATTTTAATTGGACAGCTATATCAATACTGTATGTTCTGGAATAACTTTTATAATTTGTTTTTCATAAATTAGTATCAAGAAATTGTACTGTCAGACTCGACTCGTAGGTTTAATTATTAAAAATTGTAACCATTTTTAGGCATTTATAGCCAACTGAAATCTAGAAGGAAACTGTCTATTTTTTGAAAAATATAATCCCTTTATTTTCAGTCTTGTCAAAAGTTTTGTGAATCAGTACTCATAATGGATAAATGTAACTGTACAGATTCTAAACAAGAAGAAATAAACCTTAAAATTGCCAATACTAGGGAATTGCCTCATGAATGCCGTTCACAAAAAGGTTAGAAATCCATTAGTAACAAAGCTAGGCAGTGGCGGACGAAGATTATTTTGGTTGGGGTGCGTGGGGGCGGTGCTTTGTCAGCTATCCCGACCAACGGAAAACCCAAATTTACTCGTTTCATAGAAAAGAATACTTATTAGTGATTGTTTGATACTCTCATTTGGAGTACTTAACGTCGATACGCAACTGAAGCCAAAAATATAGTTGTTTCAGTTGTTTCATTTTTAATAATAAAATTTTAAAACTTGTCCCGCAATTGGTGATAATAGTGATATATTTACATTTTCAGATACGAAATGCATGGTTTCTATTAACCGACGATATGAGATCGGCGATTTAAAATGTAAATGTGACGACCCGTGCGAGTAAGTATTTGCATTTAATTGATTCCTATCGAGTGAGTGATGGGGTTTGACAGGTCTCGTCCGTGCGCTTTAGATCATAAGGTTTATCATTGAGTTAAGTAGTGTGGTATCGATCTAAATCCTGTAGGAATAGGGTCGTCGACCCAATCGCAGTTTGCTCCCCACTACTAAAGAATCTAACCAGCAAGCATAATGTTGAATGACATTGTATCTTATGTTAATCCCGAAATGACTTAGTGCCGACTGGGCGTTAACCCACCCCTAAGTGAAAGAGGCCGATCTGACTGCATTTCCTAGATCATCAATAGGAACTATATATATATATATATATATATATACTTATGTCTATTCATTTTAATTACTACATATCCTTGTAATGATTCCTGTATTGTCTTATTCTATTTGTTATAGGGAAACTAAATATGTGAAGTCTGTGTCTGCTAGACAATGGCCATCAAATGATTATGCAGTAGGTTTTATTTCTATTTATATATTGTTTTGTTGGGGTTTTTGAGGTGGTAAGGGGGGGGGGGGGGTAAATATATTTGTTGGAATTCTATACAATAGAGGTTTCCTACTCGCATCTTCAAATTCACATTAACTAAGTAAAATTATCTTATTCATTTTTAGCAATTGTTGTTAAGAGTATTATGTAATAAAAGAGGGGAGACAATATGTAATGGTTATGACCAAGTCGACCATAGATCACTGGCGTAAGTAAATCTTTATGTATAAAATATCCTTAAAAAGTGTTGTGATTGCATAGTGTTGTGACCTCTGTCTGTTCCCATACACCATGTAGTATTCCAGCCTAAACAGCAATTCTAATTTATACCAGAAGAAAAACATTCAATATTTGACTGAGAATATTAGTTGTGATTGGAACCCCAGCCACAGAATGGTGTTTAAGATCATGTTTACTGACGAGTTAAAAAAAACAGTGTTAGTTCCCCCCCCCTCTTGTAATCAGTAGCAATATTAATTATTATAAAAACTGTAAATAGTCATTATATATACAGTATTTAATATGTGTAAAAATTATTTTCAGTTCTTCTGTGTCTACAATTGTGTAAATAATTTCAGCTTATTTATATATATTTTGAAATATTTGGTATCTTTACTGGAAGAAATATCTTTAAAGATTTTACAAAATGGGCCTTTCTTTTGGATATGGGCATCACATCCTCGGTCTTGCCAAGTAACTTGCTAAAGAGTTCTTTAGAATTATACGCAATATCTCAAATAAGTTTGTTACAATAATCAGCAAACTCAAACCTCGTCTTTCTCCACTTTATTTCTACCTGACGCCTACGAGATTCAAATATATATACTGTTTTTACCATTCAATGGTGGCTGACACTCTCGTTATCACACATTTTGGTTGTCTAAACATTCAAAGTAGGATTGAATAGGTTCACCACCAACAATTGGTGGATTTCCATGCAATGAAAAGAGGTTTTGGTAACTAAATCTTCTTGTAACATTTTGGTTTGTTATGCGGAACTTGATTGACTTTTGAGACGCTTTTATAAAAAGTCGTAATTTGAACTAAAGACACGTCGTCCTGAAATCAAAGATCACCACCGTCATCCGTGGACGCTATAAAGAAGAAATGTGTTTTTATTTGAAAACCTTTGCTGAGATTTATAAGTCCTGACATCAAATCCTAAGGAAATTATTTCTCCTATAGAAAGTACAGGATTGCTGTATTATCTTTTTGTTTTTGCCTCTTCAGAATTGTTGGATTTCATTTTGAAAAGGCGAGCATGGTGATAATGTTAATTTCCTGGTTCACAGTTGTTTATCAATTATTTCATAAATGTTTATATTCCTGTTTTCAGTCAGAATTTTGTCAAGTTAAACATTTATTTTGAAAGTTTGAATTATCAAAATATTACAGAAGAAGCTGACTATCAGGTAATTTAAATGATGACATGCTTGATAATTTTAGTACAGAAAATAGCTATGGGGATGTTCCTAAAGATTTTCTGATAAAATTTGATGGTCTCCTAGTGGGTCGAAGTTCAATTATTTTTAAGGCTAATATCATAGTTTTATTCTACTCCTTCGCCAAGGTGTCACAGTCCCCCAATGTCTAATATTCTTTAAATAATACCTTTGATGAAATGTAGAGTTTCCAGAACAATTTTGGAGACGTTTAAGATTTTGAGCCGACGTATGTCTTATAACGGTCAGGTTTGGGTTATGTCCCTTGCTCAAAACATTCTCACTCCCTGGACCTGATGCCATCCGCATTGTAAAGTCCAGGGCAAACCACGAATGTCAGTTTTATATCTTTATTGAATAACAACCATTTATGTCATAGATTTACCGTTACCAACATACATGTATATATATATATGTATTTATATTTGATTCTTAATGCCCATAAATTTATTTCTAGGATTCTCAATTTGCTTCTGATGTCGGTGGAACAGTTGGGTTATGGATTGGATTATCTGCCCTTAGTTTGATGGAGGTTTTCCAGTTTATCGCAGAAATAATCAAATACTTATTATGTAGACGAAAGTCTCCAAGTGATCGAAGAAAACAAAATGATAAAAACGAAACAAGAGAGTGAAATAAAAGATTTTAGAAATCAAAACCTCAAACAATAACCATGACAATACTTATTATGTAGAGGAAAGTCTCTAAGTGATCGAAGAAAACAAAATGATAAAAAAGAAACAAGAGAGTGAAATAAAAGATTTTAGAAATCAAAACCTCAAACAATAACCATGACAATACAACACTATGTTGAAATTAATGTTCTATGCATTTGAATAAAATAAACAGGACTAATAAATATTAGGTTATGTTTGGTGTCTTGCAGTTTATAGATTTTTTTTTTTAAATATCTATTCTAAAAATTTTATTATTTTTATTAAATTTTATTTGTCCCTAGACACTGTTTTATAGTTTCTAGAACGGATATATTGATTTTTTCTTTCTTTATAGCTGGAACATTCGAATACGGTCGTCTAGCATTGTATACCTTATTTAAAACATTATATAGTTTTATTGAGTATTTTATTTCACATTAATTTATCAATGTTTTGAATCTTGGATATTAATACATATACATACCTTTTTCATATATTTCATTTTATCACTGTTAAATTATACAGTTTTTTGTCGTTCACAATTTTAAAGTACACATAAATTAATGTAAATATAATTTAGGTTTCCTACAAGGTACTTAGTGGATTGTCTCATTAACCAAGTTGTTGGCATTGTTTTTAACATGTACATAATGTTCCATAATGTTTTATTTATCATTGTTCTATAAAGATTAATGAACTTAATTACAAACTGTAATTTCAAACATGCGACTATAAAATAAATTTCTTGTCAAGGTTTGCTGAGATTAATAACACGTTACATATTTTAATTAATGTTCTCAATCGTTTACAATATTTGATATTAAATGTTTTTTTAATTGTTAATCATAATGTACAAATGTAAATATTGGAGATCTATATCTTTGTTAATAAAATAGAGGAAAAATTATATTAAACTGAGTTTAGTGGTTATCATAGACCAATCTGATTAAAATACAGATCTATATTTCGTTTCGTTTTTTTTATACTTTCGATGGCCTACACTATGGGGATGCTCGATTCACAGTCCAGAACGTCCCGAATTGACAGAATTGCAATCGAGTAACGCGGAATTCAGTTCTGTCACAGTTCTGTCAGTCCCAACAGTCCCGAAATCCACCTTTTCACTCGATTGTCACTATTTTTGGAATTGAAGGAATTCAATTCCGGAACGTTCAATCGAGTACGTGTAAAGACAAGTAAAACGAAATTTTGAACTATAAAAACGAAACGAAATAGGATCTGTGTTTTCACCAGATTGTTAATAGACCACCCGACCTCTTGTTTGTGTGAATAAATGTACCAATAATTACCTTCATGGATATTGCGGTCACATTTTAAATGTGAAATCAGTCATATTGTACATGAGTAAGCAGTGTCTAAAGTGGATAATATAAGTACGTAGCAGTCGATATTTTGACTGGACGAGTGGGTTGCTGGCCTGACAAGCAATTAGTGATCGCCGTTTCTTATGTACAAAGAAAAATATGTCGGTGCTCAAAATATAATAAGAAATTTAAAGAAAATGGGTATATATATACCAAGATACACTGAACCCAAATAACTGCACGCTTGGCAGAAATGTCCGTAGACGATTGTGGAAATATACATGTTAACCGTTATGAGAAAGGGCGATAACATGAACAATGCGTTTACAATAACGGGTTGACTTATATTCTCATCCTTGTAAATAAATTTAACACGATTCGCTTCAGAAACAAGTCATTACATTTATTTACGATGCTAGACAGTTGTTCTGGACGTTCATTGACTTCGTACAATTACACCTGCCAAACACCTCATCTTATATTGAATTGTTCAAATACAAGTAATAAACGTAAAAAGACAAAAGTGTTATCTCGAGGTCATCAAGTCGCAATGAAGCTCGGATAAACACTAATTATATGAATGGTATGTGAATAAGACTGAATTAATTTGCCCCCTTATCTAAAAAAAGAAATAGGTATCAAACTTAAATAACCATGTCTTTAATAAATATTTTTTCTTTATATAAAAAGGACAATCATCGTGTCATCCACATCACATCACCGATTTTGGTGGCCATTAAATAGTTCATTATTGAATTCTGGGGTTTAAATGTACAGTTAAATTAACCATAGGAAGTATATTTCCATATGCTGTAAATTTGTTTTTACAATGTTATCTATTTAAAAACAAATCGGCAAAATAGTTTATTCGTGGTAAATTCGTCTGTCAAAAGTCTACTGGTACGTTTATACCTGTGTTTTTCTTTATTTAGTTTGAGTCATTCTATGTGTCTATGACTATTCTCTGTCTATGGTTGTATTCCGTCTGACTTGCCATGTTTTTATTTTGCAAAATTAAAATAATTTTCATATATATTTAGCCATGTGTGCCTCTATATTTTCATGTGTTCCAAGGTGTGCCGTTGGCGAAGAAAGGGTTGAGAACCACTGATCTAGGCGCTTGTATGCTCACGTTGAAAATCATTTGCGAGGATTTCATTTGGTCGGATTAAGATCAAAAACATTATAAAGACATTTTTCGTATGGTACATTTTGCTGCAAAGATTGTATTCGTTATACACAGCCGTATACACTGGCAATACCCCTTTACCTAATACGTACTGTTTCATACTAAAAAACCCCAGATACAGACTTTCAGTTCATATTATTTAACAGTTTTACTACTGTAATTGATATCATTAATGTTTTGATTCAAATTTAATCTTGGAGAATATGTTTGGCCAAAGTAATTGTGTAATTATAAAGAGGTCTAACTGTTTCTATTCGTTGATTATGCAAGACCATTATACGCTTCCGTAGAATTTTAACTGCAGCCAAAATTTAATTTTTTTACCAACCGTCGAAAATAAAATTTAAGGTGCATGAGTAAAAATATAACCCAAAAAGTAATTAATATTATTAAGAATCGTCTTATTGGAATTCATAAGCAAAAAAGTCATTAAAAATATGACTGTCAAACAAGTTATGGTTTTTCAAATTCCGATTAAGGCCCTGTATATTCTCATTGTTTTTAAAGGACAATATTGGTGTCAGTCATTATAAAATATGTGATAGAACTGGTTAAATACATCCCAAATATAACTTTAACACAGAGATCATTGCTACGGTAGATATGTAACAAGCACGTGAAGAAACGGGAAGTGACGACAAACATGACAAACACGATTTATCTTACTATATAACTGATTGAAGCAACGAGCGATAACAGACACGCGATCGAATTTCATTTCATTGAATATTCAGTTGAAGATGAAAAGCTATTATATGAGACGGTGAAAGGATATCTAACAATTCAAAAAAAGAATTGGCTGTCATTAGATAAAAGATAATGAACAAATTAGAAAAAGTCCGTGCATTACCATATTTTTATTAAGAACAGAATGAATAAAAACGGGGGAATGCACGGGATTTTTCTATTTTTCTCGTTTTCCCTTATCTAGTGACAGCCAATTCTATTTTTGAATTGTGAGATACCCTCTCACCGTCCCATACAATAACTTTTCAACTTCAACGGAATTATCAGTGAAATGAAATTCGATCGTTTGTCTGTTATCGCTCGTTACATCAGTCAGATACATAGAAGGAAAACTCGTGTTTGTCATGTTTGGCGTCACTTCCCGTTTCTTCACGTGCTTGTTACACATCTCCCGTAGCAATGATCTCTGTGTTAAAATTATATTTGGAATGTATTTAACCAGTTCTATCACATATGTAATTATGACTGACACCAATATTGTCATTTAACACTACAGGTCACCATTTATATCCGATTTTGAGGAAACTTGAGATATAGATTTATATCCTAAAGATCTCGGTTCCTTTCGATATTGACATGTATCGGACCGTAACTTCATGGATTATGTTCCCTAATTGAACGAAAAATCATGTTTTTAGATTGTGGACACTCCAGGGGTCACAAATTTGTATCCGATTTTGATGAAACTTAAAATATATGCTTATTAACCAAAGATCTCGTTTACTGCCTGTCGATATTCGCGCATATTGGAATGTAACTTCTCGGATTAGAGCGTTTTTAGCTTGTGGGCCCTCTAGTGGTCAGAGAGAGAGAGAGAGAGAGAGAGAGAGGGGGGGGGAGAGAGATTTAACGTCCGCTCGACACAAACTAGGTCAATTCGGGACTAACACATGGTTCAATTTTATTTCAACAAGTCGTTTGCGCGTAGGGGTCTTTAACAGTGGGAGGAAACCGGAGGCCCGGAGAAAACCCACGAGGTTGGACAGGCGATCCTACTCCTTGCCTCGTACAACCGATAAATTAAAATTGACTCAATGAAAGACCTTATGATACAGCGCGCACGGGCAACTATTCGGCCATCCAACTCCCCATGAAAGTTAAGATATATTTTTATATCCCAAAGATCTCGGTTCCTTTCGATATTCGCACATATCGGACAGTAACTTTGCTCTTCCGAGGGTGAAAGACACCCCCATCCCCTCCTTAGAGTGTGGGCCCTTTACGGAATCAGGGGCCTCGGGCACCAAGTCCGCCTGTCCTTGTAGAGGACGGAATTGCAACAACCCAACATCTTTATGAAATTGTGAAGATAAGTAAATAATCGAGAGATTTAACTTACCTTTATTGTGTCCAATGATCTTGACCTCGGGACAGTTCACACATTTCGATTACATTTAAAGCCATATTGTTTACCAAGTAAAAGCTCGAGGAAGATATATTTACTTGATGGTCAAACTATTCATATAAAGACGGACTAGAAAAATTGTTCGATACGGTTCACAGCTAAGAGATAATAAAATAAAACATTAGTCGTCCATGCATTTTATTCGATTGTTAGTAGTGGCTATTTACCATAAGGATTTGGGGTTTATATCCGATATCCCTATTGATAAATTCATAGATAAACAGTACGCAGTTAGTTTCATGTTAGTCATAAGTTCGAATGTTATTTAGCATATAATACTTACCGTTAGTTTCAATGTCGTTGGTTTAATGTTTCTATATTTGAAAAAAAACACCGAAAGCCTAATATTTCTTGGATGTTTTTTTTATGTGGCAAAATCATTCTGTAGCTAGCTTAAACATTTAAAGATTTATTTAAGTTTCTTAATTAGTAATAGAATCATCTAATTTAAAGATGTCTAGAAAAGGATTACAGTTTTATAATGGTAGAGAAAGAGATTATATACCCGAACCAGATTATAATAATTCTGATCCTGTCAATCATTCTGGGTATAACTATTATGTAAGTATATCATCCATCTATTATTTAGAAAACAAAATCGCGACAAAAATATCTGGGCTTCTTTTATTTGAATCTTTAAAATACTTATTTCGTAGAAAATGTTACGTCTTCAAAAAAGACCGGCCTTGAGATACATTATGTAACCTATTTTGTATTTTGTAGTGATCGTTAGACATTTTTTTTAAGATTTGCAAGGATTTGTAAGAAATTCGTAAGCATTGATAAATATTTGTAAGGCCCCACTTTCTCAGTATTTTCTATTTTCTAGGCCAATTTGCTCCGAATTTCAATTTCCATATGATAATATTTGCTACTGCATGTGCGAGATTATCATCCGGCCGCCGCCGATCCAAGACGAATGCTAGAAAATCCATGTGTACCACTACCCATTAGTCGAGTATGGAAAGCGAAACCGAAGGCTTGCCACATCCGACAGTCCCCAATACAAATGTCATAGCTATTGAATTTTGGACTTTGCGTTCTTTGACTACGGCTACCCAAATCGTATTATATTATCAGAAACGCAAAGATTTTCTTATACACGTTTTTATATGAAGCAGGATGCGCAGTTTACAAGCATAAATCTTCATAAAACTCCAAAATAAAATGTCTTTCATTCTCTCAACCCACTTAGCTACTGACTGGACTTCTCGAAAAGTTACACACTACATCATGGCCTCCACAGAATCTCAGTGACATCCGATTTAACAAGCTGTTGTTGTTCTTATTGTTTAACGTACACTTCATTTGTCATATTTTTCATTTTTATCTTAGCACACGCGCAGGAGTCTTTCCTGTGGGCGGAAACCGGAGTACCCGGAGTAAACCCACGAGGTTGAGAAGGCGCCCCTATCTCCAAGCCACATACACTCACACCAGGGATCGAAACCACGACCGCATGACAGAGGTGACAAGCCAGCTAGAGGTCGAAGCGCGACAATCTAGACCACTAGGCCATCCCAACCCCCAATTTTGCTCTTTTATATTCCCTGGTATCTCACATTAAATAGGTGATTGGTTAATTACGCCCAATGACGTAAGCATTAGCCAAATATGGATATGTAAATCTGATGCCATACCTGGAAAATTTCCACTGACGCTCAATTACTATATCAGTATGAAAACCTAAACAGATATGAGGTGATATATTTTGTTAATCTACGGGTCATTTTAATATACCAAGGTATCATCTATTTCCGTTGGATTACGGGACTTGTATGTAATAAAGCCTTTTTACGAACTTGAAAGCAATATTGGGTCGGCCATAAAATTGCTACACATGTGTAGTGATTGTAAGACATTTGTAGGGTTTTTCTATCATTCGTATGGCTTGCGATAACTTACGAAAACATTGCAATAGCAATGAGGATATTTTTCCCGGCGAAGTTTAGGAGCATGTTTATATATAATATTTGCAGCACTCTATTTACGACCACGAATGCTCACAAACACTTACACATCTCTGACGGTCACATTGTGATCATTGTGAATTTGTAAGCCTATTCGCCACTTTGTAAGAGTAGCAAAAATGATATTATTATGCAATCTGAACAATTATTTTCATGTCAAGAACACTAGAACGGAGTTACCAAACACCAAGAGCAAATGTGCACGCTGGATTCGTGTCACTCTCCTATTTTCAAACGCTGTTAGGATTGCAGCAGTTACGTCTATCTTGGCTGCTTAACAGAGAGAGAGAGAGAGAGAAATGGGGTTTAACGTCCACTCGACACAAACTAGGTCATTTCGGGACTAACATATGGTTTAATTTTATTTCAATAATTCGCTTGCGCGTAGGGGTCTTTAGCAGTGGGAGGAAACCGGAGGACCCGGAGAAAACCCACGAGGTTGGACAGGCGACCTACTCCTTGTCACGTACAACCGGGGATTCGAAACCACGCCAGTCGACTCAATGACAGACTTTATGGTACAGCGCGCGCACGCTAACCATTCAGCCATCCACCCCCCCTGCTTAAAAGAAAATTGACACACAATATCACAATATCAGTTTTAAAGAAAACTAAATAAAAGAACACATTTTTTTTATCGATGGGCTATATCACAATTTCATTAAATTTGTTAAAAACGCTCAAAATCAAGAGTTGATCTGCGAGAGACCTCGAGATATTCAATGTTCTGTTGCATAAAGTTGCAGAAATACCGGACAGTCTTGAAATCATTTAGTATCAGACACTCCGTATAAATAATCAAACTTTCCATAATTTTTTATTCATTGAATTCAAAGTCTAAAAAAGAGCATTCATTTTTCAAAGAATTACATGCTTATTGAACTGTATACATCTTATAATTCATAGCATACTATAGATGAGCTGTGATAGTGGAGATGAAGTCAGAAAGGGTGACCATATTATCGTGAGAAAAGGATGTTTACCTCCCTATGATAAATATATTTTACGACATAAATTTTTTAAAGAGATCAATAAACATTATACAAAGACATGAACAAGTCCGTCATTTCATTATTACGCTAAATCGAGAATCGTGTGATTTTACACCAAACTGATCGGTAAAGATTAACAATCGTAATTTAAATTTGATATTTTTTCATGAAGATTTCATTTTGGTTGGCTTACATTCTATGGCGATGTAACTTCTTTTTTGAGGTCTTGTGGTAGCCATCGTGATTTAAAATCAGTTTTGCTATACCAAGTTTTGTCAATTTAACACAAACATATAGTTCCTCTTCATTGACGTATAACGTCAGCTTCCACGGTAGTAATATCGCAGAAACTTGATGATCAATCATTTTGATGGTTAAACTAATCTTGGCAAAGACAAAATGTTTGTCATTGGTAAGATTAAAGGTCGTCTGCTCAGCTCTGAACACAAATTTCTTAAATATATTTTAGGCCGACCTAACAGTATTAAACGAAAGAAAAACGAAAGTCTGATTATTCTGCGATAACGGTAAACATACGGTTCCGGGCAAGCTACTTTAGGTTGCTATTCAACCACCTATAACTGGTTAGCAACTGGACTATGATCGGGTGCATAGCAATATAATGAACAACATAGAAAATTCGTCAACTTATTCCCATGATTAATGGAATGCTACATTTTTGACCAAGTGCCCGAAAATAGTACTCTAGTTAAAACCACCATTCCCGAACCTGTTATTTTATACCCATGAGAATCAATTTCAACATCCTATTTGGAATTGCTTCAAATGGCTGATTTATTAGCATGCTTCCATATAGGTGATTGTTTTCATTAATAATTAAATTATAGAACTAACTCTAATTATATCTGAATATCATTCTGATCTTTCAACAGGACGATGCTGAACCATCAAAATCTCACTATAATGAAGTACTACACGAGAATTCAAGTTATAGTGATTCTGGGTCAATGTCTAACGGCAAGGAACCTTGGACATACGGGAAGATCGGTAGACGATTTGCAGAAAGAACCTCTATGCAAGGAATTCCATATATTCTTCACTCCAAAACCAGATATGCTAAAGTAGCATGGACTTTTATCTTCATGATTGGGACAGGTGCAATGATCTTTCACCTGTACTACCTGTCAAATATATATTTCCAGTTTCCAAAGAAGACGAGCGTTACTCTTGGTTTCGAGTCTTTGTCATTTCCAGCAGTTACGTTTTGTAACGTAAATCCAATGAAAAGAAGTCAGAGAAATTTAGCTAGTGCAGAGCTTCAACAAATACTGGAAGCAGTTAAACCATCAAACGTGGCTGATTTATATAAGGTAAGAAAATTGCATAAATGTTAGTTAGTCAACAGTCTGAATCAGGTTGGCTGGATTTGTGCGTCCTTCTATCCGTTATTCTCACATAATATGTACTACAAAGAACAGAGTATGAGACATAACATTAGATGTTCTGAAAAGAGAAAGCTTACTCTAGATAATTAGCCATATTATTATTATGGTTTGTAACTCTTCAACAACTGATAATTAAAATAGCTAAGTCTCTAACTCAATATCATCCAAAGTCTTACACGTTGAAAATACGAATTATTTGTCAGTTGAAATCAACATTGATGTGATCTTACCAGGAAAGGACAGGCTTCTGATATCCAATATTTAAGACAAAATAAACATTTTACCATTGGTACACGAATCGTGTACCATAGTGCGTTTTAGCGACATTTGCAACAACTGACCAGAAAGAACGAGGCTAGATATATTCAACTAGGGAGCCTACTCAATAGACTGGAATAACCAGACACCAGAAATTGCTATAGGGTTGAGACACATGGCGGATTTCGCTGGACATAACTGATTTGAAATTAAGAGTCAAAACGGAAACAATTGAATGTAAATCAGTTTATATACAATTAGATTACATTATTATATGCGTTGCGACCCATTTGGGTCAATTTCTATGTCCCAAATATTAGCGATTTAGCTCCTTTAACCTCAGAAATAATTTGGTTAGATATTGTACTGCTGAAATGGCATCAACGTAATCAAAGTATCCATGTGATAGGGTAGGAACTCATTCATTTTAGCACCGATATTGATAAAGATATGTAAATACTTTAACAGCACTACCTGATGTAAAAAGCAAGCCATTCAGCGATTGTCATTGTTTCTATGTGACCATAAACTTCAAAGGGTTTAATTCTATTTTATAGACGCCCATAGCCCCGCAATCAGGTAATCTGCCTTCTGGTACTCCTCCTGCTGGACCTCAGTTATCACGCAAGAAAAGATTTCTGGATAGACTAGACGTACCCTTGAACGATTCGAGAGTAGACGACAGGGAATATTTCAACGAGGATGAATGGGAAAACATCGGCACAAGGGATGAAACTGATCAAGTTTATGGTACTTTTATATCATTGTTTAATTCAGAACCCAGGTAAAGTTTATCTGAAAGAGGCATAATATGTTCTACTTTATTGGTAAATGTTTAATAAAAATGCATTATGTGAGATTTAGATAATAGTTTACCGTTTTTGCAATACAGTATACTAGGTTACAAATAGATAACGAAAAATGAAAATATTGAACATTTCAGTCAAATTACTTTTTATTCCAGGCGAAGTTATGAATGTTTGAAATTTTGACAAGATAGTCTTGATTGTCCAGTAACATTATTACGATAATAAATAAAGTCTCGGTTGTCTATTTTATCGTAAAATTATTAAAGGGCGAGGGAGTTACAATCTATCTAAGTCGTCCCATTTTATTTTCTAGAAAGAAGTTTATGGTCTTGTCATGTGAATAAACAGTCTAAATAATATTTTATATAAAAATTAAAGTTAGAATAAAGATCGGCAATAATCAAATTTATCCCTTACATAATGCACCTTTCTTGGTTGGCCTGTAATTAACATCTTATACATAGATTCACCGCCGTTTTTAATTGCAATAGAGAAAGTGTTACACTAAAAGCGTAAATATTATGAATCTTGGACCTTTGAGGGTGGCAGTTCATCACATAATACTTAAATAGGTGCAAAGCCTTTAAAATGGCCCTCTTTTGGCCACTTTCTTTGTAATTACTCGCAAATTACTTATTATGTAAGTCGTTAATACTGGTAAGAAATGAAATGGGGTTTAACGTCCTACTGTTCTGCTCCAGCTGGGCTAATGAAGACAGGCATACTAGTGCAATTATTTTAATAACAATACATTTGTTTGTTGAAAATAAATCATTTGTTCAATTGCAATGTTTTGCAGTTCCGTTTATAACTGATACTACCGTAAAAAATTGTCTAAAACAGGAAAAGTTGTCAGCTACAACACCATAATGGTAATGAATTTTGCAGTTTTGTTTTATTTCATTCAATTATTTTCCAGACGCAAGAGATTAAAGATGGGGCATGACATAGAAGACATGTTAGTTAAATGTTCTTTTGCTGGAAGAACATGCCACCCAGAGTAAGTTAAGTTTAATTCAAATTATTTGACCATTAATGCTTTCATATATGTTAGAGCTATATCTGCCTATACTCTAGGACAATTCGTAACCGAACAATTTTTCTCTGGACAAGTCAGCCGCGGACAACTCGTCACCGAGGCCAGTTCATCCCTAGACAATTCGTCCAAGGACTATTCTTCCCCTAAGGCTATTCGTCGTAAGACAACTCGTCCACATGGCAATTCGTCTCATGACAATTCGTCTCCTGGGACAATTCACCCCATAGGACAATTTGTCCACGGACAACAATAATGATTGTTCCATTATCAAAAAACTGAATAATCTTTACTTTTTATCCTAAATCTTAGTTTAGATGCTAGTTTACATCGTTTGATAATTGGAAGGTCTGGAGCACAAGTGATCTAACAACCAACTAAAATGGTTGGTAGTTAGATCACTTGTGCTCTAGACCCTCCAATTGATAGAATAGCATATGCTCTACATGGTTATTGTTCCATTCTGGTGGCTACATCACTGTTTTGTGACTCAAACCACCTGTGGATAGCTTCTGCCAAATACCTTACAGTTCTATAAAAAGGGGTCATATGTTTAAATGATTGAAAATTGAATGGATTGGGTTCAATAGAATTCACGCCCCCCCCCCCCCACACACACACACAACTTACTTCCACCGAAGGGTCTCAGAATTGGCAGAAAATAGTAGTCTTCAGGCAAGAAAAAAAGGAAAACTACTAACTTCTTCCTCCATTTTGGCTTTCATATTTTTTTTAACAACCAGGGGATGAATAGTTATAGGGAACAAATTTTCCTGGGGATAAATTGTCCTCAGGGCCGAATTATCCGGAATCGAATAATCCTCGGGGACGAATTGTCTGGGAACGAATTGTCGGGGTCAAATTGGTGGGGTATGAATAGTCCCAGAGGACGAATTGTCAGGGTACGTGATGTCTGGGGACAAGTTGTACGGGAACGAATTGCCTGCCTATTGTCTGCCTATTGCAGGGTTGTTTTTTTTTATTATTATTTTGGCTTCAAATGTTATATAAACTATTACTTAGACATATATTCACATGACACGCCTATAGACAGAGTCTAGTAGACAGAGTCTCGATTGTCAAGTATCATTGCTACGATATTAAAAAATCTACACTGTGTCTGCAAACACTGATAACTTCGCTCAGAATAAAGTAATTTGAATGATATTAAATTTCGACATATTCATTTTTCATTATTTATTTTCGAACTATTATAGTAAGATCTGTCAGCTTTTTATCTAAATCTTACATAACCTATCTTTAATAAGCTGTTGTAATTTCAGGAATTTCACGCAAATAACAAATTCCAATTACGGAAATTGTTATACATTACAAACATCTGTATTTAAAAGTCGTCGTAGTGGACCAGATCAAGGTAGGATTTTTATTGTATCATGTTCCTTTTTTTAAACGGGTCCATTGTATTCCATAGAATGTGTATATATTTCAAATAACATTGAAAAGGATCGGGTTTTTTGTTTGGTACAATACGAATTTCATGCCGATTCATTTCACGTAACAGAAGACCCGCCCATTTTAACGAACCAATTAATTGTCAATCAGTTCGAAATGATGTATAAGGGTGACGTAAAACTAAAAGTATTTTTATCATCTTTAATAACGAACAGAAAGAAAGAAATTTTCACAATATAACCTATACTTTCAATGTTGGTTTAGTGTTGTCAATTTAACTGCACTTACTAAAACAGTTCTTCCGGTTTATAACTTCTTGCTCTACTCGAACATTTAAAATATATTAAAGGTCTGGAATTGATGTTTTATTTGGAGAATAACGAGTATATTCGAGGTATAACCAATGGTAATGGGGCACAAGTATTGATTCATGATCGCGATGTGATGCCCCATCCTTATGATCAAGGCATAGCAGTTTCGTCAGCAACAGAAACTATGATAGGTCTTAATTTGGTAAGAATATTTTGGATTCTACTGGAAATATTCCATGGAAATATTCCATTTACAATAATATCTTTATTGATTAATAAGGCAATTTCAAATTTCAAAGATTGTGGCGTTAATCGGACATTTATATATAATTTTATATAAAATATGTCTATATGCATAAATCATATTATGCTATAAAATTGATTATTCAACCGGTATTAAGTTATGTAATGATATGATTTATTTTGTATGAAACATGTTTAAAATTCGAAATGCCACATTTCAGAGGTGGGAACAAGTCGGGGGACTTCGAGTCGAGACCCTAGTCGCCGCACCCCATTATGCCCCATACCGCGACTCAAGTCCTTTGTTCTTTGCAGTGGCGAGTTGTCTTGATTTACGAGTCCGGGTCGAGTTTCGTGTCGCGAGAAATATTTCAAGTCGAGTCGTAACTCGGGTCTTTGATGCAACTTGAATCGGACGCGTGTCCGTTTCGCGGGACCCGGGTTCCCACACCTACCACCACATGTTAATTTCCATAATGTACCATCCGTTCGGAAAGAATCGCCTTGATACTTCTTGAATTCCGTTGCAGTAGTATAGATTGCTTTTGTTTGAACCAATTTCCGATATCTTTCTTTTCGTTTCTTTTTAATTATTGTTGTTTTATTGTAGCTGAGAATAAGTAGAATGGGAAAACCTTACGGTGAATGTGAAAATATTGATGAATTTTGGAAGACATACAGAGTTAAATTTACTAGAACGGTAATTATCAACCAAAGTGTGAACATTTTGTGATTGTTTGTAATAGTTTATTTTTAATATATATATGTATAACATTGCGGGTATAACGACAAGTAAGAAGTAGAGTTTGACGCCTGTGCAATGTTGGAAAGTATGTTAATTTCCATTGAGTCAAGTGGTGTAGTTTGCATTCCCCTGTCCAACCTCGCCTGTCCAACCTCGTGGGTTTTCTCCGGATCCTCCGGTGTCCTCCCACAGCTAAAGACAATTATTGAAATAAAATTGAGCCATATTTTAGCCCCGAAATTACCTGGTTTCCTTTTTTCTCCCACACAATAGGAGACTGTCAATCTAAAAGGGATAGGATACTCTCCGTTCTTAACCGTTTTGTATGTATCATTTACAGTCTTGTCAAAAGTTCTGTGAAGCTAAATTAATCATGGATAACTGTAACTGTACCAACGCTTTTACAGAAGAAGTCAATCTGAAAATTGGTAATACCAGAGAATTACCTGAAAATTGTCGTACAGATAAAGGTACTACTATATACATGTTGTGTTATATCATTATTTCCATCTCTCAGAATACATTTCAGATTGTACAATGATAGAGTTAAAATACTGTCAAGTTGTTTCCAGCGCAATGCAATGATGTTTTAATTCCTATAACCAATACTTTAGATGCGGACTCTAAATCGGATCACCCAGTGAGCAATCTAATACCAAGGGGTTAACACTTTCTAAAAGAAAAAGAATTCGGGTTTTAACCCTCTTGGGTTAGAATAATTTAGTCGTGTGAACCCCCACTTAATGATAGCTGGTCATACGTATTCCGGAAAAAGCAAGCACACTATGCCTCGAGTACGAGTTTAATATGGCATTGGTTGTATATAGCTATAGCCGAATTCACTGTTCCCGGTGTAGATATAATAAAATCCTGTTAAAGAAGTTATCATAACCCAATCCTGACCGAACTATTTTGATACAGTATCGATTAAACATTCAAAAACCTTTGTTTTTTATTTCTAGAGCAGAAATGTTTGATTAAAACTGTACGACGATATGAAAGGGGTGACTTAACATGTAAATGCCATGATCCATGCAAGTAAGTTTATTTCCCAGTATTTATATAAGATTACGAAGATGTCAAAGATAAACGTTTGGTAGCAAAGAAATGATATGGGGTTTAACGTCCTACAGTTTTGCCCCGAGTGGGCTAATAAAGAGGGAGGTACCAATTTCGCAGAGTATTTGAAATACCTTTGAAACTTTGTACTAACTCGAACCTAGTACCAAACTTTTTTTTACAGGAATGTCCGATTTCTCCGCCAATCCTTATATTTTTTATTCTTCAGGGAAACTAAATATATAAAATCATTGTCATCGAGACAATGGCCGTCAAATGATTATGGTGTAAGTATCATTTATTTATTTACAGCTGTTTTCCTCAGAGAAATATATACAATGTATATATAATCTAGATCTCTGTGGTTTACATTTGATTTAACGAGAATTTCTGGAGAAATACAAATACATCTTTGACAATATACTTTATGAAAATGGTATCTGGACAAAGTCCGTATTGCATGATTTAGATACAACGGTCTATACATTGAAAATGGTTGAGGTATATTTTCTTTTTGCTTCGGACAAGATCTAATATAAGCAAAGAAGGCAATCCCCCCCCACCTCTCCAATTATCCATGACCCCATTCCCTTTAGGCCGTAAGAGCTGCAGAGAAGGTAATTTATCTTACGGAAAACACCCAATTTGAAAGTAAATTGTCCTGATTGACATCCGCATCTGTATATTTCAGGAGTTGTTATTAGAGATATTATGCGATAAAAAAGGAGACGATGAATGTAAAGCAATAGAACAAACAAATGCTAGAACACTGGCGTAAGTAGATTAATATATATTTTATTTCGATACGATTCATGCACTCAGTTCCAGACATATCACTTGCTCATTTTATACTCATTAGCAAATCTGGTGCCAGTTATCGTTGCTGTTCGTAGTGTTTAATATTTGCTTCCGACGAGAGAGATATCACAGACAAGATGTCGTATTTGAGAATATCCAGAACATGCACAGGAGTACCTGGAATAAGCCCACTATGTTGAGCAGACGTTAAGCCAGTAACCGACCATCTAGAGCTTGAAGCGCGACACCCTGTATCACTAAGCCACCCCAACCCTTAAAATGTGAGTTTCATCGGGATCATCCTGGCGGGTGCCAGTAGGTCATTGGTCTTTATATAACACCCATGACTTTATTTGTCCTGGCAAGCATTTGTCGAAACGTATACCCTTTCAGGTAAACAACACTAATTAGCTCGTTGATCGCTGCCAATACTTTGTGTCGTTGGGAAATTGTTTTCTAAAGTTTTGTCTTTATATTTCAGTCAGAATTTTGTCAAGTTGAACATTTATTTTGAAGATTTAAATTATCAAAATATTACAGAAGGAGCGGACTATGAGGTATGCTTAATTAATCTATAGCAGTGTAAATGCCCCTCCCTCCACCCACACACACACAAAAACAACAACTCGAAAAAGCAGTCTATGCATCTATTGGTGGTCTTTGGTCGGAAGATAATATTGTGTGAAACAAATGGTGATCAGTACAATACGACACAAACTATAATACGATAATAATATGTATCACAGTCTTAGGATACATAACTTATCAAAAATAACTAGCACATTCTTCATATGGTTATATTTATATGCACATATTCTGATTGAGGCTGTCGCTTCAAGATGACTGCCATTGGAAGATTCAAAGCTTAATGTCCATTGGGGAACCAGCAAAGGGTATTGTGGTAGTGTGCTTGATGGGAATTTCGTATGATAGTAACATATGCTACATGTCTGCTACTTATGGGTGAAAAAGTTGTTTATTGATAATGGTTTGCAAGGAGGTATAGAAATATACACCTTAACTATATCACTGCGTATTTGGTATCCTTTTAGTAACTGTTTATGTCCAAATCGATCTTAGAGGCAGACACACAAACTAAGTCGAAGCTTCCATAATTTTAACAAGCTTTTTTTTTATCTTTTTATTCCAGGAATCACAATTTGCGTCTGATATTGGTGGAACAATCGGACTCTGGATTGGATTATCAGCTTTGAGTATGATGGAGGTTTTCCAGTTTTTAGCAGAGTTAATTGGTCACATGTGTTGCGGTAGAAAACCAAACAAACATAAAAATAAAAAGAAACCAGAAATTCATATGGATCGACGCAATGAATTAAACGGACATCATAATAATAGTTTTAAATATTAATTATTGTAGTTGTTAATATTATGTACACTTTATGCAAGTCCTGGTTTTAAAATGCAGATTTTTATATAGTATATATACTTAATGTAAATAGCCTGTAACCGGTGTTATGGTCATTAGTAGTGTGATTTATTCTGTATATATTATTGTTTACTTACATGTTGTACTTATTTACTATATAATTGTTGGTAAATAACCGTGGATCGTTGGCGTTGCCATTTTGCCTAAATGTTGTGTAATAATAAATATTAGAGATAAATTTCGTAATTTAAAAGTAAATATTATGTGGGGTTTCTTTTCTTCACTTTCGGGGAGAGAGAGAGAGAGAAATGGGGTTTAACGTTCACTCGACACAAACTAGGTCATTTCGGAACTAACACACGGTTCAATTTTATTTCCATAATTCGCTTGCGCGTATGGGTCTTTAGCAGTGGGAGGAAACCGGAGGACCCGGCGACCCTTCTCCTTGTAAAACCGAGGAATCGAAACCACGCGAGTTGACTCAATGACAAGACTTTATGGTACAGCGTGCACGTGCTAACCATTCAGCCATCCAACCCCCTTCACTTTCGGGTCCGGACAATTTGTGAAGTCCGTCAAGATCCTTCCTTATCTCTCAATAAACCAACCCACCCAGATAACTTCGAAATATTCGACAGAGGTTCTTCTGTTACCCAACATGAGTCAGAGATTATTGCCCATATAATATATTATAACGTACAGTGATGTATAGCAATACTAAAAGATGTATTATATAAGATTAGGATAAAGAGCTGACCGTTCTTGCTACAATAGTTCCAAAATAGAGAATTCAAAATGAATATATTGAAAGCTTCATTCAAATTGTTTGAAGATTTGACAAGCTGTAGCACAGATTGTTTAATATCGTTGCAACGTTACTGGTGAATCCGCCTATTTCCCAATTATTAAATTACATCATTAAAATGGCAATCGTATTTCAATCTGTTTAAATCTCCGCCACCCGGTTGTCTATAGAGTTGATTATAAGCTTGTCATGTGAATAAATGTTTATATAAATAATTTATATAACATTTGAAGCAAAATAAAAACCTGCAATAGGCAGATTTAGCTCTTACATAATACATCTTTCAGAAACGCCCGGTTATATTTTCTGTACCAAAATAACGCCCGCAAATATTGATTCCAAATTCTGACACCTGTGGAGGGTGAGGCAGTTTCTGATTTATCCATTCCTTTGGGTCTTTTGCCGGTGTTAATACATGTGCGTGTTAATTCTTCAACACACATCTGTGTAGGTTAAATCTGACAAGGAGCTACCCACCTTGTTCTTTGTCTTCTCCTTGTGGTGACGCTCTTCGAAAAAGCCTAATTTAAGACTCCGTCAATTCAAGCCCAATCGACATGAAAATTAGCATGCTTCTTCTTTGAACAATTCTGCATCGATTTGTTGGTGAATTAGATCTTTGAATTTCATCCAACAACATGGTCAGTTCCTGGTTCATATTACGATCGTACTTGTTTTTAATTTACATCCGAACAGACATACATTTCGACAAGCTCAGGTCGTTTAAAAATATTCATTGGTAGTTCATTATCAAATGAGAAATCAGGTGGTAAATACTGTTTTGAACCTGACCATATCCAGTACAATTAAATCTTAAATAATGTGCCATTATTAAGTTAATTACAATAACACTGAACATTATACATAACTCACTTTAATTACAAGTAATTATATTCTTACTAAATTATAACAATTTAATTGTACATTTACATAACGTATATAAAAATATCAGACAGTTTAAGAATCATTTGACACTAATTTTATATTTATACATCAAAATGTCAAAAGCACTTAAATGATGTCCATCGCAATTACAAATCAACTTGGGAGCACTAGGTCTAGTTGGAATATTATACTATACATCGAATATTAAGTTGTGGAATATTTGTGGGCAAATGCATAGAGGAGAATTTCTGTACAATCGGATAGGAACGACTGACACAGAATTTAAACTGTTGATTTTCACTGAAAATGAACTGTTTCGTAGTTATCCATCAGGGACTAGATAAATATTTATCATACAGTAAAAAGATCAGACGTACACCATATATAATAACGATCCATTCTACCATATAATGTACTGAGACGCAATGATTTGCCTTGAAGAGCTGGCGAACTGAAGTGGAATGATTGTAGGCTGGACATTTACCGACATAAGAAAATCAACAACAACCAACGGAGGTCATAACAAATTTACAGTGAAACGTAAGCACAAGGGGTAAAATCAAGTCAGTAACGTTTGTATCCAGACACACAATGGAGGCGATAAATACTACTTCCAGCTGACAAACATTTTGCCATTGGTGATTCTGAAAAAAACGACGTTTAGTATCGTACCACAGCTGCTCGAATAGGGATAGTTCAGGAATTGCTCCAGCGTAATACGTAGTCATAGAGAGCGTAGTTGCCGAGGAACAGCGTCAGTGCAAATTAATCTCTAGTTGAAAGTGTCTGCAGCAAACGATCAAAAAATTGGGTCGGAAACTCGGGTACTCTTGCCTCTTGAGTTAACGCAATATCGCGTTCTCGGTGTTCAGGTGTCAACATAGGCATACAGTAACAGTTGTACTGACCTGAGCATTCTGAAAGACACATTTCATATCCCCATGTCTGCACCATAAAATCTTGATATTCGACATTTCAATTCTGTTGAAATCAAATGTTTGTGTTTTAGAAAATTGATCTGTGTGGCGTTTACACCATGGTGAAAACATCACTGTCATGTGATATCGTCGTGATCTGATGTTGTTACATTCAGAATACAAGATTAAAGTGTATCTCTAAAACTAGACTAAAATCAAATGCTAGGTTTTCATTGCGTTTCAGTACATATATACACTTATTCATACAATTATTTAACAATCACATAATTCCTTTACAATAAAACTTGAAGAATTACATTACAATATTATGGAGTCAACATTATAGCTATTTTAAAAGAATACATTTTTAAAGAAATAAATAACAAGGCTCCATTAATGGTTTCTATTAAAAGCAAAATATTTACCTTACAGTAGATCGAACCTGCGATCTTTAAATCATAAATAATAACATTCTCACAGATTACAATTGGCTTGAATTTCACAATTTAAAAGCGTACCTGAGCTTGATACCAAAAACTGACTTTTAATATTTCAGAAAAGTATTACAATAGCTTAAGGAAGAGTAATAACACTCTTCATTATTACTTATTAAATTAAAGTAATAATATTAAAGTGTAAGATTCTGTTACATTTAAAGTGTTTGCTATTTGGGGCCATAGTAACAGATACAATCTATTTAAAGCTTTGCTATTGGGGGCCATACTAATATAATATACTATCTGTTTTAATAAATCAAATCTGTATCTGTGAAAATTACCTGTGAAAATTAGATATGTTTAATTAATATTCAAGATCAGACCATATGAAAAGCTATTTGGAAATGAGGTGACCCATAATTGTGAATAAAATACTAAGAAGAAATTACTAAATATATTCCACAACACCCCACAAAAATTCTTCTTCCTTACTGGCAGTATTTCTCTTAATCACATTATCACATTCTTCATTTAAACAAATGAAAGTTACAAACTGATCCCCTAGGTTTAAGATCTTCTAAATTAAAATAACAATACATGTACTTAAAACATGATGCAGCTTCTTATTAATATGTTAACACAAATCTGGGTAAATTATTGCATTTTGATTAAGCTTATCTAGGAATTTAAGGCTTTTTAAAACATTTTGTACCTGGATAAACCTGTCTATAAAATAGACACCTGCACAGTAACAAGTTCCTGACATACTTAAATTTTTGGTTGTTTTCCAGCTTGGTTACGAAGAAAATACTAGAGGTTACTCTAAACCAGTTAAATAACTCCAATAAACTATTTTCAGTTTAATCTTTCAAGTAAGGTTGTTCATAGGACAGTTCTTCACATATTGGCCTCTAAGTTTGATTAGTAAATTTGAACAAATTTTTTTTTTCACAGACACAGTAAAATTTGTGCAACACTTCATGAGGATATCATTAAAACTTCCAAATTTCCAAAATCATATTACACAAGTATATAGTGAAAATATCTAAACCTGATACAAGATTATTGCATTCATATTTGTCAGAAAGAATATACATGTAGTCCATACAGTATCAATATCAATTGACTATCCATAATTACACTTCAACAGATACATAAATTATTGTACATCACTGTGCTAAGATTTAGAACTTCTCTCTGATAAAAACTGTTTTAGCCATTCTGAAACTAGTTGTGCATTACCATTTTCATTCCGTTTAGTAAATGGATGTGACTGAAACATAAATAAGTGAAAATAGTGTTATCAAAGACACAATCATAAATATTCTAACTAAAAATATAAACATTGAGCTTGCCTTATTGACTATTAGCCCACTAGCAGCAAAATCACTCTGTTCAAACTAAATCTTTTTCAACAGCTAGATTTAAAAAATCTATTATGATCTCAGTATTCTAAACTTTAAAAATAAAAATGTGAACAAAAAAATAATGTATTCAAAGTTTAGCAAAAGAAAAGTTTGAAATTCAATAGGGTTCTTCAGAATGCCCAAGTATGGGTTTTAAAATTTCCATTGTTCTCTATCACGTTCACATGATTTCCAATCTGATTAAAATACAGATCTATATCTTGTTTTGTTTTTTTATACTTTCGATGGCTTCTACTACATGAAGACCTGACCAGTTGTAGTTCTAGGTCACATCAGAAGTCATACGAGAGGCGTTTGCCTCTATGACATCAGACATTTGATTAACCGATCAGTGTGGGATGTTTCTAGTAGGATTCTCACAGTTCCATGCACTGCACACCAAGAACTCATCGCAACAGACTGTTTAATTGGCTAATCCCTCGCATCATCCAGAACACGGGTTATATAACACCTCTTTCAGATTCTAGAGTAGTAAAGACAAGTAAAACTAAATTTTGAACTATAAAAAACAAAATGAAATAGGATCTGTGTTTTAATCAGATTGACATGATTTCATGAATACGAAAGTAAATGGGGTAAGTAGTAGCCTATGTATTAAAGATTTTTGATGGAGAATAGTACAATTTTTGAAGTAAAGTAGTACATATTAACAATTTCAAAGTAAAGTAACACATATTAACAATTTTTGAAGTAAAGCAGCACATAATATTAACAATTTTTGAAGTAAAGTAGCACATACTAACAATTTTGAAGTAAAGTTGCACATATTAATAATTTTTAGACCATCTGTAATATTTTGTTTATAAATAAATACAAATTACATCAAATAAACTTACTAGAAGTTGTGCCACTGCTAATCTTTGTCTTAAATCTTTCTGTAAACTATAATAAATAAATAAACATTTATAGATAATGTTTTCTAATCTATCACAGTACTGGTAAATAACCATAACTATGGCAACTACCATCACTTATTTTGCTATATTACAGAATGAAATGCACATTAAAATTAATGCAAGTGATGGATGGTAAATCACTTTTAAATAATTTAAAACATTCATTTCTTCCTCATACTAATTTCTTTATAGTAAGTAGTGAAAAGACTGTGTATAATATATAATCCTTTCAGTTCGATGACATACAGTCAGTTGAGTTCACATATCAAATACAATTCGAAGAAACCTGTCAACTTACCATAGATTTACAAAATGCACAAAATTTGCTGAAAAATTCTCTGGGGGTAAGGTCATTGGGCTCTAGAAACAAAGAAAATAATTATTCCTACTTTTAAAATACAAATTTACCATAAAACCATTTATTCATCAAAATCAACAAGGTAAAAGGTGTCATGATTCAAACAAACATAAAATAATAATTAAAGATTTGACAGCACATTCTGGATTATAAAACTTACATATCAGTCTGAAATTTCATTGTTTTTTTTTACGTAATAAATTATGAAGCTAATGACAACTTATTTTGACATAAAAGTACTACATACTTCCAGTCCATATTAATGTATAACCTTGTTACTATGTTAGACGTACAAAATAATCCAGCTTACCTCCATAATAATACAACCCATTAACTCAAATGGCTAAAATTAAAAACAATACAGATATAATATACTTCAAATATGAAATAAATGGATTGGATTCCCAGGCTTGTTAACTCTAAGCTATGGTTATTTTACATTAAAATACTCTATAATATATCAGTCTATGTTGTTGTTAATAAATGAGTATAGAATCATACTTACAGTCATATCAATTCTAAACTGAAAAGGAAAAAAAAAAGATGTTTCAAAGAAGTTACAATATAATTTAGTTTTTAACATGCATTGACTATCACATGTCCAAAATATACATTTCTATATTGATTATCAAATTGTTAGTTATCACCCTATCTGTAGTATGTGAATTATCAGCTTTATTTGATATATTAGCCTATTCATGTCATGGAAAAGTAGACCACTGTTAAGGCGGCTCCTATCTATTGTACATCCATGTAAATTCCATAATTATTAGACAGTTTTAAGTGTTTTCAAGACATGTATATACATCCAAAGCAAGAGTTTTTATTGTAAATATTCTTCAAATCAAATAAAAACTACCAGTATATCTTAAGACTAAAATAACATTCTGATTTCAGCTGGAAATATCAATGAAATAATATACAATACTTACAGAAGGGAATGGTAGTTTGCCAGTAACTATCTGTTTAAAACAAACATATCTTATATTATTACAGTTTAAAAACACAGACTATTATAGTTAATATTCCACAAATGAAAAATATCTTTGCTCAAAGTTTTAAAGACAGTTATGTGTCTAAATACACTGATTTGAAAATATATTTAAACTTCTGAAAAAAATAAGTTGGTAACTAAAAACATGAGCTATGAATTGGAAACTATATTCAATTTCAAATACTGTTATTACAAACTAGGGCCATCAAGTGTTTGTTGCATTTCTCATTTACAGGTTTCTTTATTATTTCATTTATAGTTTTGGGTAGTTTCCAGCGTTCCAGGTTATAAAATAGTTAAAGTATATTGAATATAATTACCTCAAATAATGAAACACCTAAACTCCAAACTTCAGCAGGTATTCCATACTGGTTACCCTGTATTCTCTCTGGCTGAAATCATAAGACACATCAAATATAAAATAAGGTATATAGTAGGTGGTTTTGAGTCTATCATTTCTATTTAACAGGGCTTGCCACGAGCAAATTGGAGGCGAGTAGATGACTACTCACGCAAATATAGACTTGCGCGAGTGAGGCGAGTACATGTATTTACTCACGCAGAATGATGTGCGTGAGTAGCCATTTAAATTTCATGTGCCTAATGGCAATGCTCTTGTCACTTCGGTGGAAGCGGACGTTGAATAAAGCTATTTCACACACAATGACAATGCATACTCTTTTATTTCCTTGGCAGTAATATTATCTGTAAATCGTCTTCCCATGACAAGAACGTTGCAAGAGAAACTGGGCTTCCCTTTGCCATCGTTGGCGTGCTGAGGGGATTCGGGTAAAGCTTAGAAAGGTAAAAGAACAGGAAAAAAAAATCTATCCCATCAATTTGCAGAAAAGATGCGGGATCGAAAGAATTGCTAATAATAGAAACGACAACATGCGCTCAATGTTTGATTATCCAGACACGGCAAAGGACATCCACTTAAAAACCGTCTGGCAGTACGCGTCTCAAAGTATTTTTAGTAACAACAGTTGGCACTGGAAAGACACGCCGCGTGCGCAATAGTGCATCGATATGAAGGCATACAAATTGTTTACAGCTTTTTATATTACGATATTCAATTATTTCTGATTAAATTATTTTTTTATATTTGCGCGAGTACTTAATCACTCACGTAAATTTGGTTTTACGCGAGCGTAGCGTGCGCGCTAGTAATTACTCGCGTCCCGTGGCAAGCCCTGTTTAATATTTTTTATAAAATTCCAGCTACCAGTAATAAAGACATTTTACTTATATACACAAGATCAACAACAAAATGAATGAATTATACAATTATTTTACTTACAGCCATGTAAACATTGGTACCAACAAATGTTGTAGCTATAGATTTTACCAACTGAAATAACAAATTGTGATGTTATACAACAAGTATATCTCTCTTTTTAATTAAAATCTGAAATGATCTAACTATAAAGTTAGTCACATATTATGTGCAACACATCAATCTATTTCTAAGATAATGTCCTATTTTCATCAAGACAAACAAATAGTCATACAGGTTATCTTGGTCTGCACATGACAGGCTTTAATTTCTCACAAATATTAGCAATGATACTTTGATTTGTAAATACTTTTTAGGGCCGATTTTATGATGTTTATCAAACATACCTGTGTACTAACACCAAAATCACATAGTTTAACCTGACCAGCAGTATTTACTAAAATATTGGATGGTTTAATATCTGAAATTATAAAATCATGAATAAACATTTAAAGAGGAAATCGTGATATTGAGCTGAATGGAAATAATCACTAGTATACTGACATTGTCATCCAGGTCAGACAAAATGAGCCAGTTTTGTTGACTATTAATATTATGTACCTTTAATAGCTAAACAATTAAAAGGTTAGATCTATCTCTTAAGGTCACCTTCAGATTTGGTCAAAGGTCGCGAGTTGTATACAGGGCTAGCGCTAACCCTAACCCTAAGCCTAACCCTTACCCAAACCCTAACCCACAATCTCCTCAACAATCACGTGCCCCAACTTTATTTACATCTCAGTGACCTTGACGAAATCTGGAGGTGACCTTAAGAAATAGATGTAGCCATTAAATTAGATAACATGTAACAAATACAGAAACCATCGAATCTCTATTAGACTAAGAGTCATAATGCTCCATTTAATACCATTCTACCTACAGAGATATATTAAACTTATCCACATGGAAACTCAATGGAGTTCAGTTAACTTCATAAATGTAAAAAACTTAATATTCATAAATATAAACTGACAAAAAAGTAGTGTAATATTAAAGGGCCAATCCCGATAATATGTTGGACAATAAAACTGCATAATTTTGTGTTAAAATTCCTTAAAATCCTCTACCAAAGGGCTGAGCAACTAACTTAATATTTGTGATACGTTTTCAAACAACTTAAACCTGTCGGTCTTCATCTGGAAATGGAGACCGGTGTTCCAAACTGTATTATGCGTCTTCTGGATAAACCAGACTTTTATTTTATAAAAATAATGTGTAGGTGAAATTTACCTTTCGTTATCAAGTACAGCACCTGGGTCATTCATTGTATAGACCTCTTAAGGAATGGGAATCGATTATCAGGTCACCCAATGAAAAAATGACCAGAAATCTTAAAAGGGTTACGTGTCCGGATAAGCATTTATGACGTTCACGTCCAAATGACTAAATATTGTGAGCTGAATTTTTGAGACTAGGTAAACACACCATTCCTCTATATTTTGGCGCTTAAATTTCAAACGTACTCGGACTTTTATTTTTGAGACCATGTTCAAATCGGGATAGTCCCTTTAAGTTCAATTTAACAGAGAAATGTTCCTATGTAACTGGCACTGTATTCTTACCTCTGTGAAGGATTTTAAGATTCCACATGTAAATTAAACCGTTTATAATATGTGCTGACATGGCACTTAATACATTTTCAGGAATAGGTATATATCTATCTAAAGATCCACCTGAAACATAAACATAAATCAACATACTAATTGTTGAATAAATTTGAGAGGGCAATAATAAGCTTCTTTTGAGGGTAAAAATTTTGTTTTCTTTTAATGTGGGCAAATATTGTTGACACCTGACACTGGTTAGATTTTTTAGTACATATCTTTCACATTTTCATGAATTGTTCATCGGGTCATATGGTGGAATTTATATTTCAATCGCAAATGTGATACAGGACAAAGCTCCTTATGGAAGTTTTCAAAGCGTACTTGGATTCTTTAAAACTTGTTTTATAGGCCTTGCTGACATTGATTTTAGAAGCTATGACGTAGTTTGGGAGAATTTGTTTCTAGTGGTCATATTAATTAGGTGATCTAACAAGTCACAGTGACCTACAGTGTTAACTAGAACAGAACAATTATGCAGTTTTTTTTACTTTTAGTGAAAGAAGAAACTGTCTTTATTTGGGTGATAAAATATTAAGTTGTGGGGAGAAATCAAAATGGTTATTAAAGTATCTAAACAAATGATCAATTTTACATACCATCCATATATTCTGTACATATAGATATTCTATTTTCAGTAAAGAAGGCACCATAAAAAGCAATAATAGATGCTGAATTACACTGGAAAATAATAATATCATCATATAATTCATGTCCTGTGTTTATTTTTGACAGTTTGGCTCAACTGAAATCGCCCCCCCCCCCCCACACACACACCCATCCAACACCCACCCCAGACAAATACTAAATAAATACAAGGTTCCTTACTGTTTAATTTGTACTGGCATTGGCATTTGAAACTTAGGACAAGATAGGACAATTTTAAAAGATTTACCTTATGTAATATTTCCATCTCTAATAAAATCTGTTTCTGAACTGTTGGTGTCAAATCTAATTTTATAATCTACAAGTATGAAAAAATATCATTTATATCTCTATTTACAATATTTATATGAAGAAATAAAACATTAGCACAATAGTACTAGTAATACATTATTTGTTCTAGGTTTCTTATTCAAATACTAAATTGATAAATCTCATCAGGAATATAATAAAAGAATTTCAGTATGCACCTTTTAAATTTGGAATAGGATTCTACAAACTATATTGTGAATAATAATAGAAGTTTTATTTGCTTGTCAAAAAATAGAAATGAAATGAAATGGAGTTTAACGTCCTACTTTTCTGCACCAACTGGTCCAATGAAGACGGGCATATGCCATACAGTGTGCTATGAAGGAAATTTTGGCCGAACAGTGGCAGTATGGCATACGCTTATTTTGAATTGTAACAATCAAGGGTTCTTTTACGTGCATGTCAATGTGCACATGGGACCTTGTTTTTCGTCTCATCTGAACGACTAGATACTGTTCCTTGTCAGGCCCTCCATCCTGCACCACTGACAAGGGGAAATCACATCAGAAAATTCCAAGGTACTTTCTCGTCGAACACCTGGACAGAACCTGAGATCTCCGTGTTAGCTAGTCAGTGTTTCACTCCCTGAGCCACTACGGCTCCTGTTCTTTATTAGAGTATTAAATGTCTTATTACCTTGACTGCCATCATCAATTTAGTGGGTTTGTGAATAGTTCTGGAAAACACAATGAAAGTTCAAATAAATGGGAAAAGTCATAAAGTCTAATGTTAATTTATCGTTATCAAAATTGACCAGCAGTTAAAATTTTGTAGTGGAAGTCCTGAGGAGATAGACACAATGATCAAAAAAATATCTGAATCGTAATAAATGCTGATTTCACACAGCCATTATTTGAATTTATGGCCATTTGTAGTTTTATTCGGAAGGTATAATGGATTTGATTTTTTAGGGTCAGCAGCTATCCTGTCTGAAGGCTGAAATTAGGAGTTTATAAGTGCAGCTTGATTCAGAGAGTCTCATAGGTCAGGTGACATTTCACTACAATTTCGGGGGTATACTATTTACAATAGTCAAGGAGTCAACCTGTGCAACACTGGGTCAACTGCTAGTAGTAAATATTTTTGACTTTTTGAGATATTTCTGAACCATTTGACTGGTTGGCCTTCTAACTTTAAACTTAAGATATTTTTCTATACCAGAATTAATCATTGTTTATTGCAAAGGTTTAAAGCATTTGCTAAAAATGAAATAACATTACTAGGTTACCTATTGACTTGTCCACCATTGCCAGAACCTAATACTTCCATATGCTGTAAATCATCTTCTTTAATATTTCCACAAGATAAGATCTGTTCTATACTATTATTTGACTGACTTGTACTGTAATAAAATAATAACAATGTTATCAGCTAACATTAGTGCCATTTGTAGACAAATTAAATATTACTAAAATCAATCAAATCATAAAATCAATTAATACTAAATATCTAAAGGTCATATTGGGGTTTCAATGGGTATATTACATTAATATCTAAAAAAAAACACCTTTTCAGCCATTATTTTTGCTAAATTCAATTAGGCTATAATCATAAAAAATCTCAGAGTAGTTTATTGCAAAATATACAAATTAAGATTTTTGGGAGGGAGAATCAGAAACTGAATAGATGTGAAATTAGTAAATATAATTCCTACCTTTCTATTTTGGTTGGTTCTGCTTCTGCTGTTGCCATCTCCTGATCACCTGTTGATTCTTGTTTCGTTGTCTTGATCTTTAAACATAGAAATGTGAGTGTCAGAAAAGTTTCAAAAATCTATCATATTAATTAACTCTGTACATTTAACTATGCAAACAGACAAATAATGCAGGGAAATTTATGATTGTAAAAAAAAGAAAGTGAACTAGCCCTTTCTTATGCCTCAATGAAAAATCTCACAGGGCATTACAAAATTTTCTGTATTGTGTTCACAAGGCTTAACAGTCAAAATGTGAAAAAGGAGTTTTAAAATATTCCATCAAGAATTGTGTCTTGACAGGCTGACAACATGTCAACATTAAATGTGGGTATATAAAAATAAATAAATCACTATAATCTTTAAAACCAATTAATAATTACCTTCAAACCATGAATATTCCTATTTTGTGACGTTTTTCCCACTGAAAATAAAAGTTTTGTATTTCTTAGCTTCGATATTGAGTGATTAAGACTAATTTGGTATCCATATAATTTCAAAAGTCAAAAATATGTGCTATTTAACGTACAAATTTGTTATTATGCATTTATGCATAGTCTTGCTTCTATGAAAAAGATAGTCAGATAATGATTATTACAATGTTTGTTAATAGAAACCAGTGTAAACATAAAATGACCATGAGTTTAAACTGATCAGTTTGGATACCATTAATTATGCTTGGTCTAAAACTATATACTTATCTTTTACTTACATTTGGGGTAAATAATTAAAGGTGGAAATAATCCTCTTGCTAAATCTTCCTCACTTAATTCACAAAAATACTGAAAAATTGTAAATACATCATTATAAGCTTCTGAAATTTCCCTATAGCAACCCACTCAAATCTTTCTTTTTGTGTCATCAACCCACTCAAATCTTTCCTTTTGTTTCAGCAACCCACCCAAATCTTTCGTTTTGTTTCAGCTACCCACCAAAATCTTCCGTTTTGTTTCAGCAACCCACCAAAATCTTACATTTTGTTTCAGCAACCCACCAAAATCTTTCGTTTTGTTTCAGCAACCTACCAAAATCTTTTGTTTTGTTTCAGCAAGCCACCAAAATCTTTATTTTTGTTTTATAAATTTGAGGGGTGTAATATTATGCAGGTTAATCTCATTTTGAAATTATTAATAATAACTTACATCAGAAAACATTGATTTCATTTCTTCTTCACCTCTAACTGTAACTTTATCACCTTCTTCATCTTCATCTAATTAAAAAAATATAGCAATAAACTGTACATAATGTTCATGATATAAATTCTTAAAGATTGGGTCCCCGCCTTGTCCTCCTTTTGGCAATGACAAATTTTCTATAACCATACGATGCTGAAGTTTTTAAAGTTATAAAAAATCTCAACCCAAAAATTGTCTGTTGTATTGATGCTTTCTCACAAACATGATTGTGGAGTAAAGTGGGGCTTATGCTGACCTTACAACAGAGAGCAACTGGCTTTTTGGCAACTGTGAGCAACTGTCTTCAACGGACTTCAACAGAAAAAGTTCAACCCAGTTGAAGCCAATTGTCCACGTTTAACTTTCTGCAACTTGCTTCAACAAGCACACTTGCAACTGGCTGAAAGTAGTTGCTACCATTTGCAAAGTCAACATAAGCCCCGCTTAAGGGCCAGTAGACACATGGATAAAAATAATTGACAGCAAAATACAATTACATTTCAAAAGGAACAAATAATAATGATCAAGAATTCTGATTGAATTTAAAAGGCAGTAACTAAATATGTTTTATGTAACTAATATAGGTATAATGTACATGTATATGTTTTACTTACATTCAAATGCTGTTATGGTTGTATTTGGTATTAACTGGGAAATAACCTCCTGTATAAAAGAAGAAATGTGTGTAAATAATTGTATCTCATTCTCCAAAATTTATTGAAGCTGTCTTGATATGTAATTCCAAACAATTCTTAAAATTAGATGTCTATCCATATATATTAGTATATAACCGGCGACAAATAAAAACATGAAAAGTGTGAGCCATTACCAGTGTTTGTTGAAATGTGACTTCTTCAGGTTGAACCATCCAGTCCATGTCCTGATCACCTTCAACATGAATTCTCAATGTAAATGGGGGTTCATTCATCTTTATATCTTCTTACTGGTCAAAGATATTTACATTATTTTTTTGTAATTGAATGAAACACCTCAGCATCACCATAATATCTAAAATAAAAGAATTAATGTAGATTAGTTGATGGCTATATATGTACATGTATATAAGGAAATCAGAACCATATATTGTGGATCAAGAAATGTTATACGTCATGTACGTTTGACAAACATATGTAAAAACGATTGGAAGGCCAGTAAATTACACTTGTAAAAAAAATTTTATTATTCATATTCATCATTTCATGTAAAATCTTTGAAATAAAATAATAGAATACCATAAGATTTTAAATAAAACAGAAAACTTTTATGGATATGATAATCGTACATTTATCAGTGGGTATGTTATACTATCATGACATCATCAGACAATATAAAGACTTGTTTACTGGCAATTAGCCTACCGTAGATTGCAAAATGTTGGAAATTTCAAATTTGAAGAAATGTACATAATACATAGACTTGTTTTGTCGATAGATTCTGCCAAGAAAAAGAAGCGAGACGAGATAAAATAGAAAAAGACAGATATTCCTATTAGAATTTCAACTTTTGGAATATTATAGTTTGAAAGGGCTTCCTATGATCAAATCATGCCCAGGACTTTAACCAAGCTTCCAAAGTGATTACAACTTCAGGTAGTTTGTGGTTTCCCCTAAATAGCAAAGTGTTTAGACTGCAGATAAATCCATTTCCTAACTGTATCCATATCAATTACATGTAAATCATCAGGTATGCCCTGTTAACACCTGCTGCTCTAGTTCCGTTTCACCAGGATCAAAGGTACAGGAAAGTTTCAGACAAGTCAAAATTATATCCAAGCAAACATCTAAAATGCTCAGAATAATTTATTTATAGTTGTGAATGTATCTCCACTTTGTTAACCAAGATTTTAGACTTAGTCAGTTCATAGGCATTGTCCATGTGTCCACTGATTATTTTTACAGGCTATGATGTTGTATCATTCATAGACAGTATGGTAGGCCTACAAATGATCAGAGAGACCTTTTTGAGAAAAAGACGCCTGTCTGGTCTCATGGTTATATTAGTATTATTAGTCAAATTTCATTTGGATTTTCGCTAACCTCTGGCACCTAGAAATGGACACAAATGGGTCGCAACACATATAATAATGTAATATGAATATATATATAAACTGATTTACATTCAATTGTTTCTGTTTTACTGTTATTTCTATTCTAATCAGTTATGTTCGGCGAAATACACCAGAAGTCTCAATCGATTGGCAATCTCTAGCGTCTGGTTATTTCAGTCTACACTGATAGTATTTATTGCGCATGCTCTCCAGATAAGAATATGGCGTCACTGTTTGACATGATTTGGGGAATATGACGTCTAGGCTAGCTAGTCTCGTGCTTCGAGTCCCTTGTTACAAATAGCGCTGAAACACATTATGCCAAATTATGGTACACCAATTGTTAAATGTTTATTTTCACTTAGATATTGGATATCAGAAGCACATCTTTTCCCGGTAAGATCACAACATCAATGTTGATTTAAATTGCCAAATAAAAACTCGTGTTTTCAATGTCGAAGACTTTTCAAGTCTTTTGTTTTGGTTTGGATGATATTGAGTTAGAGACTTAGCTACTTTAAATAAAAGAATAGTTTTGGTGACTGCACGATCGCGACCACGGTGATTTTGCACTGTGTCCGTATCAAATACTCAATAAAATATAAATGTAGATCGTACATCTATTTACAAAACTTGTGTGTTTTGTTGTTTACTATATGGAGGCGGCCATTTTCTTAACTACTTCCAGTTCAATGAAACCGGATTCAGTTTCCCAGTAGTCTCGATTGTCCAAAGTGCGCTAAAACGAAACAGGAAGTTATTGGTTTTGACCACGTTGGCGGCGCATGCGTTTTCGAAGAAAATAAGCAAGATGGCAGGACATGGAGAAGTAGACGAACTTTTTGACATTAAAACAGCTTTATATATTGGTAATTACCAGCATTGTATCAACGAAGCCCAAAAACTAAAGGTATAACAAAATGCGTTTCTAATCTATGAACACGTTGAATTATACTTAATATGTAACAGGCATTGCCTGACTACTGTCTGAGTCTTGGTAAATTTTAAACAGATTTCTTCGATTATGAACAAACTACTTAACTTTGGTTATTATAAACTTACCTGTGTGTTTGTAATCAACTCCCGTTCGATAAAATCCATTCACAACTAATTATCACAACGATGAAAACAAGTTCTCTCTTGAAAAATTGAAATATCACAAACTTTTCCCAGAGAAAAATACCAATATGGAAGATGGTTACGTCACTCTGCGGAGGATATCATTTCGTATTAGGGGTGACAGCATAGAAAATTCAAGTACAATTACGACAAGAATCTATGACCACTCGGACCAAAGACCACCCGGTTCAAGACCAGTCGGACCAACTGATAGACCACTCAGCCCAAACAAATAGACTACTCGGACCATACAAAAAGACTATTCGGACCCAACAGAAAAACGACTCGGACCAATAATATAATGTTGTTTTAATAAATTGATAATTGCGTTTGTTTTAATATGATTACTCGAACCAATAATAAAGTGTTATTTTAATAAATTGATAATTGTGTTTATTTTAATATGACTACTCGAACCAATAATAAAGTGTTATTTTAATAAATTGATAATTGTGTGTGTTTTAATATGACTACTCGAACTAATAATAACGTGTTGTTTGAATAAATTGATAATTGTATCCCAAATCGCAAAATATCGAGAACCACACTTGTAGTCACGTTTAAAAAGGTGCATATTATAAACGTCTGGTCTTCGTATTATTATGGGCTGTTTATATTAATGCATCAAGGGCGGATAACTTGAAAACGTGTCCCCCCCCCCCCCCCCATATATTAACCCAGTGGTGTAGAACGGAATGAAACCACTGGGGATACCGCGAATGTGGAAAAAGTAAAATTAGGCCATCAGATAAGAACAGTATACCCGTATATGTAGAAACTGTCAAAAGTCTGGACATACCGAGTCTCATTGCAAGAGTAAATAAGAAAAATTAGATTGATATTTTTTTTTGTCACCATTATTAATTAATTTTAAAACTAATCGTTGATTTATTTTCCGTACACAAAATTGAACTAAACAACTCTAAATATAAGAATTCCGTATAAGAATTATTTGCTTCTTTGTATTGTGATTTAATAATAAATAAATAGCATATTGTCTAGCCTTATAATATAATTTAATTGGTCCGACTGGTCTTGTTTTGGTCCGACTGGTCTTAGTCTGAGTAGTCTTTGGTCCGAGTGGTCTGGATACCTACGACAATTGGCATTGAGTTTGAGCGTTCGCACACATAACTACCAGTATTCCTGTATTTTAGTTACCGTTTTTTACATTCTAGTAAAATCTCTGCAAATTTTATAGCTTTACTTTTTAAAATATTTTGTTCTAATTATTTGATTAGCGATTCGGATGGGATAATTTACTTTTGAACACGCATGCCGCACAAACACAACTATACATTCGTTTTACGAGCTTTATCACACTTCGGTCAAAACTGTCGAATCGAGAATTAATGTTCCGCTTCTTACGGGGTCATACAGGCTTAGTAGCATTATATACCCACCCGGGCACCCAATAGGCACGTTGAGGGCTGTCGCAACACGCTTAAAGATGTTACTGAAGCTGTTATTATTCGATCGAAAGAATGCGTATAAAATTAAAAATACACTCAGAGAATTCGGAGGTAAGCTTCATGATCCTTGTTAAATTATTTATAACAGAAAGAAGATAGGATATTTATAGTTTATATATGACTTTATTTTTACGAGTATCCGTGCAATCAGTGATAATTTAATTGTGAAGAAAATTTGATAGACTGGCGATCAATGGTTTCCATATAAATCTCCTATGTAATTGCCTTCAATTGATATTTTTCGTTGCCCAAACCCATATACGATCAAAATGATCGCGCTGTCAAACTATCTTTCAATGTTAACCAACCCCCGCAACAAGTATATTGGATTCAACCAATACGTCACGAAGACATTACAAGTAAATTTTCAAATTTTTCAAGAGAGAACTTGTTTTCATCGTTGTGATAATTAGTTGTGCAATGGATTTTATCGAACGGGAGTTCATTACAAACACACAGGTAAGTTTATAATAACCAAAGTTAAGTAGTTTGTTCATAATCGAAGAAATCTGTTTAAAATTTACGATGGTTCACACAGTAGAGCGAAGCTGGTGTGATTGTTAATATTATATTCATAAAGTCACTTTAAAGTGGCTAAGTAAATTTCTCAACTAAGTCATACAAGTACAAGTATGTTAAATAATTTTGTTTTTCCGAATTGATTTTAATTTAGATTTAAATTGCATGATGAATTTTGTTTTTTAAAAAGAACAAAAAAGTGTGAGAAATATTTTCATTGACGTCAAAAATATGTAATGTCATTAATAGATGCGTCATAGAAATCTCAAATATTGGCATTATTGCTATGATGAGACGCGTAGTCTCACTTCGGCAAGATTTCGTAAGTCGACATGTGCATTGCCAGTTTTGCCTAGTGTATCCGGTTGTGGTCAGAATTGTTTTTTTTAATCTACAGACAGTCTATGGGTGACAGTTTTAGTTACACTCCTGTGTCACCAGAAAAGAGCTTTGCTCAAGCACAGCGCTTCATGTGATGCTTTCAATTTAGGCTATACTAATTGTAATACAAAGATGTCAACAGTTGAATTATTATTTTTATTCAACATTGTATTGTACTACTTGCCTATTAATATTAATGATAATATATATCCTAGTTTTGCTCATCTAATAGCTAGGCATAATCAAAACTGCAAAATCAGATGATTGTGTTTACTATATATGTAGTGATTGATGGCAATTATGACCGCAATGAGTAAGTCTCACTTGGCAATCCAACAAATAAATCATTTTTTGTGATAACAGCATCAATGAATGTATCAATCAACTGTAGGCGAGTGTAGCAGAGACTGCATAAATGCTACAATATAGCAAATGAGGAGTATGGTGAATGGTTAGGTTTGAAAGTCCCAGACTTCTTTGGAACAGTCTGTAGAATTACCCAAGAACTATAACACACAAGTATACTGGTCAGTTGTTTGAGATTTGAGGTAAAAGCAAAAATAAAGGTCTGACTTGTATGTTGTTTGCATACTGAGCCAGTCAAAAGTAAGGTACAGCAACACATGACACTACAGAGTTATGGTGGGTTATGTGATGATGATGATGCTAATCATTATGGCAGCAAATGGTAGGTAAACTTGAAACTCAATGATTAGAAAGTGGAAGGGAACTCACAAAAAAGCATAATTTTGGCCATATTTGTCTCGTATATGTCAACTGAATTTTAAATAACACATCACATAATTAAACTATGAGTTTTACATGGATATCATTTTATAATTTTGAAACTTATTTTTATTTTCAAGTTGAGAGATGTTGATTTGAAAACTCAAAAGGATGTTATTTTGTATAGAGCTTACATAGCTCAGAGAAAATATGGAGTAGTTTTGGATGCAATTACTTCTTCACATTCACCAGAGCTACAGGCTGTAAAAATGTTTGCTGATTACCTTTCCAGTGAAAATCGAAGGTAATTTCTCATTTGTTGGCTAAGTGTATACGTCTATGGGATATTATAATTTAGTGATTTCACTGTTTAGGGATTTGGGAGCTGCGGTGGTTCGGTGAATAAGACACTGACTTGCTAACCAGGAGGTCTCAGGTTCTCTCCCGGTGTTGGCTGAGAAAGTTCCTCTGGTGCATTGGTGCAGGACAAGGGCCTGGCAATTACAGTATCTAATAGTTTGGATGGGATGAAAAACTGGGGTGCTATGTATACATTAGCATGCGTGTTAAAGAACCCTTGACAGTTGGAAGTTGATATCTGTCTGGGCAAAATTTTCCTCATAGCTCACTGTATGGCTTATGTCCATCTTCATTAACCCTGTCAGTTCAGAAAAGGACTAGGATGTTAAACTTCATTTCATTACTGTTTACAGAGCCATAAATAGGAAGTAATATTGTGTTAATAAGTACGTTTACATCAATATTGTTGACTTATTAAAAGTTATTACTTTAAATGTATTTTAGAGATGGTATAGTTAGAGATTTAGATAGTAAAGTGTCTGGAAGTGTTGATGTATCTAACAGTACATTTCTTGTAATGGCTGCCTCTATCTACTATCAAGAACAGGTATTTATTAGTGTATAACTCTTAATATTTTCATTTTATGACAGCATAGTCCGGTATTTTGACTGTTATTGTTAACTTTCTTATGAAGGCATGCGAGAATGTAGATTAAATATAGAGATTAAGACCATGTACATAATCAAAAGTGTTATTAATAATCATCTTGGTTAATCAATTTTAAGATCAATTCTTTTGAATTGACTTTGTGACTTAGACAAATAAAACAATAAGAGTTCTGCGCTCTTTTTGATAGAAGCAAGTCCATTTTTTTGAGGAGTTTATTTCAGATGTACAGTAACAGTACTTAAAATACAGATGTGACGTCATCCTTTGATGTTGGCATACCATTATTTTCAATAATGTATGGGCAACTTGCCAATTATTCATTATCTATACTAAATGAAATATTGGACTTGCGTGACGTATTTCATTGAAAAGCATGTGCAGGATAGTGTCTGTATTTTTAGTTGTTTAGTGGTCTCGAGCTGAAGACATTGTGTAATATATTGAAACAACACTTGGCTAATGCTCTCGACCATTAAACCACACATAATATAACAGTACATTAGAATAGTACATAAATTGAATATTGTTTTATTTATATTCCCCTAGAATACTGATGCAGCACTTAGAACACTCCACCAGTCAGATAATTTAGAATGGTGAGTAAATGTAAATAACTTATACTGGACCAGGAACTGGGCTCCAAGCACTACTCATCATCTTCTTGTTGGGGACAACATTTGTCAAAATAAGCATAAGGCTCCACCAATTCAACTACAATCGATACAAAACTTGGCGTTCGATTTTTGATATGACATAATTCCAAGATTTTGCAGTGATTTTGTGCTAGGTTATGGGCCAGAGAATACTTGTTCATAGGCTACACATTCTGCTCAAACATAGTAGTCTTTAATGATCTTCATAAAATATCATATTATTACTTGTATGTCTCCAAATATTTGACAAATGTAAACAACTGTAACAATAGCTTTAATAACAGTAATACCCAGTGGTGAAATATTTAACAAATTACATGTACAATATAAAATTTACTTTTGTAGCGTTGCTCTTATGATACAGATATTACTAAAATTGGACAGAGTTGATTTAGCCAAGTAAGTTTTACAATTTATTTTTAAAATGTATCATCTTGATGGAATATTTATAATGTATATGTTGCTTTATATAATAGCTGACTGATTTCTTTCTGAAGAGATAATAAAAACTAAAGGGAGATAAATCATGGATTTAACCGGGCTATTGCAGTATCTGCCCTTTATGTCATCTAAAATAGGAAATGTATTTATTTGTAGGAAAGAGTTGAAAAGAATGCAAGAATTAGATGAAGATAGTATCTTAACACAGATGTCTCAAGCATGGTTTAATCTTGCTGTGGTAAGTTACACAATGATAAAATAATTGAAAACACAAACTTTTTACCCACATTTATATCTGACATGGTATTTATGTTCATTAAGACAAAGATTAAGAAGCCTATTGGATTTTCAACAATTCCCAATAATTACTTTCAGTGTTATCATCCAATTGAATATAAATTTATACATCCTTTTCATCAGACGAACAAGCCTATTCAACGATTTATAATAATTACTGACTTTAAGGATATATCCCTTAAAAGTATTTTTTCAAACTTTCAGTTTCAAGGAAACCTGTCTTAATTTTATGAGGAAAAAGTAGAAACTTCTATCACAGAGGTCCAGTGCCAAGAACCTACATGTGTAGTATTGTGAATATGTTAATTTTTATATGAAATGTTTTAATTGTTTTTTATATGTATATTTTTAGGGTGGAGATAAATATCAAGATGCTTATTATATATTTCAAGAACAAGCAGATAAACATGCTGCTACATCTTTATTACTCAATGGACAGGCTGCTTGTTATATGGCACAGGGCAAATTTGATGATGCTGAGACCGTTTTACAGGAAGCACTTGATAAGGTAATCAGGAATAAATTTTACTGTTTGCATGTATCTACTCTTATTCAAATACTATGTAGGTTGATTCGTAACATATTGAACAATGAATTGATCCAAAGTTTCAAGCATTCAGAATAATAAAATCCAAGAGACATTAGCACCATAGATATTGACAGGAAAGAACAAATTGTGTGAAGCAAATCAGCTGTGGTACGAAGCGTTATGTACAGAAACATACCATGCTCCATGAATTGGATCTCTGCATTGTTGGTTATTTCCCTTATTTTGATGGCACAGTTTGTGGTTGCTCTGCCTCTTGAATATCCTGTTTGTACAATTTTATATGTGCTTCCAATTAGTCTATTCAGCTATCATTGATGACATCTATGTTTGAATTTTGTTTTTTTTTTCCTACATTTTTCAGGACAGCAATAATCCAGAAACACTAGTGAATTTAATAGTTTTAACACAACATCTTGGTAAAGCTCCAGAGGTAAGCATCAGAGTTGGCCCTGCACCAATGTTTAATAAAGTCATAGTAATTAAAATTTGTGACGCTTTTCCTCACAATTAGTAAGAATGAAATAGACGGGTACAATACAATGGTAAATTTAATTTCTGGGATAAATTGGCATCTCCAACTCCTCTTATAGTCTTATTTGAATTCAAATGGCCATATAATCTTTCCTGTGCAGTACTAATTCTCACATGCGACCTTTGTTTTCTGTACAATTGGAATGCTTAGAGACATTGGCTTGTTGACAGGTTTATTAATTATGAAAGTTTTTCTCAGCATACTGGTCTATTTTAAAACAATGTCCTGATCAAGCTCCAGTTTGGGGATATTTGAAATAAGTCGGAACTATTTGTATAATAAAGTACCTTCAGTCAACTTCAGTTTAATATCTACTGTTATTTTAGGTGAGCAACAGATATATATCACAGATGAAAGATTCCCATAGAAGTCATCCATTTGTTAAAGATTATTTATTAAAGGTATGTGATAGATGAGGATTTGTATATTTTAGTTAACATAGCGGATGCTTTTGATGTTGTTACTGTAAAAAAAACTGCCAGTATGAAATTAATATTTTTAGTGCAACATAATATTACCAATCACATTAATTTTAATGCACACATTTCTGTTCCATAAATTAAAGAATGTATTATTTAACCTAAACTTTGTCAAACATAACATTCCTCAAAATAATAACCAGCAGAGATAAAATAACAATGGTGTCATGATCTGATAAATGATGTCTTTCTTTCCACACCTATATTCTCTTGAATGTTCTGAGGAAGACAATGACTTGCTAACCCTGTGACACTGTGTACAATCCCAGTTTTGACCGAGAAAAGTTCCTCTGAAAGTTCAGCATGATTTTCTAAGGGCTTGGCAAGGAGCGGTGCATAGCCCTTTGGATGGCACAGAAAAATGAAATGTTATTATCTTGTTGGCAACTTGACTTTTATGTAAGAACACCTTGATAGATGGAATTAGATGAATAGTAGGCAGAAATACCGTTGTTCAGGCAAACTTCCTTCATATTACACTGCATGGTGTATGCGTGTCTTCATTAACCCAAGGCGATTGATTAAATCTCATTTTTGCATGGATCATGTATTTCTCCACCATATACATTTGTCCTGATATTGATAACTCTTAATGTAATGCATGTGGTATTTATCAATTTATTGTAAAATATGATTGATTAAAGTTGTTTTCGTATATTTCTTTAAATGAGATATTTGTTTTATTTTGCAGGAGAGTGAATTTGAGAGAATAGCCAGAAATTATTCAGCAACTGTGTCAACATGATCAAAATCTATAATCACATCTTTTATCGAGTGTACATAGGGATAAAATGTGTAGATACAAATATCTATACGTTACATTCATCAGTATCACTTTATTCAATTCTAGAATAAATATTTCATTTGGTTGAAAAGTTTAACTAAAGTCTTTCTACTTGACGTAAATAGTGGGATTTTGTTACAAAAAAGTGAATCATGTGGTCTATTATGTATTTAAGTGTAAAATTGTATGTAACTTGTTATAAAGGGGGGAATAGTGTTAACTGTTATCAAGAGGGAACAGCCTGATTTTCATGTTATCACTGAAAATGTATTTATCATTAAATGTCTGTACATGGAGATTTTTGTTTTTATCTATGATATTTGCTTAGTACCAACTTTTTAACGGTGTTAGTATTTAATAAGAGAAATGAGTATTTCGTGACGGTGGCGGCTTAATCTCTGAAATCCTCTTATAAAAGTATGTGACAACAAGCTTTAGCATGTTATATAAAATAATGTGAAGTTCTAAAGTAGTTTGCATCTACCTGTCTCTGGTCATTATAATAAATGGTGCAAGTGTATTTGACCAGTACATTATATTATGATCTGATATGGTTGGATCCTACCAATGATTAATACTTGTCTGTCCTGTGTGCTCAGATATTCAACTGAGGCATGTGCCCTGTAGCAGGTTTGTGTTAGATTTAGAGTGGGAATAACCAGTAAACCGATGGTTGAGTGTTAACTTTAGATGTTTTATTGTACTGGAACGGTTTTCCCAGAAAAGATTTGCAGCTTAAGCATATAAATAATTTTATGGCTTGCCTACAGTTTTATAGGTCGTCATATTTATGTTGATGTATATTCTAGCCATACATGTATCGAGTGGACGTTAAACCCTATTTCTCTCTCTCTCTCTCTCCACACACTTGGGAATGAAGGCAGTAGAATTTACATTTTTCATATGATATTAAAGAAAATAACCCAGCATATCGCAAAGGATTCCGAATTTTAGCATTTCATAAACTTGTCATTGAGTTATTGCTTTGATGACTCAGTCAAAATAAATTTTAAAACGTAGGTTGTGAACGTATAGTCTACATTGTTCATCTGACTTTAATAAAAGTTGGTATGTGGCTCAATACAGATCGTTATCTTCCAGTACTGATATATCCTAAGTCAGGATTACTGGGTAAAATAATCCATCAATAATCCATTTATATATTTTACATTTGACTTTTCGTTTTCTAATTATTCATGGGAATAAGTTATTTTTCTTAAAGAATTGGTATATTCAATCATTTGCTAATAATTTGTGGTTTGAATTTTTTTCAAATGGCAGTGGTATGTAAATCGCCCCAAATGGGAGATGGCCAATCTCAGCTCATGCGCTAAACATGGGGTGTTGATGATGGGAAGGTGCATTACATCCCCATCCGTGATATTAATAAAGTAAGGCAACAAGCCTACTCATTATTTCTAGCAATTTTGTTACTTTGTGCACATTCTTTTTTTTTATACGAATGTTATCTTCTTTCACATCACTCTGCTTTCAGTTAAAAATATGCTTAATAAATCAAATTAGGAAAGATGTTCATTCAAGTAGACAGGGGAACAACAGTTGTATGAAGTTATGTATGAACGAATTGACACATGATATTTAAAAGGTTGGTTACCTCTGTCCCAAATGCAAATGAACAGGAGGTGAATTGTAATGGTGCACCCCATCAATCATTGTTAATGCATGAATAATTCTATGTGAAAATTGGGATATTTTCTAGTTATGGAGTTTTAACATGTATTGAAATTATGTCAATTAAATATCTGAATGCCAGGGAGTGCCTGTCGAATATACCCCTCGGGCTTTGAGTGGTCATTTAGTACTTTTATTGCATTCTTGACTGCTCAAGTAATTCAGCCTTCACTGACAAATTTTCACCGACAAAACCCCAATTATTATAACCACGACTGTTGTGCGTGGTAACTTGGTTGAGCGGGTTCTCTCGATATGATCAGACATCATTACCTCTGCACAGGGCGAATAGTGTTGTTGTTCTTTATTAAAAATTTAACGTGCAAGACATTATTATATATTATGGACAGGCTGGTTTAATTAGGTTAATTATATATTAAGGCGTAACATATAAAAAAAAAGAAAATAGGTAAAAACATAAAAATAATATGTTAAAACAGGAGGTCCAGTTGATTGATGTTTGGCGTCATCAGTGTGGATCAAAAAAAAAGTGGAGGAAAAAAGAACCCGCTTACTTTATGCGGAAACGCGAAGTTCTCGCAGTAAAAACCACATAGATGTACCCGTGGATTATTTACATATTAAACTGCCCATGTGAGTATTGTCATATAGTTCAAATTATATGGTTTGCAGTCCATTAAAGTTTTCCCTGTTGTGGATGACTCTTCCAAGATAAAGGTTATCTGGAAAGGGATAGAAAAGCCAGCAGGGGCGAATAGTGTGGGATAAAGTAGTTTATTCCATAGCAAAGGTCCCGCAAAGCAAAAGACACGTTTTCTAAGTTGTAAGTTAATAGCTGGAGATTTTAGAGTATATTTTTTTTAGAACGGAGAGTTCTGCTGATAGTATAGGGTTCTACAAGACTATTTATATACGATGGGGCTTGACCGTTTAACGCTTTAAAGACCAAGAGGAGTAACTTAATTCTTTGATGAATTGGGAGACAATGTTGGGATTGTAGTGCAGGGGAGATGTGTCGAGCTGCTGAATATTGAACATGTTGTAGTTTGTTAATCTCATAGTCTGGGAAGCCATATAGTAAACCACTGTGGTAATATAGTTTAGTTGAGATGAATGCGTTAATGGGCTTCTCTTTATATTCAGAACTGACATAGCGGTGGACATTTTCGATAAAAGGCCAAGGAGCAAGTACCTTATATGTGATCCTTAAAGGAAAGGTTCGCGTCTAATATAGCACCAATATTTCGAGCTTTATGGGTTTCTGAATTATTTCTTTATCAAAATTAATTAGCGTTTGATCAATTTTGCTAGATTTAATTTTAATTCGGTCATCCAATCAAGAATTTCTGTGACACAAAGTTCTATATTTTCTACCGTAGAATGTTGAGAGTGCGTCAAATGCAATATAAAGTTGTGTTTCGTCTATAAACAATGAATATTTAGCCCACAGCATTCAGCAATCTTAGTGGTAGGTTTTGTGAATATTGCGAGCGTGCTTCTTTTGTGTTAGCTTGACGTATTTTAAGATTTCTTATGTTGGGGGGTGCGTAGCTCTAATACGTCGAAGCACACAGCGCTCTCACAATAATTGTTATTCAAGAAGCTTTAATCTATAAGAAACATAAGTACTAATTATTTGACGTCGATCTGGGTTTATTAACGAATGAACATGAATAACACAAATAAAGATATATGAAATCATAATTAAAACATCATTTACAAATTATCTAGTAATGAATAGTTGAATATATAAAGTAAGCATATATTATGTGATCAAGTGCAATTGTAAGCTATTTCACATTATCATATTATGCATAAAAGAAACATACATTTATCAATAGCAAATATAAAGTATTATCATATTATGTGAATAAGTATAGTAAACTATTACACATTATAATATTAGGAATAACATAAACATATATACTAAATGAATTATTAGGCGACACAATTATAAACTAACTCACCTATAAGAAACATAAGTACTAATTATTTGACGTCGATCTGGGTTTATTAACGAATGAACATAATTGTTCGTATTTCGTCTCTTATATTTATACCCAGTCGCTATCGCCAACTTAATATCTTAATAATAATTACACTAGAATTATTTGAACATATACATGATAAGGGTTAACCATATAATACAAAATGTGATATAAATTAACATATTTACATTACTGAGACGTAACTCAAATATAGGTACTAAATCAATGACTAGGATGCATGTTAAGTAATATTAAATTATTTTAAGATTGTTGTGTAGAAAAGGTAAATAGATAAGACAGTGCGTCCAGATTAGAACGATCAGGGTTCGGAGTAAAGATTAACTTATCCACTTTAAAGCAATTAATCAATTAAGATAAGTAAATACATGTATATCAAAATATGTACTATAACAACACCCCGGTATTTGCCAAAAACCACTTGCGCAATCTAACACAGAAAAAAGTTGAGCTTCAGCCTGTCCTACCGAATCAATAACATCTTCGAATCTAGGTATAGGATAGTAAATAGGTTTAGTGATTTTATTCAACTTACGATAGTCGACAGCAAATCTGTAAGTTCCATCCTTCTTCTTTACCATCACGACAGGGGATCTCCAATCAGAATTACTGGGTTGAATAATATTACCCTCCAACATCTGTTGTATCTGTTTGGTACACTCCTGTCTAATTGGTACAGATTGCCTATAGAATGGCATCCTCACAGGTGGGTTATCTCCCGTTTCTATCCTATGTTTGTGAAGATGGGTTTTTCCTAGTTCTGTAAAATCCTTTGCGAAAACGTCTCTTTGACACTTCAAAAACTGTTGTAGTTTATATTTCTGATCATCCGTAAGATCGGAATCACTAAGATCAAATGCGACATCAGATGGTATTGAATCAGTGTCGCTATTTGAACACAGATTAACAGATGGGTTGTTATTAACATTCGGATTATCACTGAATGCACGCACTGAATTAACGTCAATATTGAACGCAGTTCCTAATAAATAATTTTTATGTATATACAAAGGTTCATTGGTATGGTTAATTACCAACATGACAGTCTTATTACCATTTAGTTTGACGAGGCATTTGGCTCCTAACATACGATCTGATTTACGTATAATTGGCTCCACCAGATAAATACCGTCTTTCTTAACGCGCGATATCTTAATTGGTATATCACACTCTTGATTAGGTAATATCTTACAAGGCTTTAACGATCTAGCAAAACCACAATTATAATCAATTAAAGAAACCTGTACTAATCCATCCTTAAGCGAAACAGTTTTATTTGAAAAATCTAATGTAGCTTCATTTTCTTCAATAAAATCGAGACCTAATATAATTGATTGGTGCAAATGTTGGAAAACATGAAATTTTTGTTTGAATACAACGTGCCCTATTCTAACTGGAAGAATAATAGTTCCTAAGACAGGGTGGGTCTCACCTCCTACACCAATAATATTTTGAAATTCTTTAGCACTTAAATTTTCTTTGGAAATACCCGCCTTTTCAATAAACTTTAATGTCGCACATGATATACTTGCTCCTGAGTCTAAAAGTGATTTAGTTTTTGTGCCGTTAATACTCACTAAAATTGTATTCTTATCCATTGGAGCAATTAATTGTACTACTTTATCTTCAGTATGCCT